AAGACACAGAGGTAGAAAATTTTCATTTAATAATGGAAATTAGATTATTTATTAGCTTCTTGTTATTTTGTTACAAAAATGTGAGTTTGCTATGAATTTTCATCTGCTACTTAAATTGGACTTCCATGCTATATCGTGGTAGGAACGATATTTTTTTGAGCAACGCAATGCAGTTCTAAAATTATTAACAGGATTTAGGATGACGAGATTTACGTATAATTTCCACTCCTCCAAAATCCGTCGTGAATGGAGTAGGCACCAACCGTGCCTTTTAGCGCATTATAACGAAGCAGTTTGTTTTGATAGTTCAATAGAACATAAATGCTTCAATATTATAAATATAATATAATAAATGATTGATAAATGCTTGATAATATAATAAATGATTGATAAATGCTTGATTGAAGCTTGATAAATGCTTGTATTGGAAACATGGGGTCGATGCGTGACTGCACGTTGGCCTCATATACGTACGTGAAGACTGTGAAATATGACTGAGCGTTCGAGGTTTTATCTCCTTTCTCATGCACGCATCGAAAAGAAGCGTTCAAGGATATTCCGTTTCGTAATAAAAAAACATGTTGGTGAGATTTCGTTTCGAAATCCATTAGCTTAATTGTGCGCTGAGAAACTGGTCGTTTTCTGTAAGCTTCTTTATCTTCATATTTACTCTGAAATCTTGATCAACGCTTTATCATTTGTCCGGGTTTCAGTTACGAACAAATATTTAGCTAACCCGTCTTATGTGCGCGATATTCCGGGAAAAAATAATCTGGTGACCTAATAATCATTCTTAAATAAAAAAATACGCGAGATCCTGAAGCTAGGATAGTACTTAGCATATCTTAAGTGTGCTTTAATAATTTATGTCTGGAACGAAGTTATCTTGCTGTTCACATTCTTTCAAAAAAATCTGTCCTTAAATATTTTTTCGCACAAGGATGAAAGCAGCTGAGAGTGCAGTGCTCTCCCCAGTCCTGGTATTGTGTGCAAAGCCGAGGAAAATCTTTGACATGAGGAGGATCTTTGTCCAAATAGCAATGCACTTTTAGCTCATATGTGGGTCATCTTGACTCAGTTTGACCCGGCAAATGTGCGCATCAATGCAACGTGCAAGAAGTGTGTTACTATTAGGACAATATAACACATTAATTACTCTGAGTGCACGCTTCGTACTCTGAGCTGTTGCTGTCGAACAGCGTGCGTGGTCATGGATGATGCCGCTAATATTGGCAACAATTATGCGAGGGCATGTGCGTCTTTTTTAACACAACAATATCAACATCGTGGTTTCTTAACAGGTGTTTTTATCATATATTTTTTGGTTGTAATTGCCTCGCACATATGAACTTGTATCGCAAACTTTTTTTGAAAGAAGCCACTCATTTTGAATTGTAATTAAGCCTTTTTTATGTTTAGATTTTTGTAACGTAAACTTTACTTTAATTCAGTCCTAATGAAACTTTATTTGATCAGTCGCTCTGTTACCAAATGTCTTTTTAGTAAAATTAAGTATAATAATACTATGATAATTATAGCGTTATAATAATAATTATTATGCGAATTTACATCTGACCGTACTTGCTTTCCTACGAAAGTAAAAAATATTACTCAGTACTCACGGCAGTGAGTGACAGAGAGCGCATTTTCTCGTACATAAATCAGTTTTCATTGCGATTAGTACAGTGCATTAGAGCTAGAGATGTCGTATCTTTGAAACAGGCATGCCCGCTTCTTAAAATCGACGTAAACGTGAAGTCACGGACGGATAGACAGACAGACGGACATGGCGAGCACAATAGTGCATTTTTTCTATAAAGAGAAAATGCGCTAAGAAGGGTAGGTATTTACTTTAATATACTCAGAGATCTGAGTAACACTTTGTCCAAATAGTAGCGGTACACTTTTTGTCATTGTGTGGGTCATCCTGACCTAGTTTGACTCGGAAATAAATGCTAGTCATTGCTACGTGCATGAAGTGTCACTTTTATAGACCGAATCACCCCTGGTTAGATTACTTAACTAGGTATGATATATATTTGCTTTCTGTGTATACCAACATCTTAGCCTTCAATAATAATAATAATCGCGGTTTCAGCGTTTAGTAGGCCCTAGACCGTAGGCCTGTCGCCGATTCTTAACATCGCAAAACATTCACAGCTTGTTGCGGTCTCGAACTCGCAACTCACTGCTACAATTCTGCTGTGCTTAACCGCCCGGCCTCCTTGCCGATTCTGACCAGAAACTGGCGCACAGAGCTGGGATCGAACCCGCGCCTCTCTGCGCCAATCTTGGTACTCGGAACTGTAACCACTGGGCCACTCTTTTCTTATCTCTCAATCTGAAACTTACCCTCGAATAAGATTCTTGTTTTGAATAAATATGCCCTGTCGCCCTCACAACTCTCTCCTAGTCCTCAATCTGCCATTTACCCTCGAATAAGATTCTTGCTTTGAATGAATTCTTCCTGTTGCCCTCACAACTCTCTCCTAGTCCTCAATCTGCTATTTACCCTCGGGCACAAGTGAGATCTTTTCCCCCCTCTAAATATCGCGCGGTTTATTTGTCCCTCAACGGAGATCTTATGTCGGTGTTTGCTTATGATAATCTAATATGGGGCCGCTCTGTAGAGCACTCAATGCTTTACATCGGCTTTTAGTCGCTGTTTACTGGAGCAGGGATCTTTTATGATGTGTATTTATCTCCGAGTATATATAGCTGCATTTAGATGACGGTGTGTAAAACATAGATGAGGATGTTCAAATATCAGATTGATAACATATTTTTTATTATTTAACTTCATATGCTTTGTAATTTTCAAAATTTACTGCGTACTTCTTTATTTACAAATTACTTCGAAGCCATATGTATTTGCACCATTAATTGGTTCAGTAATTGATCGATCAGTTAATACTACTTGCATCTCTGTGTAACTGCTACGAGTAATGCTGCTTGATCACGATTCGAACATGCATACGTCTATGTTTCAGATCAAGTAGAATTGTTATCGTACAATTTTTGTCGCAATTTATTAAACAGAATCGTCCTTACGTTTGAATCTAATCTAATTAAATGAAATGCAAGGGATTAACCATGATCCAGCGCATAGTAAAAACATAGCAATATCTTATGATTCAATCAAGACAATTTTCTAAAATTTGAAGTTCTATTTATTGACGCACTAAATTACGGCTATGAAAGCCGGATCTTATGTCAGTGCGCTCACGAACATTTCAGGACAGAATTTCTCTATAGCGGCAGGTCCTTCCATGAAAAATAATTTCTTATCACCTTTTCAGCATTAAATGACGAAATTCGTCTTCGTATAGATGCCGACTGAGAAAGTTGAACTTAAAATAAATTGATTTCGTTGGTTTTGATTTCGTTAATTTGATGCTAGATAATATTTGTTATAGTTCACATATAGTTATCAGAATGTGGATTATAATTATATTTGCGAAACCCCGAAAATCTATGAATTTTTGCTTACTTATATTGGCCGATTTGCGCTTATTGTTATGGCAAAAGTGCACATTTTCGTCACGGTTAATCCCAGCCAATGTTTTTCCTGACTATATATATGGACTGGACTTGTTATGATATTGAGCGGATATTATTCGCATATATTTTAGCGTACCCAGGTCTCAAAGAGAGGTCTGTTCGGACAAGACATCCTTGGTGGGCTCATCGCTCTTTCACTGGCCAACCTGCGGCGTCTTTAGAAGACGAGCCGCCTTCAATTGCGAGCATAGCCTGCCTCCTGCAACACAGAGCTGTCTTCACGTAGCGAAATCTCAGCGACTTTGAGTAGAATATCACTTGAAATACAGAGCTGTCTTCGATCACGTAGCGAAATCTCAGCGGCCATCGCGTAAACTTGAAATACCGAGCAGCCTTCACATAGCGACGCAGCTAAATCTGAGCTCGATCATTTTGCGTAGAATAAATCTTTATCAATACAGAGCTGCCTTCACGTAGCGAAATTTCAGCGCCTTTGCGTAGAATATAGCTTGAAATACAGAGCTGCCTTTACGTAGCGTCGTAGCTAAGTCTGAGCTCATTTTGCGTAGAATAAATGTTGATCAATACAGAGCTGCCTTCACGTAGCGAAATCTCAGCGTATTTAAGTAGAATATCATGCACTTGAAATATAGAGCTGCCTTTACGTAGCGTCGTAGCTAAGTCTGAGCTCATTTTGCGTAGAATAAATCTTGATCAATACAGAGCTGTCTTCACGTACCGAAATCTCAGGGACTTTGAGTAGAATATCACTTGAAATACAGAGCTGCCTTTACGTAGCGAAATCTCATTGCCTTTGAGTAGAATATATACAGAGTTGTCTTCACGTAGTGTCGTAGCGAAATCTGAGCTCTTTTTGCGTAGAATTAATCTTGAAATACAGAGCTGCCTGCACGTAGCTCATCCGATATCTTTATCAGCTGCTTAACCTGACTCCCGAATTACGGATCCCTGCTTTCACCAAGTCTCAAGTACAAAATTGGCTCTACGTATAGCTGATTTGAAAAGCAATGCTGCCTTCAGTTTCAGTACCCTATCTCACAAAACGTTGCACCGCCTTCGGTTTCAGCAGTCCATCTTCTGGATGAAAGAGCTGTCTTTACTTTCAACACAGCTTATCTTCTGAAAAAATGAGCTGCCTCCATTATCATGCGTGGCTGGTCTTATGAATTATCACTGACTTGCCCTCAGATTTAAACATTACTGATTAACTGAAGTTGATCAGTTTTTCACCGTTAAATGCTACCGGTCTCATGAAACGCCTTGTCATGACCTATCTATGCTATTGATCATTTGATAACAGTGACGTTTTCACTTCACATATGATTTTTTTTGCAGTATACAGTGCTGTCTCCGATTGCTACGGCCGATCAAAATAAATAACTTCATAATTCATAAATGATGACTGTGCTCAGTTCTTATGCAGACAGTGTTTTTACTTTGATACCCGACGAATTCAAACCGTGCATTTTTTGTTTCAGGATGCCACCTTTCGACTAGTCCGTACACGACCATCAGAAAGAAAGCTCGAAGCTTGTCTTCGCGCGGCGAGTCTACGGACCGCGTACGCCTTCCTTAGAGAAGTGCCTGAAGAAAGGAAAGAAGTGATACACAAAACACGACATGCCGAGCTCGGTTAAAAGTGTAGGACGCCGTGAGGACGCCCTACACCAGTTCGAGACTGGCAGGATCAAGCACCTGCAGGAGGAGCGCATGCACATACAGAAGAAGACGTTCACTAAATGGATGAACTCGTTCCTGGTCAAGGTGGGTATGAACCGATGAATTACTTAAATGGAGGTAGTTTCAAGCATTCTACACCATTAGTTGAGACATAGTAATCTATTAATCTAAAAGTTATTTCAAACGAGTCGTTCACTAAATGGATGAACTCGTTCCTGGTCAAGGTGGGTATGACTCAATGAATTACTTAAATGATGAAAGTTTCAAGCATTCTACACCATTTGTTGAGACACACTAATCTGTTAATCTAATAGTTATTTCGAACAAGTAACTATCATTTTGTTGATATGAAAACATTGATGCCTTGTAAATACTTGCAGATGCTGCATAAAAGATATATTTTTAAAGTGTTTGTCGATTTTAAGGCATAAATTTATGGTAGGAAATTGATTCATATTTTTTATTTTAATTTTTGTATAAATTTTAAGTATTGATATTATTTTTTTGAGTTGCAATCGAGTTACTGCGGGAATTGATTGAATTACAGTCGTGACTATATAATTCAATTGAATTTATTTTTATTTGTCATGACGATTTATTCTGATAATGACGGAAGGCAATATTCTTGTGCGTATGAAAATGAATGATATGATATATATTAATAATTATTGCGTATGAAAGTGAATGATATGATAAATATTAATAATTATTGAGTATGAAAGCGGACAATGTATGTGCATATGAAAGTGAATAATATGATAAATAATTATTGCTTACGAAAGTGGAATATGAAAGTGCGTATGAAAGTGGATGATATGATAAACATTATTAATCATTGTTTATGAAAGTGGAATATGAAAGTGCGTATGAAAGTGGAATATGAAAGTGAATGATATGATGAACATTATTAATCATTGTTTATGAAAGTGGAGTATGAAAGTGAATGATATGATAAACATTATTAATCATTGTTTATGAAAGTGGAATATGTATGCGCGTATGAAGGTATAATTAAGACACACGTGGCAGGCTCGGCTGGAAGTGAAGGACCTGTTCGTAGACCTGGCTGACGGTAGGATGCTGCTGCGTCTCCTAGAGATCATCTCCGGCGAGAAGCTCGGCAAGCCCAACAACGGACGCATGCGGGTCCATAAAGTCGAGAATGTCAACAAGTCTTTGGCCTTCCTGCACACTAAGGTGAATATTCTTATACTAATATCCTTTAATTTTTCCTTCAATGTGACTATATTTTCCCCTTCGATACTAATATCCTACAATTTTTCGTTCAATGAGAATTTTCCCCTTCGATACTAATATCCTACAATTTTTCGTTCAATGAGACTATATTTTTCCCTTCGATAATAACACCCAACAATTTTTCGTTCAATGAGACTATTTTTCCCTTCGAAATATCCTATAATTTTTCGTTCAATGAGACTATTTTTCCCTTCGATACTAATATCCTTCAATTTTTCGTCCAATGTGCCTACACTTCATTTCATAATGTGATAGAATTTCGTTTGATTATTCTCTCAGATTTCTATTTGCGTTTATATTGTTCGTCACATGATTAGAAAGCGTTCCATGCATGTCTCGAGGGGAGATTTTGTACGGTCTCCATAGCAATGGACGATTGGCATGTTTTCGTGCGAAAGAAACGTAAATTTGGCATGTGATAGTGACCGTTATGCTGCTAGTTAGTGACCGTTATGCTGTTAGTTAGTGACCATTATGGTGTTAGTTAGTGACTGTTATGGTGTTAGTTAGTGACCGTTATGCTGTTAGTTAGTGACCGTTATGCTGTTAGTTAGTGACCGTTATGCTGTTAGTTAGTGACCGTTATGCTGTTAATAACCGTAATGCTGTTACTATGCATGATGACGTGCTGACGTGGCACATTATCATCATGTTGATGATGCTCGTCTTATCATCAAGGCTATGATAGCGGCCGTTGTTGCATGTCTCGCATTCTCGCATCATTTGGTAGCCGTCGTCTGTAATTAGCTTGCTTGTATCTTAAAATAGTCTTTATAGAAACGTGGAATTTAAAAGCAAAGAGAATGATACGAAAATGATATCATTTCTTCATAGAAGACGTTTCGGAGTCCAGCTCCATCGTCAGCTCAAAAATTCTAGAATGCTAATGCAATCAGTAGATATAGTACAGTAGAAAATTAAAAAAAAAAAACGAAGTTAAAAGATAAATTTTCAAATAAGTCTTCAGAAGTATGGACGGGCTTTGTGTCCATGATTGTCTACACCAAAGCGCATATTTCTCTATTATTGTGAGTTAAGCCAATAAATAAATTCTAAACTAGTGTCACGGGCTCTTGATCTGGTAGGATGTGAATTACATTAGATCTATGACAAATTCAACTTGAAGAGTGCCGTAGTATAACGGAGTTATATACTTGATAGCATTCAACGAAGCCCAAGCCTGCAAGGATTTGCAGAGCTGAAAGAAACGATGCTAACAAATAATTTTAAGTAATTTTTAATTATTAAGAGTAATTTAATGATAAAAATGTACACCCACAACTATCCGACCAACAATTAAGCTGAGCAACCGCGATAGCGAGGAACAAACGTAGCAAGGAATAATTGGTATGCATATAATGGCGCCAATGATGAAGCTGACAGTGTCTCGATTGCCGCCATTATTAACTGGCTTTACCGGAATGTTGATGTCAGTTATTACTTTAAGGTAATGTGGTTATCGCTTGATTATTGCAGAATAAGAATGTTGTTGTCAATCAACCAAGATAGATGTTGGCAGGAAGCAATGTTTCATATTGTGTGACGCGCATGAAAAATAAAAAAACTAATCTCTTTAAAAAATTATCATCATTGGCACCACATGACGTGAACTATTGTTTGTCTGGGCTTCCTTGGCATAAATTGGATTACACTACCTTTGATTTCTGTTAACTTGTTTATTAGCGATTTGGTTCGCTATCCATACAGTAATCTTCATTTTTCAATGTCTTCGAAATTTCACTTCTATCTCTAGATTAATTTTTTAAGGTCTTCCAAATTTCACTTCTATCTCTACATTCATTTTGAGGAGGTCTTCGAAATTTCACTTCTATCTCTAGATTCATTTTTTACGGTTTTCGAAATTTCGCTTCTTGTTCTAGACCTTTCCATTAGCGTTACATAGAATCATTCATGGTAGAGCTTAGTGTATCCAGTGAAGGTTGTTTCTAGCACTTCTATCTCTAGATTCATTTTTTAAGGTTTTCTAAATTTCGCTTCTAGTTCTAGACCTCTCCATTAGCGTTAAATAGAATCACTCATGGTAGCGCTGAGTTTATCCAGTGAAGCTTGTTTCTAGAAAATTGAAAATATTCGATTTACCCGTCGTGTATGTAAAATAATTCCGAATTATTGTGATACCGAAAGTCTTCTACAAGTTGATTGTTGTGGAATTCTGCTCATGTCATCCAGCGTCTTGCATCGTATGGAGTCAACGCAATTCTAGTTTGTTACGCAACGCGGGAGTATTCTCAGCATGTGATAAAATTTTCTGAAGCTTCATTTAGTGAAGAGTGCGATAAAGATTGCGGTGTCTGCCGCAATTAAGACCAGAGAATTTAATTAACGTCATGACGCATTTTTTAATTACGAAAAATATTCTTTGATGGTTCAGTGCATTAATATTTAATAAGTTTGTATTCTGGGAAGCTGAATATAGCGATAAACATTTCCGCTGTGGCGAACCATCTATTGAATAATTTTTTGTTTTAAGTTAAGCATGTTACAAATTTAAATTCGAAAATACTTATTTATAATTTTTTTAAATAAGAAAAATATTTATAATTTCTTTTAATTCGAGAAATAGTTATTTTTCATTATTAAATATTATGTACTTAATTAAATATTTTAATTGCACAGGTGCGCCTGGAAAGCATCGGCGCTGAGGACATCGTGGACGGTAACCCACGCCTCATCCTGGGCCTCATCTGGACCATCATCTTACGCTTCCAGATCCAGGAGATAGAAATTAAACTCGTAAGTTTAACAACTAAAATTTTAATAAACTCATTGATTTTGATTTGTTCAATTGCTAATTCGCGAGAATAACTCTAGATAATCAGAATTGAGATCACTTAAAAGTTTTTTTAATAAATTAATGATTTTAATTTGTTCAATTACGAATTCGCGAGAATACCTCGAGGTGATCAGAATTTTAATCACTTAAAAGTTTTTTTAATAATTCAATGATTTTAATTTGTTCAATTACTAATTCGCGAGAATAGCTCTAGATGATGAGAATTGAGATCACGATTATCCGGCCTCTGGCATGCAAATGGTTAATCGTATTATTGGATGCCTAAAAGTTTTTAAAGTAGGTATTTATTTGCATAATTTTTATCAATTGCGTATAGCAGGTTATATTCACGCTGATTATTGCTTATTTTATTTAAGAAATGTTAGGCCAAATTATTATTGCCTACTTTATTTAAGAAATTTTAGGACAAAAATTTCTTGCTGCTACGTTTTCATGGTTCAAAGTTTTTATAATCAAGAAATTTTTGCACTTAAATGCCACAAAACCAGTGTTTATCGCTCCTGAAAACGGTCATAAAGCAGATTTTTTAACATTATATGCATAAAATTTATAGGTTATTTTCTCAAAGAGGTCGTCAATAGGTGCGAGTAATACATGCGAACAACGTTACAAGTGATCACCTCAGGAAAAATGCTAATGATCAGTTAATAATATAGTTTGGACGCAGGCTTTGTTTTCTCTACATGTAGGCAGGTAAATGAATTATTGACAGTTGGTAAAAGTTAAACAATTACTGAGGCAGTAATTCGAGTATCCTCAAACGTATATATGTTACTTGAAAAATAGCCTGTCGATCTAAAGGTATGATCCAGAAAGATCTGTTGGGTAACAATACTCTCGAGATAATTTAAAATATAATTCTTAAAACTATTCTAATTCTAATTTCTAAAAACTGGATAAATCGAAGAAAAAAGGGTGCTGTGACTCTGGAAATGAATAGCAGGTTCAAGAGAATAAATATAGAAGGTCTATGATCATAACTGTGATGGCAAAGGCAAGCGAGACGTGCCAGTGATAAGCTGATAAGACCTGGTGCTGATAAGCGGGCTGCAGTCAAGTGCTTGTGCTCCTCCTATCAGCGAGTCTTCTTCGGCTGTTGCTTTATCCTAATTTATTATCCTCTTCTCTCTCCTTTTATGGTTCTCCTTTAATTACGACTCTCCTTTAATTACGATTCCTCTCACTCAATTCTTATCACAATATCTCTGAATTTGTTTTTATCTCTTCTATTCGTCGTCTCCCTTATAATCACTTCTCAATTTTCTCCTCCCCATTGCTTTTCTTCCCCCCTTATTCATTTTTCATCCATTTATTTTTTGGTTTACCCTATAAATTGTGTCGTCCATATTTTTTTTGTTTTACCAAATCAATTTTATTATAAACTCTCGTCTTTGTCTTCGTTTTCTTCGTTATGTTCTCGCTTCTGTAATTTTCCTCTACATTCCTTATTTTTTTATTTTGTGTAGGTATTCCTCCAAATTTTCATCTCCATATTTACTCTTTTTCCTTCTCTCTCCTTGTCCTCTATTGTAACGCACCGACTTTTGCCTAAATGAACTAAAGTGAATGTTTATGTCGAAGTTTTCATCGTATCCCTACTTGAAAGAATAAAAACACTTGCGTATTTTCCACGTCTCTCTCACGTGGTTGTCAAATTGTCATTTAAAAATGTGAGGTTTCAATGATGAGATTTTCTTCCGGCATGAGGTTGGTCGGTGTATGTCGGAACCTTATCGACATAGCGCTCCCTTCAGATATCAGTTTCTATTATTATTGAAGTAGTAAAAGTTTTGTGCTGAGTTGAGTTGATAAGGATTTCAATTTAAAATCAAGTCTCTAAACTTACGACACGTTGTCAAGTGTTGAGGAAGATGTAATGCATTTTGCTTGGTCTCTTCTAGTCATGCTTATCAGGAAGCCGGTGTGTTATCATTAGCTATACAGTCATGCAGGAAATACCTGCCTATATCATCTTCCTTTTAGCCTCTCAAATCGACGCATTTATTCTTTGCGATCCATTTCTTGACATTGTTATTTTTTCAGATTATTGTTTTTATTGTTATAGTACATATTTATGATTCATTATTTATGTATTTTTCATTGATTTTCTCATTATGCTTTGTGTCGCTTAACTCTTAGCTGACTATAACTGTGAACTAGGTTAAAAGATTAGAATAAATCTTTCTGTAAATGCAGCGTCAATCCCAGAATATTCTAGAAACTTTTTAAATTAATCAAAATATTGATATTAATCTACATTTAAAATTAATAAAATATTTATATTAATATACTACATTTAAATTAATCAAAATATTTGTATTAATCTACATTTAAATTAATAAATATATTTATATTAATATATATTTAGATTAATCAAAATATTTATATTAATTTACGTTTAAATTAATAAAAATATTTATATTAATTTATATTTAAATTAATCAAAATATTTATATTAATCTACGTTTAAGTTAATCAAAATATTTATATTAATCGACATTTAAAGTAATTAGCAATTAATTTGTGCAGGATGAAGAGAACGAGAGCAGCGAGAAGAAGAGCGCCAAAGACGCGCTGCTGCTGTGGTGCCAGCGCAAGACGGCGGGCTACCGCGGCGTCGCTATACATGACTTCTCTGGTACGGCAACGATAATTAAATTAAAACTTTTTTTTACGATTGTCGAGTTATGTGTTCAGAAAAAAATCTATTTGGCTATTGTTGATTTCTCTGGTACGGTAACGATAATTAAATTAAATCTTGTTCATTTTTACGGATTTTCGAGTTTTGTGCTCAGAAAGTCTATTTGGCTATTCATGATTTCTCTGGTATGCCAACGATAATTAAATTAAATGTTGTTTTTTTTACTGATTGTCGATTTTTGTGCTCAGAAAGTCTATTTGGCTATTCATGATTTCTCTGGTACGGCAACGTTAATTAAATTAAAACTTGTTTTTTTTTACTGATTGTCGAGTTATGTGTTCAGGTAAGTCTATTTTTTATATGAGTATTCCAGGTACCGTATTATCTTTGGATACCGTACTGCGGTATCAGGTATTACATTTTTAAAAACTTAGTATTTCGTATTACTATTTCGAAAAACGTAGTTGTTCTCTATATTTATACTATATCGATACTCTGAAAACGTAGATGGTTTTAGAGTATTGAGTTCAAATGAAGTTTGATTTATGTCATCACAGCTTCCCTGTCTCATGATTTGCTTTATCTGGGTTCTCAAGCCTACCTAATTTAAGGCTTCAAATAACCGATCGCGTCCGACAGAATAACAAGCTAATACGAAAATGGAATGATGTCTGAAATAAAGTACACGGAAGTATCACCAACATTTTTGAGTTTCAAACAGAAACAAATTGAAATCCTTTAAGTAAACTTCGTAGCTATGGAACCGCATTTGTACTGGGTTTCATTTTGAATTGAATGATTGGTAAAGAGATAACGAAGTATTTCGTACCTTTTATTTCATAGTTCGATGGCCGACTGAATTACGGTACTAAGCACGATCCCATGTACATTATTGCTATCGCGTTAAAATATATCTACGTCGATGCACAATACATTTACGTCGATGTATAATATATTGACTTTTATGTGCAATATATTAGCGTTAATGCACAAATTATTGTCTTCGATCTACAAGAAATTGATGTCAACATACAGGAAATATATATATACAACACAACATATATAAACACTTACGTAAAATATATTGACGCAATTCTATGCCTGAGGGTCATGACAAGATATTGACGTCAACGCACAACATACAAACGCTTATGTAAAATATATTGACGCAATTCTATGCGTCAAGATCATGGGCTGGGTTTCAACATATATAAGCGCTCATATAAAATATATTGACGCAATTCTATGCGTCAGGTTCCTGGCGGGACGGTCTGGGTTTCAACGCCCTCATCCACGCGCACCGGCCCGACATCATCGACTACGCGAGCCTCAAGCCCGACGCCCACATCAGCAACCTGAACAACGCGTTCAAGGTGGCCCATGACCACCTCGGCGTAGCCAGGATACTTGATGCTGAAGGTGATGATGAGTAGTGATGATGGTTGGTGGATACTTGATGCTGAAGGTAATCATGAGTGATGATGATGGTTGGTGGATACTTGATGCTGAAGGTGATGATGGTTGGTGGATACTTGATGCTGAAGGTGATGATGGTTGGTGGATACTTGATGCTGAAGGTGATGANTTACATTAAAATACATGATGTAATGGAACCAAAATTTGTTATTTCTCTTAGATTATAACACATGATGAGATAAAATAAAATTTTTTTATATCTGTTAGATTATAACACATGATGAGATGGAACCAAAATTTGTTATTTCTCTTAAATTATAACACATGATGAGATAAAATAAAATTTTTTTATATCTGTTAGATTATAACACATGGTGAGATGCAATCAAAATTTATTATTTCTCTTACATTATAACTCATGGTGAAATGCAATTAAAATTTGTTATTTCTCTTATATTATAACACATGGTGAAATGCAATTAAAATTTGTTATTTCTCTTATATTATAACACAAGTTGAGATGCAATTAAAATTTGTTATTTATTTTTAGATTATGACGCACGATAAGATGCAATAAAAATTTACTCTCTCCCTTACGATGAGCAGGCGTGGACGACAGCAAAGACCACTACGAAGACATCATCACGTCTCTGCTGGACTGGATCAGGCGCAAGACCATCGAGCTGGATGACCACCGCTTCCCCAACACCCTGGACGGCATCCAGAAGCTACTCATCCAGTTCGGCAAATACCGCACTGAAGAGAAGCCGCCTAAGTAAGTGTTCTCCGTAGCATTCATTTCTAATTTACGTGTTGAAATTATTAAATATAAAAATGCAATACCGCACTGAAGAGAAGCCACCAAAGTACGGGTTTTCCCTAGCATTCATTTCTAAATTATGTGTTGAAATTATTGAAATTTAAAAATACTTTGTCGATTTCTTGAGGGTAAATTGGTAGCATTCGTTTCAAATTTACGTGTTGAATATATAAAAATTACAAATACATAGTCGATTTCTTGAGGTCAAATTTGTGGTGCAGCCAAAGTTTAGTAAAGTGAGTTTACATTTGGATTCAAATTGAAGATCGAGTGCGTATCCATTCGCATTTAAAGTTGGCTCGAGGGAGTAGTAATTTGTTTTTGAGCAAGAATTGTGCGCTATAATGGGAGTCAAAGACCTAGAATCGTTTTGTTGGGGACACGTTGGCAATTGTCATACATTTATATTCAAATTGTTTGTATGTATTTAAATAGACGAATTTCTTGTATCGTATTGAAAGAAACGATCAAGGTACATAGATGCACACTTGTGCGAGCAATTTCCTTAAATTTAATGTGATTACAAATGATTTATAAACATATATATATGCAATGCATGTATGGTACTATTAATTACGCATTCGTCAGGTACATTGAGCGCAGTGAAATAGAAGCGCTGTTCTTCTCCATCAACGCTCGGCTGAAGGAGCTGAACCAGCCGAGCTACGCTCCTAGGGACGGCCATAACCTTCATGACCTGCAGAAGGCCTGGGACATGCTCGAGAAGGCCGAGCACAGGCGCGAAGTTGCCCTTAGGGAGGAACTGCTGCGTCAGGAACGCCTTCAGCAGCTCGCCTTCAGGTTTGAACGCAAGGTGGGTTCAACGTTTGTGCGTTGATAGTTTCTCATAAGTCGAAACTTTTGCGAGTAAAAAATGTGAGTACAAAAAGTAAAAAAATGTGAGTAAAAAAAATGTCGTCGTAAGTTGAAAGTTTGTCGTGAGTCGAAAGTTAGTTATGACTTGAAACGTGTCTAGAGTATGTCATGGTCTATCAGTCATGATTTGGAAGTGCTACATGGAAATATTTCATGAAAGCACGTCATAAAAGCATTTTATGTCAGCATTTCATGACAGCATTTCATGTCAGCATTTCATTACAGCATTTCATGGCAGCATTTCATGGAAGCAAAACAAGAAAATATCTTGTAATATAATCTTATCTAAGATATCTAATATTATCTAATATTATCTTATCTATATTATCTAATAATATCTTATCTTATCTTGTGTTCATTACAGTCTGTGCTGCGTCGCGGGTACCTGGAGGAGATGGTCGTGGTGCTCTCGGACCCGCGCTACGGCAGCAGCCTCGCTCAGGTCCACGCGACCGTCAAGAAACATGAGGCTATCAGCGCTGACATCCTGGCCAGGGTTAGTTGTACTGACTGTACAGCAGGTCCTGACTGTACTGCAGGTCCTGACTGTACTGCAGGTCCTGACAATACTGCAGGTCCTGACAATACTGCAGGTCCTGACTGTACTGCAGGTCCTGACAATACTGCAGGTCCTGACAATACTGCAGGTCCTGACAATACTGCAGGTCCTGACTGTACTACAGGTCCTGACAATACTACAGGTCCTGACTGTACTGCAGGTCCTGACAATACTGCAGGTCCTGACAATACTGCAGGTCCTGACTATACTGCAGGTCCTGACTGTACTGCAGGTCCTGACAATACTGCAGGTCCTGACTGTACTGCAGGTCCTGACAATAGAGTATTATAATCTTATGCTGGAAATAGCCTTGAAACCATGGATGTCGGCCATTGTTCAATAATATTAACCATCTCTATTTTAGTGAACAAGAGTTCATGGTTGTTCACAGTGATGGAACTCCCATCCAACTATACAGGAAAAAGTGTAACGTTTAAAGTCTAGCTCTTCTGTACGCTTTGATCATTCAACTTCTTTTTTTTTTGCCAATCCCCTTATTAATATCCTTTAACTTTTCCTGACTCTTCACCTTTAATTAGCCTCTCCCGCCTCTTTACTCTTGTTTGTATTTTCCCTTCATTTATTCCGTCCCACTACTTTCCCCTTCCTCTTATCTGCCTCGTAGCCCGTCTTTACATCTCTCTTATCTCACTCTTTTTCAGCCTCTCATGCCACTCTTCTTTATTTTCCTTAATCTTTTTTCCTTCGCCTTACCCCCACTCCCCTCTTTACTCACCATCTATTTCAACCCTCTTTGACCTCACCCTATCGGCCTCAGGTCAACTCCTGGGTCGAGTTGAATGTGAGTACGGCTTTCTTATCCTCTCTTATATTCAACAAATCGCTTTCTGCATAATTTTCTCCAACTTTTTTGCCGTATCGCTTAATTAGATACTTTACTTCGTCCTTTAAAAAAATGAAATAATTTCAAGTCTTATCTTCCTTATGATTGTTCTTCTAAACTCAATTATGTTAGCAGAATTTTTTTTATAGTTATAGACTAGTAAATGACCGCATGACTAAATATATGCAGTATCACATCTAATTATCTAACTGCAGTTTTTATCTTATCTCGCGACAAGTTTGCTTCTATTTTCCCTTAAAAAACAGGCCGTATCGGTTCTTAAACATTTGGTGGGCGAGTTTCCACATCGAAATTGCAGACTATTCATCAAAATATATCAGAATTCTTTCCCGAGCTCTTCATATACCTACACACAATTTTGAATCTACGCCTGAACAGCAAATGCAGTTGGTATGTTCATGCCACTTGCGTTTAAATTCAATTTATGATTGATTTAAGAATTAACACCAATTAATTGAATTAACAAAATTAACAAAGAACACCAATTAAATTGAAGATTCAATTTAATTGGTGTTCTTTGACAATCTGGGTATGAATATTTCTGCTCACGAAGCGTTATATTTTTGGGTTAGTCGCAGTGTATAAACTTATTAATTCTTTATCAAATTATGTAAAAATTTTTTTCTTCTCGTGTAATGTCTTTTATGTTAATAGTTGGGCAAAATTTTATTCTGATGTTCCCTATTAATAACTATTAATAGTTCACAAAGAACTACTATTTTAATAACTATTAATAGTACACAAAGGAGTATTTGACGGTATTTCAATTATTTTAGTAAATATTTATTTATAATATTTATAAGATAATAATCTTAATTATGTTATTAATAGTTCCCAAAGAACTATCAAGCACCTATAAAATTTATTTATATTTCTGTAATCTTTGAGAGCATTCACTGCCGTCCTTATCAATTTCTAACCATTCTTGCTTGTCTTGAAATCTTTGATTTCGTAGAGTTTGGTTTGCCAAGAAACCGTGACAGGTAATCAATTTTTTGTCCTTCAATTAATATTTTTTCAGCATGGAATTTCATGATTTGAAATCGGCGCTGAATTATGCTTTCATCATTTATTTGCTTTGCATTAGAAATTCAGAACTAAGTGCGGAAAAGTCATGTCGGTTATCACTATTCTCGAGAATCATCGGATAATCTCGCAATATATCAAATGTATATTCCTTTTTAGCGCATTTTTAGCGCATTTTCTCATTTATGGAAAAAGGCGCTCGTCATGTCCGTCCGTCTGCCTGTCTGTCCGTCCGTCTGTCCGTGACTTCACGTTTTCGTGGACGAGAAAATGCGCTCTCTGTCACTCACTGTAGTGAGTACTGAGTTATATTTTTTTGCTCTGCATTAGAACTAAGCGCGGAAAAGTCCTGTTTGTTAGCATTTTTCTCGAAAATCATCCGAAAATCTCGCAATATCTCTCAGATTTTTGCTTCAACACGTTGTTCTTAACCACAATTTTTTTCCTTCATTAGTAGAATTGTTCCTTTTTATAATATACCTTGAATGCTTCGCATTGTTCATCATAGGAGGAACGTTTCCAAGGCTAATATACCCTGAATCCTTTATTTTGTTCATAGGAGGAACGTTTCCAAGGCTAATATACCCTGAATCCTTGACTTTGTTCATCATAGGAAGAACGTTTCCAAGGCTAATATACCTTGAATCCTTGACTTTGTTCATCATAGGAGGAACGTTTCCAAGGCTATAATATACCTTGAATCCTTTATTTTGTTCATAGGAGGAACGTTTCCAAGGCTTGACCAAGATGGCGGACGAGCTAGAAACAGAGAACTTCCATGACAAGAAAGCTGTTCGTGAGAAGGAACGCAGCATCCTGCAGCAGTGGGAAGCTCTGCTGCAGCTGCTGCACAGACATCAGCAGAGTCTGCAGCAGGCCTGCAGCCTCATGAACATGATGAGAGAAGTCGAGACTCTGCACGACACCGTGCGAGAACTCGAGGTAATTTCTGAAGAGTATTGTCTCAAAAATATATTGTATTTTCTTCATTTTTGATTTATTTGTTTAAAAACTGTGGAAGAGTATTATCTCAAAACTATATTGTATGTTATTTTTTTCATTTCTTTTTCTTCAAAAAATTTGTTATATTTTTTTTTTTGTTAATTTCAACGCAGCAGCTTTGGGAGTTATAACAAGGCCGCTACAAACGTTTTCTTGGTTTAATTTCATATATGCAGCGTGGATAGATTTAATTTAATAACTTTAATTTACCATCTGTTGTTAAAATCAATATATTTGTTATAATTGCTTTAATGTCCCATCTTCGGTTATATATAGATTCTTATTAATAGCTTTAAGTTACAATCTGCCGTTATATTTACTTTAATTTTACTAGCTTTAATTTAACAGTTGCGGCTAAAGTTACTTTCATTTTAATACGTAGCTTCAATTTATTAGTTGCTGCTACAGGTACTTTCATTTCAACAGCTTTAATTTACAAGTTGCGGCTAAAGTTACTTTCATTTTATTAACTTTAATTTACAAGTTGCGGCTTAAGTTACTTTCATTTTATTAACTTTAATTTACAAGTTGCGGCTAAAGTTACTTTCATTTTATTAACAATAATTTACCAGTTTCGGTTACAGTTACTTTATTTTTAATAGTTTCAATTCACCATCTGTCGTCATAGTTACTATCATTTGCACAGCTTTGATTTACCAGTTGCGTTAACAGTTTTTTTCATTTTATTAACTATAAATTACAAGTTGCGGCTAAAGTAACTTTCATTTTAATTTTTAATACGTATATTTAATTTTTTAGTTGCTGCTGCAGTTACTTTCATTTTATTAACTTTAATTGCTAAAGTTACTTTCATTTTATTAACTTCAATTTACAAGTAGCGGCTTAACTTTCTTTCACTCTATTAACTTTAATTTACAAGTAGCGGCTAAAATAACTATTGTTTTAATTCCGTGCATTTCTCGGTACAGACAAACTTCCGTAGCACGGACGCCGGAGCGCACCTGCTGGGGGTGGAGGACCTGCTGCAGAAGCACAGCCTCATGGAGAGCCAAGTGCACAGCACCGGCGACACCATCGCTCGTCTGCACAGCCAAGTGCGCGCTAACTTCCCTAAGGAAATGAAGGTTAGTCTTATAAAAGACAAGTGCGCGCTAACTTCCCTAAGGAAATGAAGGTTAGTCTTATAAAAGACAAGTGCGCGCTAACTTCCCTAAGGAAATGAAGGTTAGCCTTATAAAAGACAAGCGTGCTAACTTCCCTAAGGAAATGAAGGCCAGCCTTATAAAGGACAAGTGTTTTTACGATGAAATATTGGAACCGTTTCTCCTTACGTGAGACTGAAATATTATAAAAAAGGTAATATTAGTATTGTTTCTTCTACTAAGACGTGGAAATACCTGAATTGTTACGGCGTCTTAGAGACTGAAGCTTTTTTACGTTGAAATATTAGAATCATTTCTGCTCCCGATGGACTGAAATTTTCTTGCATAAAAATGTCAACAAGTCTTTAATATTACATACAAAGTTTAACTGAATTATAGCAATTAAATGCCTTGGTTAGCCTTGCAAACGCTAGCGTAAATTGAATGCACCAAATAACAAATAATGTTCTCATGGAACAAAGTAACTGCTACTCTCATCTGTCATTTTAGTTTAATCGTATATAAACAAATTTCTTGCAATAGACACGACGTTAAAAATTATGTAGAAAGTTGATCGAATACAATTTGAGTAGATAAATAACTCGTTATTGTTGGGACAGGAATGGTTTGGTAAAGTCTAGTCAGATATAATTAGAAATCGGACAAATTTCCGGCAATTGCAATGATGTCAACCATTTGAATCTGACTAATTGGTCATCATCGGATATAATTGTGAAATAAATTAATATTTTGTAATTGTCGTGGTCGGATATACACGTGATTAATATCTTGTAATTATCATTATCAGATATAATTGTGAGATCAATTAATATTTTGTAATTTGATCATCATCGGATATAATTGTAAAATAAATAAATAAATCTCTCGTAAGTGTCAGGATCGGATATAATTGTGAACTAAAGTATTATCTCGTAATTATCAGGACGTGAACCTGCTGGAGAAGGCGCTGGGGGAGCTGGACAAGACGTATGAGGGCGTACGGCTGCTGGCAAAGCAGCGCAGGGCGCGGCTGGAGGAGGCCAGGAACTTGTATCAGTTCCTGGCTGACACTGAAGAGGAGGAGGCCTGGGTCGTCGAGAAGCAGCGGATCTGTCAGACCGCCGTCAGCGCTAAGGATCTGCGAGCTGTTATGTCCCTACTACAGAAACACAAGGTCTCGCTTATAAATAAATAACTATAATTCATAATAGTTAGAAATTTTCTTGCATAGTTACGTATAAATATTCTGCATATATACGCAAAAATATTATAATAGTTATAATTTTCAATTATTAATAAATTTGAATTATTTTGATAAAAGTAGGAGGCCTTGGTCGTCATGAATTATTCGAATAAAATAATTATTCATTTGCCTGATGTCAATCTAAGTATGAACTAAGAAAAAATGTTAAAAAATTATAAAGATAAAATTTTTAATTTTTTTAAAGATTTTTTAGAAAAATAAAAATGAAATTGTATGGGTATATTTTTGTAAGAGAGTGTCTCAAAATTTGGATTATTTTTCTTGTATAAATCAAAACATGAGCTTGAATCTTTTATATAGAAAATAAAAATTTCATTAAAAAAATCATCAATGGTCATAGTTTATATGCAAAACAATAGTTTATACGCAGTATGATGTACCGGTGATGAATCCCAGGGTTGTGATTGTCTGTGATGTTACCGGTGTGGGGACAATCTATATTGATATTTGGATTCCATGTTTTAAAATCTTCGATTTGTCTCGCTTTTTTAACGCATTTTCTCATTTATGAAAAAAAGTCGCTATTATGCTCGTTATGTCTGTCCGTCCGCCCGTCTGTCTATCTGTGACTTCACGTTTTCGTCGATTTTGAGAAAGTGCGCTTTCAGTCACTCACTGCAGTGAGTATTGAGTTATATTTTTTATTATATTGAACGCCAGACTCACCATGACGCTTTGAATATTAATTCTTAAAATTTTTCTAACTTAATTGATGACCCTCAGACGCTTTATAATATTAATCCTCAATAATTTATTCAAACATGCCAATTGATGTTTATAATATTAATTCCTAATAATTTATTCTAACTCTATTGATGTTTATAATATTCTTAATAATTTATTCTAACTCTATTGATGACCCTTCAGACGCTTGAAGACGAGATGCGCGCTCGTCGCCCTAAGGCCCTCAAGATCGAGCAGTGCGGACGAGACCTTATCAAGGACCAGCACCCTGACTCTAGGGTCATCACCGTACACGTCGACGCCCTCGCCAGGAGCTGGAAGGATCTCGACAAGATGGTTGAGGATCGCAGGAAGCAACTTCAGGATGCCGTCGAGGCTTACTCAGTGCGTGGCATGCGTCCTGTATTTCATAACTCATTTATTTATTAATTTTATTGGGAGTTTTGCCATGCATCCTTGATCTTAATTCGGGATTTATTTATTAATTTTATTGGGCGTTCTGCCATGCATCCATAATCTTAATTCGGGATTTATTTATTAATTTTATTGGGCGTTTTGCCATGCATCCTTGATCTTATTTCAGGATTTTTTTTATAATTTTATTGGGAGTTCTGCCATGCATCCTTGATCTTAATTCGGGATTTATTTATTAATTTTATTGGGAGTTTTGCCATGCAGCATTCATTTCATAGACTCGGGATTTTTTTTATTACATTTTGTTGGGAGTTCTGCAGCATTAATTTTAAAAAGCTCAGTTTTTATATTGATTTTGTTTGGGATTTTGCCATACAACATTAATTTTAAACGCTCGGCGTTTTTTATTCATTTTATTAAGAATTCATTCAGGTGTTAATTTTTGTTCATTTTGCATTAATGTACATAAATTATGCTTACTGGTGATGCTCACTAAACTAAAAGTGACCGACTAATATCATCCAGAGATATATTACTTATTCCAGCCATTCTCGAGCTGAAACTTGAACACTGATTTTTTCTTTTGCGATATTTTTCATCCTTCATTGGAACTTAACTTGTCTCTTAATAACGTATTTCTTGTGCTGCAGTTCTATGCTAACATAATTCTTGTGCTGCAGTTCTACGCTGACACGTAATTTTTGTGCTGCAGTTCTACGCTGACACGTAATTTTTGTGCTGCACTTCTACGCTCACACGTAATTTTTGTGCTGCAGTTCTACGCTGACACGTAATTTTTGTGCTGCACTTCTACGCTGACACGTAATTCTTGTTCTGCAGTTCTACGCTGACACGTAATTCTTGTGCTGCAGTTCTAGGCTGACACGTAATTCTTGTGCTGCAGTTCTACGCTGACATAATTCTTGTGCTGCAGTTCTACGCTGACATAATTCTTGTTCTGCAGTTCTACGCTGACACGTAATTCTTGTGCTGCAGTTCTAGGCTGACACGTAATTCTTGTGCTGCAGTTCTAGGCTGACATGTAATTCTTGTGCTGCAGTTCTAGGCTGACACGTAATTCTTGTTCTGCAGTTCTACGCTGACACGTATAATTCTTGTGCTGCGGTTCTACCCTGACATGTATAATTCTTGTGCTGCGGTTCTACCCTGACATGTATAATTCTTGTGCTGCAGTTCTACGCTGACACGTAATTCTTGTGCTGCAGTTCTACGCTAATAAATTCTTATGCTGCAGTTCTATGCTGACACATAATTCTTGTGCTGCAGTTCTACGCTGACACGTAATTCTCGTGCTGCAGTTCTACGCTGACACAAACATAATTCTTGTGCTGCAGTTCTATGCTGACACGTAATTCTTGTGCTGCAGTTCTATGCTGACACGTAATTCTTGTGCTGCAGTTCTACGCTGACACAAACATAATTCTTGTGCTGCAGTTCTACGCTGACACAAACCTAATTCTTGTGCTGCAGTGGTTCTAGCGTAATTCTTGTTCTGCAGTTCTACGCTGACGCCAACGAAGCAGAGTCGTGGATCAAAGAGAAGCGCCCTCTGGTCGAGAGCACCGACTTCGGTGAGGACGAACCGAGTGGCCGCGCCCTCCTTCAGCGCCACGCTCGGCTCGAGGAAGAAGTCAAGGCCTACAAGGGCGACATCGCAGCTCTACAGCAGCAGGGGCAGAAGCTAACTGCTGCCGGCATCACCGTTCTTAGTGTAAGTGCTCCAGTTGGACGAAAAATAATTCTGCTACCAGGATAACAGTTCTACAGTTCGGCTATAATTATTTCATAAGCTATTTCCAATTAATTCTGAATGTTTTATTGTAGCCTCTTGTTCAAATGGGACAGGCTTTTGGCATTAAAATTCTAGTTTCAGGGCTATAATTCAATTAATAATTAAATTACATTTGTTTTTTCATTTGCTCGTGAAAAGGTTTTAATTTTTTTGCTAAAATAAATATTTTTTCTATGAATTTGCTAATTTGCTTTCAACTGATGATTTTTTACTGTCTGATGACTGTAAAAAATAAGTATTACCAGCGCTTATAAATAAACAATTATTACCAGCGAAGTGTATTACCAGCGCTTGTAATATACTTCGAATTCCAAGTACGATACTTAGATTTTAATTAGTGATTATTTCCTTATGAATAGAATGTATATTAGTCATGTATATTACGGAGAAACCGTCAATCACTCAGTAACAACCAATAACGTGGACCTCATTCTCGTAGATCGTTTTACGTTACTTTAGGTAATGTGCAATTCCATGAGCTGGTTAACTCACGTTCGAAAAATATTCTCGTCGTTTTTTTATTTGTCAATGACGGCTAAATAAATACGGTTCAGTTATACACGAGAATGATTTCTTATTATAGTTTTTTTGCACTCGTCGACCCTACCGCGCTATATATTGAGCAAGCAACCTGTACGTCGTCATAGATAGTGCTTTCTTACAACACTTCTCTTTAACTTCACTTCTTGTTGTTTGTTTGTCTGTCTGCTACAAATCTCATAATCGATATTTAACACACTTCTACCTCTCCAATCGATCTAAAATTTTGCACACTTGCGTAAAGTTGGAGACAATGAATGAATAAATTGACCGAATAAATAATTTTATAAATTAAAAAAAGTTTAAAAATAATTTCGTCTGCTACAAATCTTATAATCCATATATGACACTATTTGACCTGTCCAATCGATCTGAATTTTTGCACAATTGCATAAAGTCAGAGACAATGCATGAATCAGGTGACAGAATAAATAATTTTGAAAATTTACAAAATTTTGATAGGCCTTCCTAAAAAATTTTTGAAAAACAAATTTTTTAACATTTGAAAATAAAATTAGAAATTTTTAGAATTTAGAATTAGAAATTCATTTTACATGGTAATATCCAAGACACTGGATTCTTCAGAAGTGTTGTCTTTAAAAAGTAATTTTTAAACGCATATTATTTTACACCTACAAACATGATTTTAACGCCTTGATTCTTTTGCACATTTTCATGTAATCATTCAATGCCATCATGTATTTATACCAATACTATGAAATAAATATACATTTTTAAACTTTCCTGGAAGGTTAAAAACGTTAAATCTTTTTCTTTGCAGCTGAACTCTCAGGCGAGTCAGCAGCTGCCTGACGACGACCCAGACGACAAGTGGGAATTGGTGAGATATTTCTAATATTTATTTGCTTATTATTATTGATTTGCTTATTGTTATTTATTTGCTTATTATTATTCATTTGCTTATCATTAAGTATTTGCTTATTATTATTCATTTGCTTATTATTAAGTATTTGCTTATTATTCTTTTTTTTACTTATTATTCATTTACTTATTATTTATTCCTTTGCTTATTATTATACATTTGTTTATTATTATTCATTTGCTTATTCTTATTTATTAACTTATTATTCATTTGCTTATTATTGTAGGCCTTTACGAGTTGCTCAATATGACATAACGGTCGGCGTGTAATGCTTCTTTTAATACGAAACTTTCATTTTCTTTGAAATATACCTTTGCTGTTGATGCCTTCACTTATCTGCTGTATGCGCTCGTCGCCATTAAAGCCCCTTTCACACACGACGTGAAATGCCGCATGCGTCAAAAACACACAGCGGTATTTGCCGCGTTATCATTCACACAAGACGGTAAATGCTGCATGCGTAAAAAACACAACGGTATTTACCGCACAATCATTCACAATAAGCGGCTTTTTACGCTTGAATCTTTCAGTATTGCAGTGCTGTTCTCCAAAATTGGTGATCAGTTTTTGTGAGCTCTATATAAATGGCTGTTCTAAGTAAAGAAAAGAAGATTCTCCTGTTGTACTTACTGCGTGAAAAACAGCAAATGAGGAAAAGAAGGCGCTGCTGGGTTCACCATATAGTATATTTTAAGACCCCTATAAGAAGGACAATTTGTCACACTATTTGAAAAATTAAGAGGATATGAAGCCAAATTCTTTAATTAATTCCGTATGTAAGCAGAAAGTGCCGATGAATTGTTGTCTGTGCCAGACTACCCGCTATCTGTACAAGACTAGGATGTGCGTAAAAAACCGCTGCGTCAAAAGCCGCACTGTATGAAAGATTACATTGTATTCCATTGCAAGCAAAACTGTTGCAGCAAATGCCGCAGCAGTTTTGGAAGAACACACTCAGGCAGCATGCGTCAAATGCGACGCTGCGTTAAAAGCCGTCGTGTGTGAATAGCAGCGAAGATTACGTATGTCCGCTGAGGTTCGACGTGAAATACCGCTGCGTTTTTTTTGACGCATGCGGCATTTCACGTCGTGTGTGAAAGGGGCTTTTGCGTTTCGGATGTCGCAATGATCGAATTTTTAGCAGTATTATTAGAATTAGAATTTACATTGTAATATACTTCGAATTGTAGTACAAATTAGTATAATTGGGATACGCAGTTTAATAAAAATTACGATCGATGTATTGACAGTTTCTAAATTAGCTAAAATCGTTGGCATATTTCATAATATATTCCTGTTCCCTGATGGCCGACATACTAGTGGTGTGCCTGTTTATGCGTGTTCATCTCTAACTATTGTGTCTATATACTTAATTGTAAGAGAGGGTGAAGTATTGTGCTACATTGGGAGGTGATAAAGTACAATTGATACATTGTGAGGTGATGAAGTACAATTACCACATTGTGAGGTGATGAAGTACCACATTGTGAGGTGATGAAGTACCACATTGTGAGGTGATGAAGTACCACATTGTGAGGTGATGAAGTACCACATTATGCGGTGCTGCCGTCAGGTGGACGAGGTTATCCTGGTACCGGAGGAGGTGGTGACGGAGGTACCGTACGAGTACGAGCACGAGAAGTATGTCACACAGACGCAGGTCATGCCTACGGTCAAGGCCAAGTATCAGTTTGACGGCCAAGGCATGAAGATGGTCAAAGGCGAGGTCAGTTCTATTCAACTTTATTTATTTAACAGTTTGTAACTTCACAAAAATAAGGCGAGGTAAGTTTTATTTAACTTTATTTATTTAACAGTTTGTACTACATAAAAATAAGGCGAGGTCAGTTTTATTTAACTTTATTTATATGACAGTTTGTAACTTCATAAAAAATGTGGCAAGATTGGGATGTATGGAGATTCCAACATGTGCAAGGAAGAACGCTTGTGAGCTTTGAAATATTCTATATTTTTTATTAGTGACTAGTTGTTGGACTAATTTAACGACTAGTGTTTAGTTTTGACTTGATGGTTATTATATTTGAATTTGATTCTTCTTTAGTCTTAAAATGTCAAACGAAACTATGATTCCTTTAGTTCCGAGCACGCTGAGAAAAATCACCAAACCTGGAATGATTTTAATGATTATAATCTCGAACATGAACCATTTGAAAATACCTGCATGCGCGCATATGTCCAGGATATTTCTACAGACCAATTCTTACAGAAGAGGCCAAATGAAGCAAGTAAAGATATTATCTATGCTATAGAATGTTTGTCTATGAATCTCATGGGTTTCACTACATTTATCTGCCGCCCTGTGGTGCAGATGTCTTCCTAATTTTGAGATATCGCTCATAACATCAACTCTATGGTACTATTTATATGATGTATGGTGGCATAGCTTAAAGCCATGTGTATGAGATTCATGAATATGAATAGATGTGGCGCTCTTAAAAAAATCGTTCCCGAGAAACTCGAGGTCATATTTTACTGGTCACATATAGCAAGGGTTTGTCTTAGCTTCGGAAAGTTGTCATTGAATTCATGTACGAATCTTGATTTACTTTTATGTTGTATTTACAGGAAATGTTTCTGGTGGCTAAAACAAACGCTGATTGGTGGAATGTGCGAAAAGTTTCTGGAGAAGAAGGTTTCGTGCCTGCCAACTATGTCAGAGAAGGTAATTTACCCACGAAAATTTTTTTTTCGTAAAATATTTCGCCGGTCGTAGGAAAACAAATTTTCACTATTTTTATGTGTCTGTGGATCCTAATTTAATTGAAATATTTTATAGACTTGGTATTTTATTATGAATAATATTAACTCAATAAAATGATTTTTGTTATATTCATGTTGATTTATGGAAATAATTTTGTATTTCTAGGGGAGCCTCGTGAAGTGCAAGTGAAAGTGAAGCAACTGGAGAAGAAAACGGAAGTACGCAAGGAAGTGAAGCAAGTTCTTACGAAGAAAGTCGTGCAAACTAAGAAGAGGAAAATCGCTCCACCAAGTAAATTCCTTAAATTAATTTCCTGTATTGATGATAAATTTACTTATAGCTCGCACATTATCTTCCATAAGTTATTTTTCCTCCTTGATATTTTAATTTTAGTTAAAATTTAAATTAATGAAATAATTTTAATTGTCCCACTCCAACACTTATTTGCTCAGATGTCGTTCCCATCTCAAGTCTTGTATTGTTCTATTCAATATCTTGTACTAAAGTTGAACATGTGTTTCACTTCCTTCTATAGCCACATAAAGGTGCTAAGAACTACATAAAGGTGCTAAGAACTCTGTATCCTCGGAGACATTTATTAATTAATATAAAAATAATCCTAAGAAAATCCATAACGGTTTTTACCACAACATTAATGTTCTTAACGCACCGGATTTCTGTTCCAATTTTATTCTTAACTTGCCTGATTTTGCTCCTACGTTGTTCTTAACCGCGCAGGGTTTTTTCATCAATGTTATCCTCGACGCAGCCGTTTATGATTATTAATTAAAATTAACAAACAACTGTCGTCCCTTGTTTCCTCAGGTCGCAGCAAGCCGCGAGTCCCGGAGGAGTCCCGTGAGACGGTGACGCAGAAGTTTGATTATTAATTAATTAAAATTAACAAACAACTGTCGTCCCTTGTTTCCTCAGGTCGCAACAAGCCGCGTGTCCCGGAGGAGTCCCGGGAGACGGTGACCGAGAAGTTGTCCGGGATCAGTTCCTCCTTATTAATTGATAAAAATTAACAAACAACTGTCGCCCCTGTTTTCGCCGTTTATGATTATTAATTAGTTAAAATTAACAAACAACTGTCGTCCCTTGTTTCCTCAGGTCGCAGCAAGCCCCGTGTCCCGGAGGAGTCCCGTGAGACGGTGACGCAGAAGTTGTCCGGGATCAGTTCCTCCTACGCCGGCCTGCTGACGGCGGCTGAGACCAGACGTCTTCTGCTGCTCGACGCCATCGCCCTCTTCGCCTTCTACAGCGAGTGCTCGGGCTTTGATCAGTGGATGCGAGACAAGGAGAAAATGCTTAAAGTAATTACTTGGGACTTATATCTGTTGCATATTATATTGATTTTAAGCGTGACAAGGAGAAAATGCTCAAAGTAATTTACTGTGACTTATATGATTTTTATTTATATCTGTTGCATATTATAGTAGTATAGTATCTTCGGCATTGAAGAATAGGCCTGAATAGGCCTGTTATATTGATTTTAAGCTTGACAAGGAGAAAATGCTCAAAGTAATTACTTGGGACTTATATCTGTTGCATATTATATCGATTTTAAGCGTGACAAGAAGAAAATGCTCAAAGGAATTACTTGAGACTTATAGTATCTGTCACACGTTACGTTAATATTATTATTAAATACTGATTCAGTGTTAATTGGGCCACGTTGGCATATTGCCGATTTTTAACTTTATTTTTAACGCTGATTTTAACTATCGCCTTCCACCTTGTCAATTTCGGCCTGAATTTTTAGTCCCGAATATGAATTCGACTTAAATCCACAAACAATGCTCTATCGAGGTTAATTGGGTGAGTGATCAGAATTAAACGGTTTAAAAACTCGCTGCAACTTACCGTTGCTAGAAAAAGTTTGTAAAATTATCGTTTAAAAATTATTAACGATTATAATTAAATTATTCTCAAATTCTTGCTCTCCCTCGTGATACACAGGACGAAGAAAACTCGTCAGATGATGTCGAGGCTGCGAAGCGCAAGTTTGAAAAATTCTTGACTGATTTGTCTGCTGCAAGCAAGAGAATTAAGAACATCGATGACATGGTCGAAGAGTTCAGCAAAAGTGGACACAGTCAACTCGGGAAGGTACAATGAGTTATTTACTTTTAGTCTCTTGTATTTGTGTCAAATGACTATACCATTCTTCACTCGTGCTAAATTTAAAGTTAGCGTCATTATTCTACTATCATTGTTTCTGTATTTTCCGACGTATTTTTTAATTTGAATCACAGGACTTTACTTTTATGTGTTAAGTTCAAAAAAATTTTAAGACATCTGTGTGCAGTGACCGTATGATAATTTCAACCTCGCTACCGTACACGTTTGCTCTGACATGTTAGACCTCACGACATTTTACTACGCGTATGTGAATTGTTTGCTAATTCTGCACCAGATTAAGAACGCTTACAAAAATTCCTACAACATTCATGATATTATTATTCTGCAATATCCAATCTCACAAAATTTCTATCCTGAATGTTAATATTTTACTGTTATTTCGCCAGATCGACGCGCTGCAGGAGCAGATTTTCGTCCATGTCCATGATATTTTATTTTTCTGAAATATTTAACCTCATGAAGTTTCTATCCTGAGCGTTAATATTATGCGGTTATTCTGTTATTTCGCCAGATCATGGCGCGTCAGAAACAAATCCAAGATTTTTTAATATTATACTGTTATCCAAGATCCACGACCTGTCAATATTCTAATTTTATTTCGGCAGATCAAGGCGCGTCAGAATTACTCATTTATCTGCTTAATTTACTAAAATTTAATATTTCTTTACTCTTACTCATTTATCTGCTTAATTTGCTAAAATTTAATAATAACGCAATCAAGTAATATAATATGGAACTCTGCCAATAATATTTCTTTGCTCTAACTCTTTTATCTGCTTGATTTAATAAATATTTAACAGTAACGCAGTCAAGTAATCTAATAAGGAAAACTTCTAATCAGTTTGTCTTGAATATTTCTTTGCTCTAACTCTTGTATCTGCTTAATTTATTAAAATTTAACAGTAACAGAGTAACAGCACTTTTAATTTATAAAATTTTAATTTTGTAATCTTTGGATTGAAATTTAACTCTAACGCAGCAACAACAATTTTTATTTGTAACATTTTAATTATTTAATCTCTGGATTGAAATTTAACTCTAACTTGGCAACAACACTTTTTACAACACTTCTCGTTATAACTTCACTTCTTGTTTGTCTGTTTGTCTGTCTGCTACAAATCTCATAATCGAAATTTAACACACTTCTACTTATCCTATCGATCTGAAATTTTGCACACTTGCGTAAAGTTGGAGACAATGCACGCAAGTGCGCAATGGAGATTGGAGACAATTTTTTTCAATATTAAAAAAATTTAAAAAATAATTTTGTCAGCTACAAATATTATAACTGAGGTTTGACACACTTTTACCTGTCCAATTGATCTTAAATTTCGCACACTTGTGTGAAGTCGGAGGCAATGCTTGAATCAATCGACGGAATAGATAATTTTGAAAAAAAATTTGTATATATAAAAAATTGAAAATTTTTTTTTAATATTCGAAAATAAAATGAGAAATTCATTGTATATCTTCAAAATTGAAGACACTGGATTCTTTAGAAGTGTTGTCTTTAAAAAGCAATTTTTAAACGTATGTTGTTATTTGTAATATTTTAGTTTTGTAATCTTTAGGTTGAAATTTAACTCTAACGCAGCAACAACAATTTGTATTTGTAATTTTTTAGTTTTGTAATCTTTGGATTGAAATTTAACTCTAGGGCAGCAACAACAATTTTTATTTGTAACATTTTAATTTTGTAATTGGATTGAAATCTAACTCTAACGCTGCAACAACACTTTTTATTTGTAACCTTTGGATTGAAATCTAACTCTAACGCAGCAACAACACTTGTTATTTTTAACATTAATTTTCAATTCTGTAATCTTTGGATTGAAATTTAACTCTAACGACGCAACAACACTTTTTATTTATAACATTTTAATTTTGTAATTGGATTGAAATCTAACTCTAACGCTGCAACAACACTTTTTATTTGTAACCTTTGGATTGAAATCTAACTCTAACGCAGCAACAACACTTTATTTGTAATCTTTGGATTGAAATCTAACTCTAACGCTGCAACAACACGTTTTATTTGTAATCTTTGGATTGAAATCTAACTCTAACGCTGCAACAACACTTTTTATTTGTAATCTTTGGATTGAAATCTAACTCTAACTCAACAACAACACGTTTTATTTCTAACATTTCACTTTGTAATCATTGTATTGAGAAACAAATGCCCCACGCAGGTAACCCACGTAAAGACGCTGGGCAGCTCCGTGAAGGCCTCGTACCCCAACGAGCGTCCGATGGTGGACCGACAACTCGCTGAGATCGAGCAGATCTGGCAGGAAGTTAAGAACTCAGCCGAGGATCGCAGGAATAGACTCCAGGAGGCCGTCGGCAAGCAAATCTTCTTCAATTCGTCCAGCGTGAGTAAATATGCTTGACTAGATTATGTGTAACAGATGAAACTATTGATGCGTGTTGAAACTATTGAGAAGTGATGAAACTATTGAGACGTGTTGAAACTATTGGCACGTGTTGAAACTATTGGCACGTGTTGAAACTACTGACACGTGTTGAAACTATAAGACGTGTTGAAACTATTGACACGTGTTGAAACTATTGACGCGTGTTGAAACTATTGACGCGTGTTGAAACTATTGACGCGTGTTGAAACTATTGACGCGTGATGAAACTATTGACGCGTGTGTAAACTATTGAGACGTATTGAAACTATTAAGACGTGTTGTAACTATTGAGACGTGTTGAAACTATTGAGACGTATTGAAACTATTGATCGTGTTGAAACTATTGAGACGTGTTGAAACTATTGACCTGTGTTGAAACTATAAGACACGTGTTGAAACTACTAATGCGTGTTGAAACTACTAATGCGTGTTGAAACTATTGAGACGTGTTGAAACTATCGACGCGTGTTGAAACTGTTGACACATTTACGCTTGATGGTCGAAACTATCGACTCATTGACACAGTGATGAAACTATTGACGCACAAAAATGATTTGTGAATCGATGTACGAACTATTAACGCAGCGGTGAAGCTACTCATTAGTTTCAAGCAATTATGTGAATTGATTAAATATAACACATACAAACCTAATTAAACGCGTCAGATGTTGGCTACGAGGCATTGTGTCAATTATCACCGCATGTGATCAATCTTCTCTGGGGTTTCCTTCAGATATTTTTTTCAGTAACATATCGCAATCTGTGGATTACTTATTATTATAATTTGATGATGCTATATTCGCGGATATTTTACCTTGATTATATTAATTATTTTATAAGTTATTTGAACTTTTAGTTGTGGTAATCACTAAAATTTAATAGTACATTCTGGTCTTTTTGTTGTTAAGTTCTGGAACCTTTACTGGACCTTAATTGTCCTTAGGTCCAGTATAGCGCGCGTCTCATTGTTCTATTTACTGTGAGAACTTTTACCCTTAATTTATGTTAACCTTTAAAATTTGTTAAACTTTAATTAATGTTACCCTTTAAAATATGTTAACCCTTACTTTATTAACCTTTCTGCCATGCAGTCACTTCTGGCGTAGGTAATCAACGTGAAGTCTCAGCTTAATTGAGCGACATAGCGTTATATCTTATATAAATTATACAGTATCATGTCATCTCGGATAACATACTACATAAGTTATATAATATCGTTAAAACTATAAAAAACACAGTCGCTCCTGGCGTGGGTGAGTGACGTGAAATCTGAGCTGAAAGCTTAATTCGGGACAAATAGCGTTATATTTTATGTATATATCATACAGTATCCTGTTATCTCAGATAACATACTACATAAGCTATATAATATACAAATTATATTGAAAACACAGTCACTGCTTGCGTGGGTGAGCGACGTGAAGTCTGAGCTGAACTCGAGCGACACGGCGACGGACGTGACGACGGCAGAGCTGCTGCTGAAGGCGCACCACGAGCTGGGGGATGACATCCGTGCGCACGAGGACGAGTTCAGGGAGATCCAGCAGCTGGGCGTGAAGCTGGGCGCCCAGGGAGATGTCCGGGACAAGGTGAGACTTGACGAGTTCATGGAGATCCAGCAGCTGGGCGTGAAGCTGGGCGCCCAGGGTGATGTCCGGGACAAGGTGAGACTTAACGAGTTCAGGGAGATCAAGCAGCTGGGCGTGAAGCTGGGCGCTCAGGGCGATGTCCGGGACAAGGTGAGACTTAACGAGTTCAGGGAGATCAAGCAGCTGGGCGTGAAGCTGGGCGCCCAGCTAGGGAGATGTGCGGGACAAGGTGAGACTTGTTTCCTTATATATGTTTCTTTCTTATGAAGACAATTAAAATGTTTTCTCACATATAATGGGCGAAAATAGCAGCCAGATAGTTTATATCTCGGGATCGAATAGAGGAGACTTATTTCCTGATGTTTCTTTCTTTCTTATGAATACAAAGTACGGTCACATAACCCAGTGATTGACTGTGAAATACATTCACATCGCCAAGGTGAGACTTGTTTTTTGATGTTTCTTTCTTATGAAGACAATTAAAATGTTTTCTCACATATAATGGGCGAAAATAGCAGCCAGATAGTTTATATCTCGGGATCGAATAGAGGAGACTTATTTCCTGATGTTTCTTTCTTTCTTATGAATACAAAGTACGGTCACATAACCCAGTGATTGACTGTGAAATACATTCACATCGCCAAGGTGAGACTTGTTTTTTGATGTTTCTTTCTTATGAAGACAATTAAAATGTTTTCTCACATATAATGGGAGAAAATAGCAGCCAAATAGTTAATATCTCGGGATTAAATTGTAGACAGTATATTATTTTATTTAAATTGAAATAATTATAAAAATATATTTTCCCAAAATGTATATCTTTATGTGTACAAGATGCATATTGAAAACTCACAGGAAAATATTTAACGATAAAATACGATATATTAGCGGGATTATTAATTAATGTATATTTATAACAGTAATAATGGTATTTAATTTGATTGTGTTAGCTGGAAGAGCTGAGCGAGAAGCAGCTAATATTTAACGCTAAAATATTATTTTTCTAGCTCTATAATTATCTATATATTTGTAAAGATTAATAACGGTATTTCATTTGATTGTGTTAGCTGGAAGAGCTGAGCGAGGAGCAGCTGGCCATCGAGCGCGGGTGGCAGGAGAAGGAGGACTGGCTGAGGCAGTGCCTCGACCTGCAGCTCTTCAACCGCGACGCTGACCAGATCGACGTAGCCACTAGTGCTCATGAGGCCTTCCTGGACTACGCTGATATGGGGGTGAGATATGGGCTGAGATATGGGGGGTGAGATATATATGGGGGTGAGATATGGGGGTGACCAGATCGACGTAGCCACTAGTGCTCATGAGGCCTTCCTGGACTACGCTGATATGGGGGTGAGATATGGGCTGAGATATGGGGGTGAGATATGGGCTGAGATATGGGGTGAGATATGGGGGTGACCAGATCGACGTAGCTACTAGTGCTCATGAGGCCTTCCTGGACTACGCTGATATGGGGGTGAGACCTGGGGTTAGCGATATATAGGTGAACAATAGGGGTGAGTGTCTTGGTGGTGTGAGAGGGAAGGACTAGACATGGGGTGAACGACAGAGGGGTGAGCGACATCGTGGAATGTGAGGCATGGCATGAGCTACAGGGGGGGGCAAGTGTCATGGGGGGAGACATGAGGCGATCGTTATCCCAACGCAACAGCAGAGGACAATCGTACGTTAAATCCTTTACCTTATTATGCAATTTACAATAAAGGCTTCCATTGTTAAAATCCTTTTCAGTATCACATTACCAGGATATACTTAATTAAATTTGTATTAGTCACTAACACTAACTTGTTGCCGTTCCGACATCATTGTACACTCACTTTAAGGAGTCCAAGATAAATAAAATGAAGATTATAAGATTAATAAGATCAGCAATTAGATCAGCAATTTTAAACCTCAATGGTAGATTATTTTATAATCATAAGATTAATCAAAAATTGATTGATTAATCAATGATTGATTAATTGATTAATGATTAAAAATGATTGATTGATTAATAAATAATCAAATTGATGATTAATTGATAATCTTACGATTATAAGATTAATAAGATCAGAAATTTTTAGCTCAATGTTGTATTATTTAACGCTTGCAGGACACGCTGGACGGCGTGGAGGCGCTGCTGAAGCGGCACGGTGAGCTGGAGAGCACACTCATGGCGCAGAACGAACGCCTCGCAGCCTTCAGCGACACCGCTGATAAACTTATCGAGGCTAACCATTACGAAGCTGATAAAATCAACGACCGACGCTGTCAGGTAACCAGCATAGACCTATGGTTCGCCTAATAGTTTCAATCTTTAATGTGAATTCTAAACTCATCGAGGCTAACCATTATGAAGCTGATAAAATCAACGACCGACGCTGTCAGGTAACCAGCATAGACCTATGGTTCGCCTAATGGTTTCAATCTTTAATGTGAATTCTAAACTCATCGAGGCCAACCATTACGAAGCTGATAAGATCAACGACCGTCGCTGTCAGGTAACTACCATCTAAGCTGTGTGGGGAACCATGCATAGACCGATGGTTTGCCTAATAGTTTTCGTCTTTAATTTGAATTCATTCAATATACTGTGCATAGACCGATGGTTCGCCTAATAGTTTCAGTCTTTACTTTGAATTCATTTAAGATAAATCTGTGCTATGATCACAATGCTAGTTTTTGTATGGCTTATGTAATTTCATTCCAAGTACATTTCAAAAGGCCAAAAGAGAATGACTATGATAAAGATTGTTGTAAGTATGGCTTATAAAAGCCACATGACTAATAAAAGCATAAAACTTTATGGCTAATGAAAATATTAAACTTAGTGGCTGATAAAAGCATAAAACTTTATGGCTAATAAAAACATTAAACTTTATGGCTAATAAAAACATAAAACTTCATGGCTAATAAAAACATTAAACTTAATGGCTAATAAAAGCATAAAGCTTAATGGTTAATAAAAGCATAAAACTTTATGGCTAAAAAAGCATAAAACTTTTTTTTTTACGTTCAGGTCGTGAAGCGTCGTGAAGCTGTGAAGGCTAAAGCAGACGAGCGCCGCCACATGTTCCAGAGCTCATTAGCGTACCAGCAGTTCCGTGCTGACGCGGACGACTTCGCTAAATGGATTGCGGACAAGCAAAAGCTTGCCAGTGATGAGAGCTACCGGGATCTGAACAACCTTGAGAGGAAGCTTCAAAAACATGAAGCTTTCCAGCGTGAACTTCACTCGAACGAAGGACAGCTTAGAAACTTGAACAAAACTGGCCAAAGTCTCATCAATATGGGACATTACCGGAAGGATGATATCGCCGCGACTCTGGATGATCTCAACAAGAGCTGGAAAAAAGTTTGTGAAGATACTGCAGAGCGCGGCAAAAAGTTGCAGCAAGCAAATGACCAGCACAATTATAACAAGAACCTTGAAGAAGCTGGCAAAACTTTGGACGACCTGGAGGCAGCATTAAAAAACCAAGACGTTGGGACGGATTTACGGTCGTGCAAGATGCTCATCAACAAGCAATCAAACATCGATAACGACCTTAACAACATGGAGAAGAAGATAAATGACATGCAGAGCACAGGACAAAGCATGGCTAATGACAGTCATTTCGACGCAGGAAATATTTTGAAGGGATGTGATGCTCTCAAGACGCGGTTCCAGAAACTGGAAGGTCCAGCCGCAAGCCGGCGCGCCGCGCTCGATGAATCCCTTCACTTCCATCAATTCTGGTTTCAAGTGGACGCTGAGATGCAGTGGATAAATGAACATAAACCGCTTGCTACTGCACAAGTTGTTGGTCAGGATCTTCATGAGGCACAAAAACTGCAGAAGAAACATCGTAAATTGGAAGCTGAACTGGAGGGGCATAAGCCAATGATCGATAAAACTGTACAGCTCGGAAATGATTACATCGCCAAAAAACATCCTCAGTCAGAAAAGGTACTTGGGTTTTTTTTACAAAATTTCTTTTTAATTTCATTCTACAAAGCGAAAACAATTGTTGATATTTATGAGAAAAACAAAATTTTCTTATCACTTAAAATTTTAGTCGAGAATTTTATTGCTCTGGACACTTTTATTGCGTGAAATGATTCAGAGAAAAAACGTTATGAAAACTCATAGAGCTCGCATTCATACTAATACTCAATCGTAAAACTTACCGTATTGAATAAACTTACTTTATTGTTGAAACTTATTGTATTTTAAAAACTTTTTCTTTTCTAGAGACTTTTTGTGTATTCTTTGCTAACGATAACCTTATAGTAAGTATATTCTGACAATATTCCGACAATTTTTCACAACATAGTAAGTATATTCTGACAATATTCTGACAAGTATATTCTGACAATATTCTGACAATTTTTCAATTTCAGATCAAGGGACTTTGTTCGGAGCTGTCACAGAGCTGGCAAGAGCTGGTGACGGCAGCAGCCAAGCGTCAGCAGATGCTCGAGCTCTCGCTCAGGGCCCAGCAATATTTCTTTGAGGCCAACGAAATAGAGTCCTGGCTCGCTGAGAAACGCAACCTTCTCACCACCACAGACTACGGCAGGGATGAAGACGTCGCCCGCAAGCTCCTTGCTAAGCACAAGGTCCGACAAAAAATTTCACGATAAGAATAACCCTCGAAATTTACGAGAATTTCTGTATGAGAAAATTTCGTGCTAAGATCATGTCTAAAAATTTGCGAGAATTTCAGTATGAGAAACTTTCGTGCTAAGATCACGTCTAAAAATTTGCGAGAATTTCAGTATGAGAAACTTTCGTGCTAAGATTACGTCTAAAAATTTGCGATGATTTCTGTGTGAGAAAATTTCGTGCTTAGATTAACCCTCGAAATTTACGAGAATTTCTGTAATAGAAACTTTGGTGCTGTGATAAACACTCGAAATTTGCGAGAATTTTTGTATGAGAAACTCTCAAGCTAAGATTAACCCTCGAAATTTATGAGAATTTCTGCATGAGAAACTTTCGTGCTAAGACCAACCCGCGAAATTTGCATGAATTCCTGTATGAGAAAATTTCGTGCTAAGATCACTTCTAAAAAGTTTCGAGAATTTTTGTATGAGAAACTTTCGGTGCCTATGATCGCCCGTAGAAATTTACGTACTAGGTATGTAACTGTATAAGAAACTTTCGAGTTAAAATCACCCTTTAAAATATGAGAGGATAGTGAAATATTGTACGAGGCCTCGGATTAATGTTTGACTTTGAGGCCAATGCGTGAGGAATGTGATCTCTTGACCTCTTGAATGTGATCTTCATGACTTTGTGACGATACTATAAAATTTAATCGAATTATTTTGCAGACAATTGAGTTAGAAATAGACTCGTACTGCGGACTGGTCAAGGAGATGGGCACCACTGCTGACGGGCTCGTGAAAATCAACCATCCTCAGTCCAAGCTCATCAAGGAGCGTCAACATGTAAGAGTTTAACTTCATAGTTCAACAAAGAGGCGCTTGCTTTGACTCTGGTATTTATCTTTCTATTTAATTGACTAGAAGGAACATTATTCGTCCTATTTTATTCATGTAGGAATTGTTCTTTTTGTTCAAGACGCCAGCGAATTTAGAAATTTAGAACATGATGAGTTTTGGTCAATCTTGAAACTGCCATCGTAAATCTCGCAATTATTTCTATTTTTTCGCTCATGGGTCAATAATTATAGATGATTCATCGTCAATGAGAAGTTAATTATTAAACATGCAGCATCATTTCACACACTCATTGTGCACCATTCTGCTTATATTTACAGATAGTGAACCAGGAGCTAAAGGAGCTACAGAAGCTGTCTGGAGCACTGCGTACTAAGCTCATGGAGTCGATGTACCGGCACGAGTACATGAGGGAGGCGGAGCAGCTGGAGACGTGGGTGCAGGAGCAGATGATTACAGCAACCAGTCAGGACTTCGGCCAGGACTACGAACATCTTCTCGTGAGAGATTTTTATATTGTAGAAGATTTTACACTATCAAAACGTTCATACTGTCAAGACTTTTATACTTCTGGAACTGAAACGAAAATTATTGTTAAGGACTTCGGCCAGGACTACGAGCATCTTCTTGTGAGATACTTATATTATAGAGGCTTTTACACTATCAAAATTTTCATACCTTCTCGTGAGAGATTTTTATATTATACAAGCAATTGTTTTTACACTATCAAAATGTTCATACTATCAAGACTTTTATACCTATCAAACTGAGACGTTTTATAATATCAAAATATTAATAATATCATGGCATTTATACTTTGGAACTGAGACGAAAGTTTTTGTTATTTCGAGTACAATTTCCGACACGTGAATATGAAGATGTGCTTACGAGACAGAATATTTGTGCTTTAATTTATTGAGTGATTTTTGTCTGCTGCGTGTAATACCAGCGTTACGACTGCACGCTCGAAATCATGCTCATATTCTTTATCTTTTAATTATTATTGTATAATAGTATTGCGCTAAAAGTAGTATTATAATTTGATCATAACCTGATTGGTGCAGACGAAATCATGAGCGATAGGTAATGAGCGATGAAGAGGTAATTGGTATGGTTGTAATGAACCATCATTTTAAGAATATAAGATATACATATGCGCCCATAATACTGATGCAAGCAAAGTTCTTGGATTTCAAGCACAGGGTGGAGCCTGCGTATAAATCATAAAATATTCATATAAATTATATCGTGCACTTGGAGGACTGGCAAAAACGACAGAGGGGTGGGGTCATAATATGTCATAAGATATTTCAATATTATAGTCAATACGTATAGTTATAAGATATTTACATAAAACATTCACAATGGCGCCCATGCTTGCGATGTGCAGGTTCTGCAAGCAAAGTTCTTCGACTTAAAGCATAAGGTATAGAGGCTGCGCATAGATCATAAAATATTTAAATAACTTATAAAAGTTATAAAATATTCACTTAAAATATTCACAATGGCGCAAATGGTTGCGATGTGCAGGTTCTACTGGCAAAGTTCTTGGACTTAAAGCATAAGGTATAGAGGCTTCGCATAGATCATAAAATATTTAAATAACTTGTAAAAGTTATAAGATATTCACATAAAATATTCACAATGACGCAAATGGTTGCGATGTGCAGGTTCTGCAAGCAAAGTTCTTGGACTTCAAGCACAGGGTGGAGGCAGGTTATGAACGCTTCAATCAATGCGAGGAGCTCGCTAAAAAACTCGTGGCTAACGACAGCCCCTACACTCACGACATCGAGACTAACCAACTCCAGCTCAGGTATGATCATTCCTCTCACCTACATGTTTTATTTCAAAAATTTAATCATTTTTAAGTGAATTTTATATAGTAAATGTAAAAACTCCAGCAGCTCCAGCTCAAGTATATATGATGGTTTCTCTCAGTCAGGTATGATGGTTCCTTTCACATACACGTTTTATTTTAAAAATTCAATTATTTTTGTTGAACTGTACAGTAATTGTAAAAACTCTAGCTCAGGTATGATCATTCCTCTCACATATATGTTTTATTTAAAAATTTAAATTATTTTTAATTGAATTTTACAGTAAATATAAAAATTCCAGCTCAGGTACCGTATGATGGTTCATTTCACCTACACGTGTTAGAATGGGGCAATTATTTTTTGAAACTTTGCCTATTTTACTGATTTTAAGAAGTATCCTTAATTGTGAGCTCTATTCGAGGAAAACTGCCTTGGTTTTCTCATTGAGACGCTTTGAATTATGGTTCAATTATGGTTCAGTACCATTAGCCATAAAGTTGTTCAGTTATGGTTCAATTGTACATGGTTGAATTATAGTTCAATTGTGGTTCAATTATGGTTTAGTTCGTTAGCCATAAAGTTGTTCAGTTATGGTTCAGTTGTGCATGGTTGAATTTTAGTTCAATTATGGTTCAATTATGATTCAGTTATGACCAGTCGTCTTGACTTCTGGCTCGCCACAATGTCTGTTTCTAGGTGATGCCTTAGGTTGCCGTATGATATTTCACTTTGAATTGGCTAGATAAAAATCGTGCGAAATTGTGCCAAGCCTTGGCTATCGGCCAGCACAGTTGATTTCAAGTTTCGAAATAGGTAAGTGGAAAACTCTACTTTATTTTGGGGAACACTTTAGAGCATGAATTAGTGCACATAACTTCTAGTGCAAGAATTATATCTAACATACATTCAATGCTTCTAGAGCAGGAATTACGGTATGTTTAACATACATTAATTCAATGTGCTTATGCTAACTTTTTCTGTAACAAATAGTCTATATTCTAAGCTAATGCATGATCGTTATCGTCATTTGTGCTCTATAAAATCCTTCGTTTCCTCTAGGTTCCTCCCTCCTTGTACTTATTTTAAAGTACCGATAATTCTTCTGCTAGTCTGAGATGAGAATATTGTAGTATGAAGTAGCTCATTGTAGTCTTATTACAAAGCGACCAGCTCATTTTTATTTACATGATTGTTCTCTTGTTGCACTTGAGGTACTTTTTTACGATCCGTCTCACTGCATTTATTCTTTGGTAATTGCTTTAATAAGATAATGCAAGACAATTCCACAAATTTGTATTAACCGTAATTCATTACTAATTATTTCCAAATAATATTATATTCTTTATGTTCAATATTTAATTATTTCATAATTATGATGATCAATATTTAATTATTTCATAATTATGTATGAAGTAGCTTTAATTTATCTCAGATTTATTAAGTGGCTTCATTTTATTCGTAAATTTTCCAATAAGTTATTAAAAATTGTTGTACAATATTCTTCCGCCATTATTTAAAAATTTTATCTCTGTAAATAAAAACGCTTTTTATGTCTAACTCGTTAACTTTCTTACCAGTTTCTTTGTTTCTGGAAGTTGGAAAACAATTAATTTACTGGCAGATTAGCCTTGCGTCTATTATCTCATCATTGCCCGTGCCTTAAAGCCTTTCTTAATCTTATCGAGGCAAGCTTTGTTTTGCTAATAACATTTCAAATACTTTAAAAGAATTCCCTTAATACACACTTTACCTAGTTCATTGACTCGTTCAATATTGCGAGTCTGCTTTATCGAAGTCATATGGGAGGCGAGCTTAAATGGGCAATTATTGAATTAAATCAATATTAAAAAATTCAACTTTCGTTGACTTATAAGTCAACGAAAGTATGAATATGTACATTCTTTTATTTGGTAACCCTTCAACTTCTGTTCTAGACTCAAATTTTCTTGACTAACATATGCACGTGACTTTATTGTCACGTCTAAAGTCACCTACGTGACTTTGACTTGCCCGATCTTGTCGTTCGCTCGACTCACGAAGGCACATTTTCCCTGGACTAACCCGGGCTTATTTGTTCTTGGCATGCGTAGCTCTGACGCTGTAGATGGCAAACACCCTGCAGGCCAAGCCTCCGAGCACAGGGTCGAGGTCACTAAATATCACGCCGTCGTCAGGTGAGATTGGCTGCGGTTTGTACACTGTTAGAAAAATTACCGTTAACGGTATTACCAGCGTTTCAGTGGCCGGTCGGTACGTGAAAAGAAACACCGTGTCGCCATTTTTATTCTAATTTTACACTAGAAATCCGTATAAAATCTGATAAAAACGGCGAAACACTATATTTTCACGGGGCGACCGGCCACTAGAATGCCAGTGGGGACCGTTTTTTCACCGTTTTTTCTAACAGTGTAGTCGCCAGATAGATTTCCTGGACCCTCGTCGGGACATCTGGGGAGAGTTACTCTCGAGAATTTGTACGTAAAATGCATATATTCAGAGTATCGTCATTATTTTAATCAACCATTGAAATCGTGCAGCATGAACTTGAACGCGGGCGATATGTGAACTTAGAACTCGTGCCATATTTAGTTAATAAAAATAAATTATTTTTCGTTTATATAGGTTTCCTAATGATATTTATGTATTTTTCATTGATACTTGATGATCCAGGGCCGCCTGGAACGCTCTTCTGGATGCCATCGCGAACCGGGATGAAAAGTTGGATGCTGCCGCCGAGATCCACCGCTTCAACAGAGACGTGGCTGACGCCTTGTCTCGGATCCACGAGAAGGACAAAATGGTCTCTGACGATCTCGGCAAAGACGTTCACTCTGTGCAAGCTCTGCTCAGGAAACACGAAGGCTTCGAAAATGATCTCGTGGCGCTCGAAGCGCAGCTTCAGGTTCGGCTCGTGTTGTATTAAGCTTTGCTTGTCAAACATCGATCATTTCTGAAGTAGTTCATTGCAATATATTGTGTTTGAAGTGCTCATAGCTGTGCAATCTCTCTTCAACATCCACAAACATCGATCATTTCTGAAGCAGTTCATTGCAATATATTGGAGCTGTTAAAGTGCTATATGCATGTACAGTCTCTCTTCAGCATCCACAAACATCGATCATTTCTGAAGTAGTTCATTGCAATATATTAGAGTGTTTGAAGTGCTCATAGCTGTACAGTCTCTCTTCAACGTCCACAAACATCGATCATTTCTGAAGTAGTTCATTGCAATATATTAGAGCTGTTAAAGTGCTATATGCATGTACAGTCTCTCCTCAACATCCACAAACATCGATCATTTATGAAGCAGTTCATTGCAATATATTAAGAGTGTTTGAAGTGCTCAAAGCTATACAGTCTCTCTTCAACATCCATCAGTGTTGCCACTAATTCTTATTATTTATCAGTTTTGCAACTTCTTATTCATCTGAGAAGTAATTATTTTGAAAATATTCAAGTGTTTGTATTGCTCATTGTGCAGTCGCTCATCTAGAGCCACTTGAAATTATTTATAATTTAAATTAGGGAGTGACTTAGTTTATCGATGAATGACTTTAAATTATATCGGCTGAATGTATTCATAATTTTGAAGATTTTGTTGATTGACGAATACATAATTTTTTCTGAGCAGGTGTTGTTAAATTATATCGGCTGAGTGAATTCATTATTCGGAAAATTTTCTTGGATGACGAACGAACAATATTATATGAGCAGGTGTTGGTTAAATTATATCGGCTGAATGAATCCATAATTTGGAAGATTTGTTGATTGACGAATAAATAATATTTTATGGGTAGGTGTTGATTAAATTACATCAGCTGAATGAATTCATAATTGGGAAGATTTTGTTGATTGACGAATAAATAATATTTTCTGAGCAGGTTTTGGTTAAATTATATCGGCTGAATGAATTCATAATTTTGAAAATTTTCTTGGGTGACGAATAAATAATAATATTTTTTTCTATGCAGGTGTTGTTAAATTATATCGGCTGAATGAATTCATAATTCTTGGCTCAGGTGACAATTGTATATACGTATATTTATATATACATATGTGTACTTATAAAAAGCACGACTGCTCTCATTCTTGGCTCAGGTGACACTTGTATATAATAAACTACATCCTACATATATAGGCCACATTCTCTGCAGAATTTGCATATTAGTACACTTTACATATAAGGCCATTTTCTACATATATAGGCCACATTCTCTGCGGAAGTTTTACACTTACACATATAAAAAGACATCAGCGACTCTCCCATATTCTCTGCGGAATCTGCTTTATTTTTATGTCATGCATTAATGTTATTTTTTCGATTATTCACTGAGAATTTCTCTCTAACAATGTTCGAAAATGACCTCAGTTTGAGAGTCCTCGATCAGTTTCGTTTTTTTTTTTCGTTTGTCCAGCTTTCTTCCCAGGTTACTTTTGTTGTCTTCCGAACGGCTAGGATCCTATCAGTATGAGCTATAATTCCTGTTTGTTTTTATTTATTATTACCACAGATGATACCATGAACGTGCTTTTTAACGCTGCATTTTGCTAGGATATATCAACAGCCTTTAGTAAAACATGACTATATTAATTAGGTATGTAAATATAATTTATAATTATAATAATTATAATTTATATAATATTAATTATTATAATTATTAATTATAATATATAATAATATTTATAATTATTATAGGTATAAATTACAACATTTTTCATCCGTTAATTTCGTTCACACAGTCCCGGGACTTGCTATCCTGGTCGTGCGACCTGCGCTCCAGCATGAAGACTCAAGAGAAGGTTAGTAGTAAGTTAAGGTTAATAGTAATAAGGTTAGTAATAAGTTAAGGTTAATAATAATAAGGTTAGTACTAAGTTAAGGTTAATAATAATAAGGTTAGTACTAAGTTAAGGTTAATAATAATAAGGTTAGTACTAAGTTAAGGTTAATAATAATAAGGTTAGTAATAAGTTAAGGTTAATAATAATAATGTTAGTAATGAGTTAATTTTAATAATAATATGGTTAGTAATAAGTTAAGGTTAATAATAATAAAGTTAGAAATAAGTTAATTAATAATCAAGTTAGAAATAAGTTAAGGTTAAGGTTAGTACTAAGTTCGTAAGTTCGGTAGCTGTCGTGAAAAAGCCTATTATGCTCATCGTATTGGTGTATTTTCTCAAATTATTCAGATTATTTTCGCACGCAAAATCAAAAGAATGAGATTCAATGCATTGTTGGCATGATGAAAATGCCGGCATTTATATGCTTATTTGAAATGTGCTGGCCAATTAATTGTTTCGATTATTATCTCATAATTCTAAAATAAATCTAATGTTATTAGCGCATTTTTTCATTTATGGAAAAAAAGCGCTATTGTGCTCGTCATGTCCGTCCGTCCGTCCGTCCGTCTGTCAGTCTGTGTCACCACGTTTTCGTTGATTTTGAGAAAATGCGCTCTCTGTCACTCACTGCAGTGAGTACTGAGTTATAACTTTTTAGCGCATTTCCTCATTTATGGAAAAAATGCACTATTGTGCTCGCATGCCCGTCTGTCCGTCCGTCCGTCTGTCTGTTCGTCCGTGACTTTACGTTTTCGTCGACGAGAAAATGCACTCGCTCTCTCTCACTAACTGCAGTGAGTACTGACTTATAGCTTTTTTATATAACTCACTCACTTATATTTTTTATATAACTTCCTTGTTCAGTGAGATTGATGTTTTAAAAGTTAACATTACCGCGTTGCTGCAGGTGCGGGACGCAGCGTCAGCACAGGCCCTCAAGACGGAACACGATCGCCTGAAGCTTGAGATCGAGGCCCGGGAGGACCTCTTCGCCAGCGTCGTGGACGCCGGCAACGCCATGGTCGAGGACCAGCACTACGCCGCGCCTGATGTCAGGGACCGCGTGGCTAAGGTGACTCGGGCGTCTCAGGGCTGTAGGGTTTGATGTCAGGGACCGCGTGGCTAAGGTGACTCGGGCGTCTCAGGGCTGTAGGGTTTGATGTCAGGGACCGCGTGGCTAAGGCGACTCGGGCGTCTCAGGGCTGTAGGGTTTGATGGTTTAGTGAAAAGTCAAGAAATTATAAGGTTTTTTAGTTAAAGGTTGTCGTTGAATAGGCAATAAAGGCTATGGTTTGGTGGTTGAAGAAAAAAAATCATCAGAAGAGAAGAATTGGTAGTTGAATAAATGTAAACTGTACATTGTACATCCTCATGTGTGTATGCCACCATGATGAAGTGAATAATGTAGCTTAGACTATCTATTTAGTTTATCCAGAAATTAAGAATAATATAATAATAAATTTCAATAGTTAACATACGATCGCACCACCAATGAAGTAGATGAAGTGAGTTTATATTACTGAATTACGACAGGTTCTGGAGGAACGCAGTCAGCTGCACGCTGCGTGGCAGCACAAAAAGATCTACCTAGATCAGCTGATCGATCTTCAGTTCTTCCTCCGCGACGCTAAGAACCTGGACGCGTTCAGCTCTACGCAAGAGGCCGCCCTCGCCATTGCCGAGATACCCAACACTATACATCAAGTCCAGTCCATGGTAAGACCGCAATTTTTATTTTTAACCCAGGTTAAAAATAAAATTAAAAGACCTTAGATTAAATTAAATTTTTAGTTTATAGCGCCGTCAGCTAATCACTGACGGCTTTTCAAGCTAAACTTACCAACCATAGACGAGAAATCTTCCGCTACGTGTATTTAGGATGCTTCACGTGCTTGCGATGCAACGTGTAAGTGAATTTTGATAGTGCAACAATTGAACTGAATGATCTGAATGCTACGTTGATGATTTAAAATAGACGTGATTTTTGACCGCAGTTTCAAGGGTTAGCTTTCAGTTACGATGTTCCGCCTCTAACGTTTATTCAGATAATCCATCTGCTTTAGTCACATGTTTTAATGCCCGGTCTCAACGGTCGCCCTACGCTACCATGTACTTCATAGATAATAAAAAAATCCCCATCGCATTTAAATTGTTTCTTTTAACTATCTTACGGATCTGTCATAACCATAGCCTTATTATTTATGTTTCAGGTGAAGAAACACGAGGCTTTTGAGAAGCTGGTGGAGGCTCAGGACGAGAAGTTAGACTCGTTACGAGTGCACGGCGCTAAGCTCGTCGAACAAAACCACTTCCACTCCCCACACATCAAAGCCAGAATTGATGAGGTCGCCCAGCGCAGGAACAATGTCAAGAGAGCTACGAAGTGAGACACATTCTTTATCAAATGGCCTTTAAAATAGTGACCAAGCCATAATTGATGTTCTTTTTCACTAAGCTTTGCTGCCCCGATCTTAGTGCATGATTTAGATTCTTCAATTTGCTCGTTTATTCTCCTGAATACTGGCACTAGTGCCTGTTTACTCGATTGTTGTCCGTAATTCCACTATTTTCTGTTTTTTTTTTCTTCATTCAGTAAGATTCGACGCTGTATTTATAATAAAACTAAATAATCTTTTCTTAAGTTTTCAATTCTCGTATTAACATTGCCGTCTCGTGTACCAGAGACCACAATCCTGGTATTAACATTGCCGTCTCGTGTACCAGAGACCACAATCCTGGTATTAACATTGCCGTCTCGTGTAGCAGAGACCACAATCCTGGTATTAACATTGCCGTCTCGTGTACCAGAGACCACAAGAAGCTGTTGGCCGACGCTCTGCTGTACGCGCAGTTCATGAACGATGTCTCTGACGCGAACGCGTGGATCAATGAGAAGAGTAACCACCTCGCCAACGAGAAGCAGAAAGGCGAAGTCACTTCCTTCCAGGACAAAGTCAAGAAACTTCAGAAACATCAGGCTTTCCTAGCCGAGCTTCTCGCTCATGAACCTATGATGAAGGAAATAACAGATAAGGGTAAGATGATTAGCAGTGATAGAGATTTTAATTTAAAGACTGTCAGGCTCATTCTCGCTCACGAACCTATGATGAAGGACATTACAGATAAGGGTAAGCTGATTAGCAGTAATAGAGATTTTAATTGATATGATAATGATATTTTATTATAAATGTGTGGGATTATCCGTGGTAAAATACCTCAATTAGGAGTGTGATCATTTTAAACAAGAATAACATCATACTTAAACTATCAGATGAAAAAGCAGAGACTCGCATTTTTGAGATTTCTGAGACTCACATTTCTGAAAATCCTATGGAAAATGAACTATATCATCAGTTCTTGGAAGATATATGCTTTATAACTTAATTTTGTCGCTGGTAGCCAAAGCTCACAATACCAATTGAGATATTTAATTACTCCCGAATCTTACGTTCAATTCGATGTGCATGAATTACAAATTTTTAAATAATTTTTTTGCTGGGTAACTAATTTCATACATCTCAGGTTAGCCGCACCGATAAGTTTTATTAAGGTATAGAGAGGTTACATTTTTTCTATATTGATGATTGGTATTATTTTATTTTCAGCCGAGATTTTGATCGGTAAGGAGCACGCCTCATCAGTGGAGGTGAGGCAGCAGGTGGATGAGCTGGTGGAGCGCTGGACGCGCCTCACCCTCACCGCTGAGGGCCACTCCAGGGGCCTGGAGGAGGCCCAGGACATCCTTAGCTTCAACACACAAGTCGAGAAAGTTGATGCCTGGATCAGAGATAAGGTGAGAAAGTTGATGCCTGGATCAGAGATAAGGTGAGGGACCCTACCCCTAAACTTGAAAGAGGGACCATTAATAGGGACCTTATCCCTCACCATAATAGAGGAATTTTTTTCCTCACCGTAAAAGAGAGTTCTTATCTTTCTCCGTAATAGAGACCCTATCTTTTACCATAAAAGAGGGACCACAAAGAAGTACCTTATCCTTCCCTATGAGGAGAATACATAGAGCAACATTTATTTCATATTCATTACTTTTGGAGTGTTTTTCTCATCATCTAGTTCTATGATGAAAACCATATTATTATTACATTATATTAAGGCTACAAAATATTCGGAGTCATGAAGGAGTTATAGAATAGTTTTTTGTATGTGATGTTAGTTAAATTATTAAGTATAAGTACTATTTCTGGGCCCATACTTTCAAAAAAAGTTAAGAGATCGTAAGTTCATCAGCCAATCATTGACGGCCTTTCAAGCAAAATCCACCAATCATAGACAAGGAAATAGAGCGTAAGTACTTACGTTCACTTAGCGAGTTTTGAAAGTAAGGCCCCTGATCTGGATATTTTGTCCCGCAGATGTTGCTGGTACAGGCCCATGACCTGGGCCGTGACCACGAACATTGCACGTCTCTAATGCGTAAGCTTGACGATGTGGACTCTGACATGCGCGTTGACGACGCCAGGTTCATCAACATCAACAGACTTGCAGACAAGATCGTGTCGCAAGCTCATGGCGACACAGGGGCTGTCATCAAGCGGAGGGATAACCTTAACCACAAGTAATAATTCTCGTCTCATGTATGATAACATTAACCACAAGTAATAATTCTCGTCTCATGTATGATAACATTAACCACAAGTAATAATTCTCGTCTCATGTACGTTCGTATATCGTTGTCTTGAACTTGTTTAGCAATGTATGGTGCAGAGTGAGAAGCTTTTAATTTCAAGCAAGTTTACCCATACCAATGATAACGTGTACGTAGGCCTCTACGTGTACCTAGGCCTCTACGTGTACTCTGGCCTCAACGTGTAATTAGGCTGCTACCTGTACCTAGGTTTCTAAGTGTAATTAGGCCACTATGTATAATTAAGCCGCTGCTACGTGTACTTGAGCCGTTACGTGTACTTAAGCCGCTACGTGTACTTAGGCCTCTACGTGTACTCTGGCCTCAACGTGTAATTAGGCCGCTACGTGTATTTAGGCCGCTACATGTACTTAGACCTAGCTACGTGTACTTAGGCCGCAAGTTTCGATAGCACCTCTCTTGATTACTTGCATAATGAAAACTTCATTTGACAGATGGGCGGCTCTGAAGGGAGCCCTGGAGGCATACCGCAAGGATTTACTGGGGGCGGCTGAAGTGCACGCGTTTAACCGCGACGTCACCGACACGACAGAGCGCATCGTAGAGAAAGCTGCTCTCCTCGCTTCAGAAGAGACAGGCAGAGATCTCTACCAAGTCCAAACTCTTAAGCGCAAGCAGGAGAATATTCTAAGGTGAGATATACGCAAGTCAGAGATCTCTACCAAGTCCAAACTCTTAAGCGCAAGCAGGAGAATATTCTAAGGTGAGATATACGCAAGTCAGAGATCTTTACCAAGTCCAAACTCTTAAGCGCAAGCAGGAGAATATTCTGAGGTGAGATATACGCAAGTATTATTATAGATGCTTCTTAGTGTTGTACTTGATTGCCCGTGTCTTCAGTTTATTTAGAGTCTAATTGCCTGGTTTTCTTAGAATTATATTTCCCCGAAACTGTGATATTTTTGGAAAATGCTCGGCAGATATTGGTCTTAAATGTAAGAACAAGGTTATTGTATTTGTGTGCATAAAAGAACAACGATGAATTGATACAATTTAAATTATTTACATTTGACAAAAATTAATGGGATATTCATACTGAACGAAATGATGATTTGCCTCCTATATTCTGCAGGGATATGTCTGCTATTTACAACATAATAAAGGAACATGAGAATCAACTGAGATAATTTAAATAGTTTATACTCGACAGAAATGTATAGAATATTCACACTGAACGAAAGGATGATTTGCCTGATATATTCTGCAGGGACATGTCTGCTATTTACAACAAAATAAAGGAGCACGAGAAGGCCGCTAGCTCGTTATCACGCAAGTATCCTCCACAAGAGAAGGATGTCGCCGCCAAGCTCAGCGAGGTGCAGGACGCCTGGCAGAAGCTCTACGCCGCCAGCACTGACAGAGACGGCGCCCTAGGGGCAGCTTACGCCTTGCACAGATTCCAGGTGATGATTTACGCGTAAACCGCTGAGTTAATGCGTTAACTGCTGAGTTAATGCGTTAACTGCTGAGTTAATGTGTTAACTGCTGAGTTAATGCGTAAACTGCTGAGTTAATGCGTTAACTGCTGAGTTAATGCGTGAACTGCTGAGTTAATGCGTTAACTGCTGAGTTAATGCGTTAACTGCTGAGTTAATGCGTTAACTGCTGAGTTAATGCGTTAACCGCTGAGTTAATGCGTTAACCGCTGAGAAAATGCGTTAATTTTGTCTTAATTAGTGCCGCAATAAGACGCATATATTTCATGTGTGTAGTTCAAAAAGGGCTTAACATTTTACAATCGTGTGGAGGCGCATGTAGAAAAAAACCTGCCTACAATCTCTTCTTTGTTTCGAAACGAATCAAATTTGAGTAAAAAAAAAGCCTACGTGACGAGCTATAATGCGATAGCGGGTGCGTGCCCTTCAGTCCAATCTAATTAATTTGCTCGGTGAGCATATTCGGATACTTTCATCCATACCATATAATCATAAACTACAATCTGTAGTTTTTGATATTTAAGATTTTGGAATCTCTTGCTTCAAATTTGAATACCTTTCTTCAATTTGAAGATAACTGTTCTCCGCAAAAGCAGCATTAGTCAAGGATTTACCTTTACGTAGATTATTATCAACACACTAACACGTTAATCTTTATTCTTTATTTACCTCTTTATTCTTTATTTACTTCTTTATTCTTTATTTACCTTTTTATTCTTAATTTACTTCTTTATTCTTTATTTACTTCTTCATTCTTAATTTACTTCTTTATTCTTTATTTACTTCTTTATTCCTTATTTACTTCTTTATTCCTTATTTACTTCTTTATTCTTTATTTACTTCTTTATTCTTTATCTACTTCTTTATTCTTTATTTACTTATTTATTCTTTATTTACTTCTCTATTCCTTATTTACTTCTTTATTCTTTATTTACTTTACTTCTCTATTCCTTATTTACCTTTTTATTCTTAATTTACTTCTTTATTCTTTATCTCCTTCTTTATTTACTTCTCCACGTCGTGCAGAGTGAGTCGCGTGAGCTGGAGAAGTGGGCAGAAGCTCTTGTTCAGGCGCTGACCTCCGCGCCTCTGCCCTCCAACGCCACCGAGGCGCAGGCCCTCCTACACACCCATCAGGAGAAGAAGGTCAGGACCCTAAATATTTATGAAGAGCTAACGTATAGTCTAATTGTCTAATTGTCTTAAACTCTAATTGATGAAACTCCTAACAAATTGTCTAATTGCTTTAAACTCTAATTGATGAAACTCCTAACAAATTGTCTAATTGCCTTAAACTCTAATTGATGTAACTCCTAACAAATTGTCTAATTGCTTTAAACTCTAATTGATGTAACTCCTAACAAATTGTCTAATTGTCTCAAACTCTAATTGATGAAACTCCTAACAAATTGTCTAATTGCCTCAAACTCTAATTGATGTAACTCCTAACAAATTGTCTAATTGCCTCAAACTATAATTGATGTAACTCCTAACAAATTGTCTAATTGCCTCAAACTCTAATTGATGTAACTGCTAACAAATGCTCGAATTGTCTAATTGTCTCGAAGTTTAATTGATAAAATTCCTAAAAGCTGGTCGAATTGTCTAAGGTTATTTTCTGATATAAAGCTCACAATTTATTTAAAGTTTGTAATGATTAATAGTAAGTTTAACCCATGTTGTCCTTTTCATTTGAAACCATTTAGCTTTGATATTTTATATTTCATTATTATTCAGCGTATATCCAGTTACCAGTCATGATTATACGCTTGTACTGTTGTTTTGATTTATATTTTATAATTTTTTATTGTAGAATCAAGTTTAGTGTAACTAATTAATTTTTGAAATAAAAAAAATTATTTAACGTAAAGAAAAATTGTGTGTTTTCAGGCGGAGATTGAAGGGCGCCGCCACGACTTCAAGCAGCTGCGCGAGTTTGGCGAGAGCCTCGTCGCCGACGAGCACAAAGACCAGCAGACCATCTCCCAGGGTCTGGTCACCCTGCAGGGGGTGCAGGATAAGGTGTGTACCGGCAGACCATCTCCCAGGGTCTGGTCACCCTGCAGGGTGACCATCTCCCAGGGTCTGATCACGCTGCAGGGGGTGCAGGATAAGGTGTGTACCAGCAGACCATCTCCCAGGGTCTTATCACCCTGCAGGGGGTGTAGGATAAGGTGTGTACCGGCAGACCATCTCCCAGGGTCTTATCACCCTGCAGGGGGTGCAGGATAAGGTGTGTACCGGCAGACCATCTCCCTGGGTCTTATCACCCTGCAGGGGGTGCAGGATAAGGTGTGTACCAGCAGACCATCTCCCAGGGTCTTATCACCCTGCAGGGGTGCAGGATAAGGTGTGTACCAGCAGACCATCTCCCAGGGTTTGGTCACCCTGCAGGGGGTGCAGGATAAGGTGTGTACCGGCAGACCATCTCCCAGGGTCTGGTCACCCTGCAGGGGGTGCAGGATAAGATCTGTTCCACGAGACTTAATTTAGAAGGCGCTTTGAGATTGGCCAGACAATTTATATTGCTACTGAATTTCGTCATTCAGCGAGCGATTCAACCTGTAATGTCAGCTCTACGTGCGTGAATTTAAACAGAATTTTTCACCCTTATTTGACCATATTTTCGAGACCTTGAAACTGTGACCTTGAAATTTTTACTACTTTTAAATGACCTTGAAATTGACCATATTTTCGAGACCTTGAAATTTCTACTACTTTCAAATGACCTTGAAATTGACCATAGAGTTCGTTTAAAACATTGTATATTTGTTCGTGCAGGTTTTGTCGGAGTGGGAGGCTCGTCAAGATAAGCTTGCACAGGCCAATCAGCTGCAAGTATTCCTGAACATGGCAAGACTTGCTTCTGATTGGCTCGCTGACCAACAAGCTTTTCTTAACAACTCTGACCTCGGCGTGAGTTTAACGCCATAGCTATTTACCGTAACCTCGTCTTAATTAATTAATTCAGCTTATTTTTTTAAACGTGTTGCATGAGCATATGTTAAAAAACGAAGTTATTTATTGGCCATATTTTAACTTCTGAATATATTATGTTCAATGGTAACATAGCTATTTAGGTTACATGCCATTTTCTAGTCTTAGTTAGCATTAGTGGTCAGCCTTATATAACCTTTCCTCTGAATTTTGTATCAGCACAATAGTTGTCGCCTTTTTGGTTTCTATCATCACTAAGAATGAGCTATAACTACTTGTTTACTTATGTATACACAATCCCAATTGATATCTTCTTTTATTTGAGTATGTTTTATCTCTCATCGACACGTCTTCAAAAGTTACGTGTTTTTTTTTTATCGCGGTGTTGCCCTCAGGACTCCCTCGGCAGCGTAGAGGCTCTGATGCGTAAGCACGCGGCCTTCGAGACGTCGTTTGAGGCTCAGAGTTCCAAGATTGATCATATGCTGGTAAACTGCAATACTCTCACTTTACTTTTACTCTTACTTCCAGGGTAGAAATTCATTCATTCATGCTCATCAAGACACGACTCGGAGTTTTACTCCACTCGGAGTTTTACTCCACTCGGAGTTTTACTCGACTCGGAGTTTTACTCGACTCGGAGTTTTACTCGACTCGGAGTTTTACTCGACTCGGAGTTTTACTCGACTCGGAGTTTTACTCGACTCGGAGTTTTACTTGACTTGAAGTTTTACTCCACTCAATACTTAAGTCCAGTATAGTAACAACTGGTGCAGTCGGTTCCCTTGGGTTATTTTAATATTGAATAATCGAGTCAACAGATTTATTTCTGATGCCAAATTTAATCAAAATCATCATGCTGCAAACTCTTCTTTCCAAATAATAGGGTTTGGCGATTTCATTTATGAATAAAAATTCATCAAAACTCACTATAATGCTAACAATTTTCTATAGTATTATCCACACATGATGATCCACATTTTTTCCTATTATGTTTAATATAAATTAGGAATTTTCAAAGTTTAACCCAACATTGATAATTATTATATTTTTCCTTATATTCATCACAGAAATTATGAATTTTCACAAAGTTTACTCCAAAATGGATAATTCGTATATTTGTCCTAATATTCTTCACAGAAATTATGAATTTCTAAAGTTTAATCCAAAATTACTAATTCTTTTATTTTTCCTAATATCCTTCACAGAAATTATGAATTTTCAAAGTCTAATCCCAAATGGATAATTCGTACATTTATGCTGATATTCTGCACAGAAGTTAGGAATTTTTGAAGTTAAATCCTAATTTTATAATTATTATCCTTCTCTTAATATCCTTCGCAGTAATTAGGAATTTTCAAAGTTTAATTCAAAATGCATAATTCGTATATTTATGCTGATATTTTGCACAGAAATTGGAATTTCCAAAGTTTAATCCTAAATTATTAAATATTATATTTTTGCTGAACTTCTTCACAGAAATTGGGAATTTTCGAAATTTAATCCAAATTGCTAATTATTATATTTATGCTGATATTCTGCTCAAAAATTAGGAATTTTCAAAGTCTAATCCAAAACTGCTAATTCGTATATTTATGTTTATATTGTGCACAGAAACTAGGAATTTTCAAAGTCAAATCTAAAATTGCTAATTCGTATATTTATGCTGATATTCACAGAAATTTTTAAAGTTCAATTTCAAATGGATATATCGTATATTTATGTTTATATTGTGCACAGAAACTAGGGAAGACGCTTGTGGAGGGTGATCACTTCGACAGTGAGGGCATCAAGGCGCGCATGGCGGAGGTCGTGGAGAAGAAACGGCAGCTCCTTGCCCTCGCTGGGACCAGGAGTGAGAAGCTTAACATGTCGCGCGCTCTGCAACAGTTCCTTCGCAACGTATATGAGGTATAGTGGATGCTAGAGGTATAATGGTGTACTGTATATTATACGAGGTATAGAAGAAACAGCAGCTCCTTGCCCTCGCTAGGACCAGGAGTGAGAAGCTTAACATGTCGCGCGCTCTGCAACAGTTCCTCCGCAACGTATACGAGGTATAGTGGAATGTTGTACCAGGTATAATGGTGTGCTGTATGTTATATGAGGTATACCAGTGTATTGTAAGATACAAGGTATACCAGTATACTGTAACTATATGAAGTATGCCAGTATACTGTAATTATGCGGGGTGTACTGGCATAATGTCATTAATTTTTCGTCATCGGTGTTCTCATCTATATGAGATTTTCCCCTGTTCCATTTATCTTCAATAAGAATATATTATTATATATTATCTTCTATAGTAATTTTTCAATGATGGCAATTTTCAGTTAGCTATAAACAATTAATCTTGTGCATGGTATTGCCTCCATTAATTTCTATTGGTGTCATTGATTTTAATTTCAACTAAAAACGATAAACGATGATAGTGTCCAAAAGTGTCAGCAAATTTGTACTCTACTTTATGACAGGTCGAAGGCTGGATCGGCGAGAAACTGCTGGTAGTAATGCCAGCATTAATTCCAATTGGTATGGTTGTTTTTAAGTTTTACTAAAAACGATGATAGTGTCCAAAAGTGTCACCAAATTTGTACTCTACTGTATGACAGGTCGAAGGCTGGATCGGCGAGAAGCTGCAGGTGGCAAACGACGAGTCATACATGGACTCCAGCAACCTGCAGTCCAAGAAGCAGAAGCATCAGGCCTTCGAGTCTGAACTGCATGCAAACACTGGACGACTGTCACTGGTGCTGCAGGAGGGTGCGTATTGACTTCTATACATGTTTCTTATTAATAAGAAACATGCTCTGGTCTTTAATCAAACTTGCATAAAAGAAAAACTTCTGCCGAATTACACCAACTTCTATATGAGTGTACGAACTCTTTTCGAAAGCTATGTTCAAAGCTATGTTTGTTTGTTTTAGTGGCTTTAGTTTCTAGCGCTTCAGATCGAGCTATGTTCAAACTAAATTAATCCAAGGCATAATTTATGAACTTTCGATCCGTTATTTTTGGAATCACTTTCGGTATTACCAAATTTTCCGAGTCTTAATATCTCGACAGATATAATTCTTATTCACATTTTAGTAATTTTGCTAGGTTCATTGAAATTAATTAGATCTTGTGCTCGGTAGAAGAATATTTATATTTTAATTTTGATATCGTCAGGTTCTGAGCTGCTCTCCTCCAAGCACTACGCAGCTACGGAGATCCAGGCTCGTCTTGACGCGCTGGAGTCGCTGTGGCAGCAGCTGCAGGACAGCTCGGCCCTCAAGAGGGAGCGACTTCATCAGGCTTATCAGGTACTGAAAGATTAAACTAGTTCGTAACAAGAAATCATACCTTAGTATGAAATCATAGCTTAGTACTAGTTTGTAACAAGAACTCATACCTTAGTAGTAGTTCGTAACAAGATTTCATACCTTAGTATGAAATCATACCTTATTTCGAGTTTGTAACAAGATTTCATACTTTTCATAAACGAGTTCGCAAGATTTCATAGGTACCTTAGTTCAAGAATTTTTATTACTCAGTATCTAAAAGCAAAGAAAATGGCACAAAAATTCACCATAACTTTATAGGAAAACAGTTTTGGAGTCAATCTCCATCGCAAGTTCGACAGTCCTAGAGTGCAAGTAAATCCGAATAATAAATCCTAATTCACTTTGCATTATTCAATAATGCATTCTATACATATTTGATCTTACTTTTGCTTATATTATTTTGCTATGTATATTTGCTTGCTCTCTTGGTCGGGATTTACTGAAGCTCATTGATTGTGCAAATCCAAATAACAAATCATAATTCACTTTGCATTATTCAACAAGGCATTGCACCTGTATCTATTTGAGCTTATTTTTGATTATATTATTTTGTTATGTATTTTGCTTGTTTTCTTGGTCGGGATTTACTGACCCCCCTCTACCTCTTTGCCCTCCTCCTCTCCTCCTCCCCATCCCCCTTTTTGCTAATATTAATATTATTTTGTTATGTATATTTTGCTTGTTATCTTGGTCGAAATTTACTGAAGTTTAATCGTTGTGCAGGCGCTGTTGTTTGGACGCACGCTTGACGACCTGGACGCGTGGATGGACGAGGTAGAGACAGCGCTGCAGTCGGAGGACCACGGCCGCGACCTTACGTCCGTGCACGCCCTCATCAACAAGAACAATAAACTCATGCAAGACGTGACCGCACACAACGTAGAGATCGAACAGAGTCAGGTATGTCTGCCTCTACACATACCGATTACCTGATATGTGATATGACTCTTGATTAGCTTAAGTATATGGTTTATATGACCTCACTCATGCAAGACGTGACCGCACACAACGTAGAGATCGAACAGAGTCAGGTATGTCTGTCCCCACACATACCGATTACAAATGACCTGATATGATTCTTGATTAGCTTAATTATATGGCTTGACGAAATTATATGGCTTGATGAGTATCTACGAAGAGATGTTGGTACTATTCGTCATCCACAACTCCACAACGTCGAGATCGAACAGAGCCAGTTATGTCTGCCTCTACACATACCTATTACCAATTACCTGATATGACCCTTGATTAGCTAAATTATATGGCTTGACGAAATTATATGGCTTACCGAGTGCCTACGAAAAGATGTTATTCCTTGTCATCTAATAACAATCAGTTCAATTAACCGCTATGATACTTTGTAGCGTGATTGGCTAGATTATATGAATTATATGAGCTTTGATTCAATGAAGAATGGTTTAGTGATGTTGGGAGATGCAGTGTTGCGTGGCAGAGATCTCTCATAACTGATTAATTGTTTATCAAGTTATAAATTCAGCAGCAAAATCAGTGAGTTGTACCAGCCATTGGAACGAATTTAAAGTCATTTGACTGTGTTTTGACTCTAATTTAAAGAGCAATAATTAATTCTGCAACAATTCTGTATGCATGCAATGAATGAAAATTCAAAACATAATTTCTTTCATCAGGAGGTTGCTAAAGCCTTTGCCAAGGAAGACCACTTCATGAAAGAAGAAATTCTGGATCGCACAAATGGAATCGCCAAAAGGTAATAGCTAAAAATTTTTTTATTCAATGAAACTGTTGAGTATTCTTGTAGTGTTGTTATAGTGAATTTTTTTTAATAAATTATTAATGAAGGAAAGGGACTTCGTGCAATTCAGGTATAGTTATAGTTATCTAGCCGACATTAATGTTCTTACATGCTTTTGAAGGAATTTACAACTGAAAAAAATTGAGATAATGTTTGAAAACGTTCTCACAAGCGAAATTTTTCAAATAGGTTATTAAATTCATGTTTAATTATTTGAATATTATTCAGATACGAGAGCCTACAAGAACCTCTGCAGATACGGCAGGAGAACTTGTCTGTAGCGCTGCTTCATATCTAATTATTTGAATATTATTCAGGTACGAGAGCCTACAAGAACCTCTGCAGATACGGCAGGAGAACTTGTCTGTAGCGCTGCTTCATATCTAATTATTTGACTGTTATTCAGGTACGAGGGCCTACAAGAACCTCTGCAGATACGGCAGGAGAACTTGTCTGCAGCGCTGAAAGACTCGAAAATTCTATAATATTTTAGTAAATGCATATGTAATTATTTGAATCTTATACAGATACGAGAGTCTGCAAGAACCTCTGCAGATACGGCAGGAGAACTTGTCTGCAGCGCTGCTGCTGCAGGAGCTGCTGCGGGACGTCGACGAGGAACTGCTGTGGCTGCACGAGAAGACGCCGCTCGCCGAGAGCGACGCGCTGGGTGACAGCCTTACTGCCGTACAGAACTACATCAAGAAACATCAAGTCTGTTGAATTATGCTTATTGTGGCCTTATATTATGTATAGAAATCATCAAGTCATGTGATTAATATGTGTATATATATCTCATAATATATTATTATGAGTAGGCATTTTGAATATATTACATCAAGAAACATCAAGTCTGTTGAATTATGCTTATTGTGGCCTTATATTATGAATAGACATTTTGAATAGACTACATCAAGAAGCATCAAGTATGTTGAACTAGGACTATTGTAGTCTTATGTTATGAATAGACATTATGAATAGATTACATCAAGAAACATCAAGTCTGTTCAACTAGGATTATTAAAGCCTTATGTATAGAAATCATCAAGTCACTTAAACTATATTTATTATTGCTTTATATTGTGAGTAGGCATGATTAAAACTATGAATGTTAATGTAATATGATTAAAATTCTAAATGTAAATGCCAGGCTCTGGAGGCTGAGATCGTGTCTCACGACCCCGAAATGGTTAGATCAGAAATGCAATATGATTAAACCAAAACTGTAGTATTATAAAAACTATAAATGTTAATTTCAAACCAAAAATGTAATATGAGAAAAGCTCTAAATGTTAATGCCAGGCACTGTAGGCTGAGATCGCATCGCACGGCTTCGTAGTGGTTTGATCAAAAATGCAATATGATTAAAACCATAAATGTAATATAAATAAAACTATAAATATAATATGAATAAAAATATAAATGTAATATGAATAAAACTATAAATATGATATGAATAAAACTATAAATGTAATATGATTAAAACTCTAAATGTTAATCCTCAGGCTCTGGAGGCGGAGATCGTGTCGCACGACCCCGTGGTAAGCAGCGTCAACAGCCGTGCCCAGCAAATGATTCGCTCAGGACACTTTGCTTCAGAGGACATCAGCTCCCGCTGTGACCACCTCACCAGGGCCTTCAGGAGCCTCAAGGATGCCGCCAGCGTCAGGAAACTTAGGCTCATGGACGCGCAGGAAGTACAAACTGTGAGTAAAACTTATTAATTCTTTTATTGTGAGTAGAACTTATTAATACTATTATTGTGAGTAGAACTTATTATTTCTATTATTGTACATAGAACTTATTATTTCTATTGTTGCGAGTAGAACATTTTATTTCTATCATTGCATGTAGAACTTATTATTTCTTTTGTTGTTAGTAGAACTTATTAATAATATTATTGTGCGTACCATTATTGTGAGTAGAATTTATTATTTCTATTATTGTGAGTAGAACTTATTGTCATTATTTTGTTATTATTATTCTTCATTGCTTCTGCTAGAGAAAACAATATACGGTTAGTATAAAATATAATATGGGTTTTGAAATCAATTTGTAGTTCTTGAAGCTAATCTTTAAAATAATAAGGAAGAGGCAAGCGATAAGTAGTTAACAAGATGAAATCTGTGAGTAGAATGCTTAAATGAGCGAGTAGGACTGTAAAATGAATGTTAGTTAATGGTGTTGCAAATTTTAGATTTAGAAATCGAAATTTTTTTATTTTAATTTCTGTCACGGATTTTTGCCTTTTTTAAATTTTTAAATTTTAAATTAATATGGACCTTATCTACTCTGGCCAACATTGTTACTGTCACGAGTATTTACTGACTTTTCAGCGTAGCAACTTTTCAAAACCAGGGAAAAGGGCTGCACGTGTTCGTGCAGCCTGCACCAAAGTCGCTGAATTACAATATTATTCTATTAATATATTTATTACAACGCGTGCTACAAGCGACATGGGTCTACATTGAATTTCTCATAACCTAATCCTGTTTGATATATTTCAGTTCTACTCAGAAGTTAACGAAGCTCAAGGCTACCTGAAGGAGAAGCGACCGTTGGTGTTGTCTCAAGACTACGGCCGCGACGAAGACTCCACGCAAATTCTCATCAAGAAACTGGAAATTCTTACCCGGGACATTAAGTCTTTTCATTCAACCGTTGAAAATCTGGGCACCACTGCCGCCAAACTCACGGAGCGAGGGCACTTCGACAGCGATAACATCAATAAAATAATGGTGAGTGCGATACTCGGTGGCCATTGTAACCTGAGTCATTGTTGAATGCGTGCAGTGAAATATGTCATTGCTGTCGAGTCATTGTTGAATGCGTGCAGTGAAATATGTCATTGCTGTCGAGTCATTGTTGAATGCGTGCAGTGAAATGTGTCATTGCAACCGAGTCATTGTTGAATGCGTGCAGTGAAATGTGTCATTGCAACCGAGTCATTGTTGAATGCGTGCAGTGAAATGTGTCATTGCAACCGAGTCATTGTTGAATGCGTGCAGTGAAATGTGTCATTGCAACCAAGTCATTGTAATGAATATGATTGTAATGAATATGATTGTAATGAATATGATATTGCGGATGCAATGCAGTCATACTGTGTCAGTGCCGGCAGTAGCGAGAACTTTAGAACGCACTTTGCAGTGAAGTGCAAATGGCATCTGTATCAGACTGTCGGTGGTCTTAGGAGCTTTCAGGCGCAATATTACTGCTACGGAGGAATAAATGTGAATGTACCTTCACTCAAGCGCTTGCACACCACTTTTTGCTGGTGCTGTAAACGCAGTTCACTTTTGTGTTATTATCAAGATATGTCTTAACAATTCTGACGAATAATCCTGCTCAGTATTGGAGCAAGTGAGTTTGATAATTTAATGCGGTTCAGCGCTTATAGTGAAGCGATCATTACCATTGCACTCTTCGATCACCGAGTGATGTTTTTAAAATTTTTTTAGTGCACGTAATAATCAAGTAAGTTTAATCGCATTTTCTGCATAGCATTTAATCGTGAAGTTTTTTGGCGCTGTGCTGAGCCTGCTGTCACTTACTGACGTTATTACGATTACTGTGCTTAGTCCGTGACACCTAATATACTTTAGGTACCATGTATCAATTTAATTGGTCAATTATTATTTAATAATGTAACAGATTTAATTTAACTAATTGGAAATATATTTAATTTAATTAATTAAAAATAGATTTAATTTTTCTAATTAAAAATCTATTTAATTTATCTAATTAAAAATAGATTTAATTTATCTAATTGAAAATAGATTTAATTTATCTAATTGGAATAGATTTAATTTATCTAATTAAAATAGATTTAATTTATCTAATTAAAATAGATTCATTTATCTAATTAATGAATTAATCGTTAATTGTTGACTGAGCAGAGCGGGCTACGCAAGGACCACAACGAGGTTGAGATGCTGTGTGAGCAGCGGTCTCGCCGCCTCCAGCAGAGCGAGCAGCTCTACGCTTTCCTGCGTCGCACCGACCTCCTCCTGGAACAGCTTAATGAACAGGTCTCTTTTCCATCATTCTACGAACTTGTGTTTGTTATTTACACCCTCTATTTTCATAGAAAAAGATCTCCTTTTTCTGTCTACAGGTGACCTCTTCGTTTTCTTGTAAGCTTATATTAACAGCTGTAAAGTTCGTATAATTAAAGAGAACTTTTACCAATAAACTTCACTTGTTTCTATATTTCTGGTATTACAATGCTAGTTTTATCATATGTTACCAGGCATATGAGTTTTTATTTAAACTGTAAAATTTTATATATGTATGGAAATTGATTGTTGGGACACTCCCAACAGTTGAGAGTTTACAGTTAGAAGCCGACATTTCGAAACAAACAGTTAGAGACCTATAGTTCGAAACCGACAGTTCAATGTTGATAGAAGCCTACAGCAGTAGTCAGTTGATAGTGGACATATAAGCAGGCCCGTGTTGACTATTAGCATGATCGTCTGCCACAGATGACGGTGGCCGCTAGCGAGGACTACGGGCGTGACGTGGAGCACGTCGAGCTGCTCATCCAGAAGTTCGAGAGCTTCATGACGTCACTGGCTGCTAACGATGCTAAAGTCGCTCGCATCAAAACTGAAGGCGACAAACTTCTCGAGGACAAGCACCCTGATTCTGATCAAATCAGTGCAAAGGTAAGCATGAGTGTTATGATGATCGCTCGAACGGCATCTTGTTACAACTTATTGTTGACTGTTTTTAGGATTATGTTATTTAAATATTAATAATCCTACAAAGGTTGCGTGCGAAAACTGACCAAATAGGTCGTATTTTCATTCAGGTTCGTTTCGGTCGATTTTCGTGTGTAGGTATGTTTCGTAATTAGTCACAGTAGAGTTAACCTAATGTAATGCAACTTAGTACTAAATTATTTAAGTGTTTAATGTTTGAACTCATAACTTATTATCCGTAGTTCAAATACAAATTCACTAATTGAAGCAACGAATGCGCAGTTTTTTCCTAGCAAAAATTTCCAATCTGACTTCACCTGACATTTTTGATGCCCTGTCGGTATTTCTTTTTTCAAAATGGCGTAGCTATAACTTATTATCCACCTTTTATCTGAGTTTGAAATTTATTATATATAAGGACATGTTCCTAATCCACAGTTGGAGGAGGTAGAACAGTTGTGGGAGGACCTGCGAGAACTCGCAAGCGCTCGTCAAGAGGCCCTCGCTGGAGCAAAACAAGTAAGGGAAACCCTATTAAATTTTCTGTTGGATTTGCGTACAAGTCAAACTAAAAAATATTGGATCATATTAGTAACTTTTTCTATTAACGTGTACCAGACGAATTCTATTTAGTGTGCTATCGTCGATTTTTTTTTCCTGTCTCGCTGCTCCGTTATTGTCCTTGATATTTTTTTCTTATTTTATTTCAGTTGATGATTTTTGGTTTAAGGTTATTCTATCGGCATAAACATCAGTAAATTTTATCAAGTTAGCTTGGTGCAAATTTGTGTTAAAAGGATTTTTTCTTTTCTTTATTTTCAGTTGCTTCTTTGTACGTTATTCTCATGCTCTTTGTATTAACATTAGTAAATGTCATCAAGTTAGATAGGTACAAATTTGTGTTATTAAATCAGGTGCACGTGTTTGACCGGGACGCGGACGAGACAATCCGCTGGATCGTGGAGAAGGACGCGGCGATATCCTCTGAGGATTACGGACAGGACCTCGAGACCATACAGTCCCTGGCACGACGCCACCACGGCTTTGAGAGAGACCTCGCTGCCGTCAGGGAACAAGTCTGTATATTAATTATATGGTCCATAATATAATATATAATTACGGTATTAAATTTATAATTATGTATAGATATAATATCAAAACTTTGCAACTTTATTTAACGTTCAAGAGATTAATGATAGAATGGTAGCGAGATAGGTATGCATTAGAGCTTTCGAGAAACAAGTTAGTGGTAAAAATTATAGGAAAATTCTCTCTACCAAAGTTGATTTCTGTAAAAATATTTATTCTCAGGTAATCTCACGGTTTCTCTAAACTTCAATTACAAAATCCTAAATATATAGCTGCAGAACTATACGTACGTTACTATAATGACTCTAGTTATGCATAACTAGACGTTACTGCATTACTTGACGTTGCATCCGATGCTCTGCATTTCATTGGCTTGTTGAAGAGTAATATGCCAGATTATTTAAAATTTGGCAGCTCACGTAAGGTGCTATGCAATAATGCACGGACCTAACATTAAGCCTAACATTCTCAACATATAAATGCTTCGCAGGTGGATTCATTGATGGCTAAAGCTCAGCGACTGACGGAACTTTTCCCGGACGCCAAAGAACACATTTCCGTGAAGCATAACGAAACCATCGAGATCTGGGACTCGTTGCTGGAACGTTCGGCACTCAGGAAAGAGAAGCTTTTCCAGAGGGAGAATCTTCAGTCGTATTTCGGAGAGTTGTCCGAGCTCATGGCTTGGATTATTGAGATGCGTGCCAAGGTTACTGCTCCCGAGCTTCCCAAAGACGTGCCTTCAACAGAAGCGATCATCTCAAGACATGAAGAGTACAAGGCTGAGATTGATAGCCGTGCCGAGACCGTCGCCAAGCTCAGCAATGACGGTAATTCGCTAATTGATCGACCAGATCTTCATTTCATGGCCGAGGAAATTGGAGACAAAGTCGCCGCGCTGCAGGATAACTGGAGCAGCCTTCTCGATTGTTGGAGGAAACGCGATGATATCTACAAGAAAAATCTGGATCTCAGGGTGAGTCTGATTGATTTTTTTTTTAAATTTGTGCGTGCGGTTGTTGTGTTGTGTGTTCTTGATTATAGTTAGGCACAATCCTATTTTAAATGCATGCGTGCTCATATACAGAAATTACAAATTTCGAATACCCGCGCGAAGTCCGATTTTATATTGTTGTTGGTCTAATGTATGTCCATTTTAAGGCTGAAATATCAAAATCTTTTTAAGGTAATATTTCTCTCCAACTGTCTTTGATAGTAATTTGATTGTGCAATTGTGAACGTCAACCCTGAAATGAATGCTCAAAAATGTTCCTCATTTTTGTAGATGTTCCTGCGCGACGCGATGATATTATTATATCATATTCTTAATTCATAACGTCATTAGATTGTATATTTCAACATTAGAATTGTTTTGTAGATGTTTCTGCGCGACGCGATGATATTATTATATCATATTCTGACTGCATACCGTCATTAGATTGTATATATCAACATTAGAGTTGTTTTATAGATGTTCCTGCGCGACGCCGCCCTCATCGAGTCCTGGATCGAGTCCAGCGAGGGGATCGTCAAAGACGAGGACCTGGGCAAGAGTATTGAGGAGGTCGAGGAGCTCATCAGGCGTCATAACGACTTCATCAAAACTGTCGAGGCTCAGGAGGATAAACTGAATCCTATCAAGCGGGTCACTAAGGTGGGCTCAGGAGGATAAACTGAACCCCATCAAGCGGGTCACTAAGGTGGGCTCAGTAGGATAAACTGAACCCCATCAAGCGGGTCACTAAGGTGGGCTCAAGAGGATAAACTGAACCCCATCAAGCAGGTCACTAAGGTGCTACTTCGTTCCCTGTATATCACTGTTAACTTACGAAAGTCGCGACCAACGTATCGGTGACAATGTGAAACGATGTGAAAAAAATGCGTTTTTTCGCACTGGTTCGTAAGTTCATACGCGTCAGCGTACAACCGCGTCTCTTGATTCAATTGGGCTTACACAAGCGTTCTTATTCAATCAATGATGATGCAAAATTCAAGTGTTTTAGAGGAAGCTCTTCTTGCAAACCTAATCAGTACGCATTTATGGACGAATCCCTGTTCTGTATTTGTTTTAAAATTGAAGGAAAACATGAATCCGATTTATCTTTCTGTTGCAGGTATGCTTGTTGCTCCTCAATTAGGCTGCAAATTCATTGAACGCTCATTATTTACCAAAATTTATTTCGGTCACTTAGCTTGGTGCTTATATCAAACCTATTGACAAATTGTTTAAGCCTAATTTTGTATATTGCTTGTGTGACTATTTCCTGATTTTAATTTGTATTACTTGCAGATTGAAGCTGACTTTGAGTCACTGAAGCAGCGCGAAGAGAACAACCGACGTGATTTGGAGTCCCGCCGTGAAGCTGACCGCGTCGAGGCCCTCAAGAGGAAAGAAGTGAACCGCATCACCGAGGAGCGCAGGAGGGAAGACGAGCGTCGCAGGACGCAGGAAATTAAGTTTACGAAGGAAGACATGGAGGCCGTGCGCATGAAACTCAACGGAGAGTACGGCGACGGCTCCAATGTTGCTTACGAGGACGACATGGCTAGGTCAGGGAGACTTTCTTGCTTATCTTAGGAGTTCTTAGTTGATCCTATCTGATGAGCTCTTAGCAGATCCTCTCTAGGGAGAGTTTTTAACAGATCCTCTCCAGGGAGAGTTTTTAGCAGATCCTCTCCAGGGAGAGTTCTTAGCAAGCCATCTCAACGGGAACTGAAGCTGAAGAAGCCCAATATTCGCTTTCAAGATTTCTTTTTAATTATAAATAAATATGAGAGATTGTAAAAGTCAATTAATTCACTTAATTAACTCTACGCTATGGGCTTCCGCAGCATCTTTATTTCCCTGAGTAATATGACTTTAAAGCTTCTGGTGGAATGGTGTTGGTCTTGCCTAGTTGGTGCTTGTTAGTTGCGTTGGTTTTGATGTGATGCTAAAATTCGGCATGATAGTTATAAGGAAATTTTCTATAATCATAAAAATTTTCAAGTTTTCCAACCGAAATTCTGCCTATTCTCTTTAATTAAGCCTTTTTTCGCACTAGACACAACTTGAGTTGTAAAACTATGCCACTATAATTGCATCAAGTCATTCAAATAACTGATTTATTTGAATGACTGCCATTCAAATACTATTGCAGTTGCGCTGAATGGCATAGTAATCATGATAACCGAAATTATATTCCGTTGTCAATGCGATAGATGCTCTTTTCCGTCTTGATGCCGTGCATCGATAATCAAGGGAAACGTTATTTTCTTCAAGCCAAATTATTGATACGTCTTAACGCTTAATTTTTTCTTATTTGTTACTATCACGTTTTGCTGTGGAGAATCTTCATGTTGACTATCAATGATGTAGTCAACTAATTATAGTTGACGTCGTGAACTAATGATAATAGTTCATCTTTAAATTAAAAATATTAAATGATGGCGTTGACGACTTTATAATTAGGTTTATCTGAACGAATCTGTAATTTTTCGAACGAATCATTTTTGCTCCACGGCCGCTATTGTCTTAGAAGAAACTGATTCAAGCTTTCACGAACGGAACAACCGAAACATTGCCTCTTGTATCTCTGACTACTAATGATAATCATGATGTACTAATGATGATCATGATGTACTAATGATAATCATTATGTACTAATGATAATCATGATGTACTAATGATAATCATTATGTACTAATGATAATCATGATTTACTAATGATGATCATGATGGTATGGGAGAATACCGGATTCTTTTCTAAGAATAGTGTTAAACCTCAGTAATTAGAAACATGATAGGTGCTCCCTCTAATTTTTGTTTACTTTTTTAATTATTTAGTATTTTTACTTCAGCAACTTTCGCGTGTTTTGCGTTGCAACGATTTAAATCCTGAATTGTTTAATGCAGCTTCACCGTAGTTTGCTAGTCTGCATGACCTAAGGATTTCTATCGTCTGACAGCGCCGGTGATGGGTTAACTCATTCAAAATATAAAATTACTATCAAAATATTAGATAAACGAGCGCAATTATCTTTAATTCTCGACCCATTAAAACGCTGCCTCTTACCCTCGGCTGAGTTGTGAGTCTCTTCATTCAACTGAACCATCAGAAGCGAACATTGAATTCTTCTTCGTCAGTTCTGAATACTTGAATATTTGTACGAATAGTTGACCCATCGCTGTGTTTGGGAAACTGGGATTGACGGTTTTTTACTAAATATTTATCTCGTGGCTCTCCTTCGCTGGTAATAATCAATAATCATATCCATTTATTGAGAACTATTAATCAGCCTATACAAGCCTGCGGAGGCAAATGCTGTTCGCTAAATGGGGTCTGTCTGTAAAGCATACGACCTTATAAACGAAAACGATATTGACACGTAACGTAAATTTTATATCTTGCTTCAAATGGCGTTGCGAAGAGTTACCAAAACTTTTCTGAATCTATTTCTGGGAGCATAAATTTGAGCGAAATTGAAGCCATGAGATCATCGTAAAGTGCCTGTTGTTTTTCGCTTACGTGTTGCATGCTCATTGCTAAAGCCTGGAGTTGATGTTACACCCACAGCGACTCCTCGAGGTCTGCCTACAGCAACAGCCCCAGCACCAGCAGGAAGAATTCCCTAAGCTTCCATCTTCAAAGAGGAGCTTTCTCTTCTTTCAATGACAAGCACAGGTAATATCCTGTGCCAACAAGTGGTCACAAGTCAGAGTTGTGTCTTGCAGATTGTCTCGTCCATTTTTTGTCTTTATTGCTAAAAGAAAAAGTTTTGAGATCGCCAAAGAGATTTGACAACCGGATCATCGTATGTCTTTCGTATCACTTCTTAAAGTTATACGTAAATGCAATAATAATAGAAGCTTGGTCGTAATCCAATCATCGAACACAAATTGAGTTAGCCAGAGGATTAATTTTCATCGAATGAAAACTAGGTCATAAATAGCGTGAAGTTGTTAGTGAAGATGTCGATGGTATTTGTGTGTTGAACTTGGTTCAACACACACAAATTGGTTCATCACTTGGTTGTTGGTTCATCTTCTGCGACTGGCGCACGCCTCAGAATACCTTATGAAATGAGATCAATGTATGACATAGCAACTTGTATGATAATGTATGACGTAGAAACTTCTGGCGCTCTCGAAGAAACAACTTGACGTGCAGACAGTACGTAGTGGCCTCACGAAATTCAATCACTCCAGTCATCGTCCCTAATCCCGAATCTTAAAATATGTTTTGCATGAACTTTAACTGCATCGGTGTAATAATTCATAATTGCAATACTTATTGCATTGCTAGATAAGCATAATAACCTGCGCTTCAAAATAACGCATAAGTTTCGCGAGTTAAAGCATGGTACGGTAAATTGCAATAAAGTTGTGGGTGCCATTCTAAGTTTTAGTTGTGTTTGTCTGCATGCTCTGGATCTCTTCTTCCCATCTTCTCATGCCTGATCTTCACTTGCCTTCAACTTCAAAAAACACTTCACAATACTTTATTTTTGTTATCTTTAACTTTTGTAACTTATGTGTGCATAGTAGCTAGTCTTTGTTTTTTGTGTATTTATATTTTCTCTATTCTTAATCCGCATTTTTCAATTCTTTCAATTGAACACTTTAATCATTTTATCTCGTCTATTGACTCCTTATGGTTAATTTCGTCAAGAGTTACTAATATGAAATTCATTACGATGTTTCTTTTATATCTTTATATTATTATCTTTCTTTTTTATCGAAGAAAACATCATGTTATTATGATGTTTCTTTCATTATTATTATATTTATTTATTCCTTTTATTATCGTAAAATCTGAAGAAGTTAAGAAAAAATAATGAAATTTTGGATCATCATTACCTTATTTAGACTGCTAACTGACATTTTTGTTGCTAAGTTTCAAGCCTATTTTCAATTTTTGTCCCTCTTTTCGTATTGTGCTTTTTTATGTTTTTGCCTCTTTCTACATTTTTGTGTATCAATTGAACCGCTTTTCTTTTTAGCGCATTTTCTCATTTATGGAAAAAATGCACTATTGTGCTCACCATGTCCGTCTGTCCGTCCGTCCGTCTGTCCGTCCGTCCGTCCGTCTGTCCGTCCGTCCGTGACCTCAAGTTTTCGTCGACGAGAAAATGCGCTCTCTGTCACTCACTGCTGGGAGTAATGAGTTATATTTTTTTACTATCATGCCCCTACTTCCGGCCTTTTTTCATGTTAACTTTCTATCAATGTTGTTTTCATATACAAGCCATATTCGTTTCTGATGTCATTCCTAATTCCTTACGCACGTTTGTTGGTTCACGACATGAAAAATGGTTCACGAATGGTTGGTTCACGCACGTTTTTTGGTTCACGACAGACTGGAGAACGAAGACGAAGGATTCCACAGGTCAGGATCCTACGCTAGCCTCAGCAGCCTCAAGCGCGGGGGCAGCTCTCGCCCCGACCTCTACAAGGCATCGCTGTCAGTCCACAAAGGAGGCTTCGGTGCGTTACTTATAATATATTGTAAAAATTATATTGTTACTTATATTGTAAAAATTATTTTGTTACTTATATTGTAAAAATTATATTGTTACTTATATTTTAAAATTATATTGTTACTTATATTTTAAAATTATATTGTTACTTATATTTTAAAATTATATTGTTACTTATATTGCAAAAATTATATTGTTACTTATATTGTAAAAATTATATTGTTACTTATATTGTAAAAATTATATTGTTACTTATATTTTAAAATTATATTGTTACTTATATTGTAAAAATTGGTGCATTTATTAAGTACAATGTTACATAGTTATTAAATTGGTAGCTCAGCTAGGCCAACACTATTGGCAGCTAAATTAACGCTCTCAATAAGGATATGCTGACAGAATATTCATTTTTTGTTGTTTTTTTATGACTCATTCGTTAATTTAATGGTTAATTAATTTAACGCATTAATTAATTACTCGTTCATTTATGCATTTAATGAGTCAGTGTTAGGTTTGATAAATGCCTTGGCTGCAGGATTTTTCATTTTAGAAGAATCGAATCGCAGAACTTAAGTAGATGGAAGTATTATTGCACTGTATTACTCCGTACGATAATAATTGTTCCTTTTGTTTAATCTTATTTTGCAATGATTAGAAGTGTGCAATGTGCTTCTTTGACCGCATTGTTCTAAATAACATACATGAATCATAACAACACCAAAATATAATTAATATGTAATAATTAGTTGAAATTAATTTTATACTTATTTCACTGATTTTAATGATTACTTGAAATTAATAAAATAATTTTTATAATTATTTTAATAATTAATTGAAATTAATATAGTAATTTCTTCACTTCAGACCTGAATCATAACAACACCAAAATATAATTATTATTTAATAATTAGTTGAAATTAATATAATAATTTCTTCACTTCAGACCTGAAGCGCGCTGAGAGCATGAAGATGGTAATTATTTTAAAACTTAGTTAAAATTAAAACAATTAAGTTTTTCATTGCAGACCTGAAGCGCGCTGAGAGCATGAAGATGGACCCGAACTCTGCGAACAAGAAGCCGAAGCGCACGCCCAGCTTCACGACCCGTCGTCGCACGCAGAGCTTCAGGAAGCACAAGCAGAAGGGCGCCAACAGCGAAGACTTGGACGACCTGCCGCCCGTTGAGGTCAGGGGATACCTCGACAGGAAGCAGGAGCTTCAGAGCGGCGGCAAGCGCGCTCCTATGAGGAGCTGGAAGCCCTTCTATACTGGTGGGTACCATGCTTAGGACTATTGTTGTTGTTATTATTATTATTATCACTATTATTCTTATTATTGCACGATGTCCTTATGCTCAGAATTACTATTATTAATAATATTATTATTATTGCACTAGGTCATCATGCTCAGGACTATTGTTGTTATTGGTAAAACCAATGTTATTGTTATTACACTAGGTCATTATGCTTAGAACAGGCATAATGCACTAGGTAGGTCATCACGCTCACAACTGTTATTTTTATTGTTATTATGAACTATTATTATTGTTTTTGTTATTAGTATTGCACTAGGTCGTTATGCCCAGAAGAGGCCATTATGTCGACTATCCTGCAGGAAGCCTTGCTTTGTTTCTCTCGTTAACTGCGTTAGCCTGTCGAAAGCCAGTATAATTATGCTGAACTAGTGTTTAAAAGTCCGTAAATATAAATAATGACTAGGATAGTTACTGCGCCACTAGCGTGAGTCTGCTCGAGCTATCGGTATTGACGTGGGTGTGATGGCTTTGCCTATCTTGCTGAGAAATTTAAAAATATATATATTTTTCAGCTTTTTCAATTAGCCTTGGTTCCAGTGGTAACCCTGATTAGTTAATCATCAACTTTATTTGACCAACAACTGTGTCATTTTCTGTCTCAAAAACTTTCAAGTTTCAAATGCTATTGCTCTGATTATTGTCACTTCAGGCGGAGATGTTCTGAGGACAGATGGTGATTTTGGATAAGTAACTTGATATTCTTTGACTTATTTGCATCGCTATAGAATGCATTTATTTACTCATCCCAAAATATAAGAGGCTCGATACAATGTTTAAAATCCTGTATAATTTTTTTTAAATCCTGTATAAAGTTACTACAGCTAATCCTCATAACATATAGAGAACAAATATAGTCATCTGAAAAAATGTATTCATATAAATATAGTCATATGAAAAAAATCAACAAATATAGTCATATGATTTTTTAGATGTTCGATTTACATTGAATGCCCCCTGTGTTGCAGTTCTCTGCGGCCCGCTGATGCGTTTCTTCAAAGAAGAAAAAGATTAATATTGAATAATAGGATTAATATTAAAATACGTTTGATTAATATTGAATGCCTCCTGTGTTACAGTTCTCTGTGGTCAGCTGATGTGTTTCTTCAAAGAAGAAGAAGATTTCGTCTCTCAGAAGGCAGCGTCACCGCCCATCAACATCATGCAAGCTAACGTCCGGCCAGCCACCGACTACACCAAGAAAAAGAATGTCTTCAGGTATTTGTATTATCATTATTGTATTATATATTTATGTCACACATTATATTATATTATTCTTTATTGTATTTATGACCTTCTTAGTTCTAGCTATCAACCAAAAAAAATTACCGTTGAAAAATTCTTCACATTTCCATGTAGGTTTTAAATCATTCGAATTCCTGGGCATAGCTGTGAAAATTGAAATAGTCTTTCCATCGCAACCGGTTCTTGCTCTATTTAGTTTGTCGACATTGATTCTTTATCTTGCTATGCCACTGAGACTTGATTTAGATTATGGCGAGTTATTATTGTGATGTGTGTAATGTTAAAATTTGCTAATAAAGATCTATTCTATTCAAAATAAGCGCAATTTGTCCAGAAATATATCGTTTTTAATGTCTCCAACTGCTCGTTACAAATGCACGATTAATTTTCGTACTTAATTTATGATTGACGCGAATTAAATATTATATCATCATAATCTGTAATTTTCTTAAATCCTCGTGGTGATCAGGCTGGTGACACGGGACAACGCCGAGTATCTTTTCGAGGCGGACACTGAAGAACTCATGCAAGACTGGGTCAACAAGATCGCCTTCCATGCAACTCTGCCGCCCTCCAAACAACTCATGTCTTACGATGACCGCAAGGTATCAAGAATATCTATTTTAAATCCATTACAATGTTATTATTACTTTTTGGTGTGGGTGTCATTTACGATCATTTCGTACGATGTAATATATACAGCATATCTGTCAGCGAATTATCAAAACACTTTTCCTCCAAACAACTCGTGTCATACGATGACCGCAGGGTACCAACAATATCTATTTGAAATCCAGTGCAATGTTATTGTTATTTTATGGTGTGGGTGTCATTTACGATCATTTCGTACGATGTAATATATACAGCATATCTCTCAGCGAATTATCAAAACACGTTCAAGTGCATGCAGCCGCCGATTTATCGCCTGTGATTGATGGGCTTAGCGTATAAATAAATTATAGCTTAAACAGCGTCATGCATAGCGACGTATTGGCACGCGCTCTCCTCTTCAACGACATCGTAATTTATTAATTCTTGTAATAATGCTTCACTCTAATGTTCGTTTATTTTTTAATTGAAATAGATAATTTTTAAATCGGCCAATAATTTTAGTATTTAATTAATGATGATTAATCAAGGAATATTTTTTACAGTCTTTCAAATTGTGAATATTTTATAAAGTTTTTTTGCACTGCTCCTTCTATATTATCAATGAGTGTTTACGAATATGTATCTGGGTTTTACTTGAACTTTGGATTGATGTCTTGTAAAAATATTCAGAATTTTCATTGTGATATAAAGCATTTGCTTCATGGATGTTTGTTGCTTTACATGTTAGGCTTACAAAATTCGTGTCTTCTTGAATATTGCACCATTCGCAGTTTATATAGTAATGTTTGTCGGAACACAATTATTTTCCACTCTGTTTGTAATAGAATTGTTTTGTGTGTCACCATCGCGCTTGTTCTTTCTCTTCAGCTGCTATCTGTCATATTCGTCTGGTGCTCGTTCCATAACCAGCAGAATAGCTGCTCAGATTCACTCGGAGTAAATAATTGTTGTTTTTAACTCCACAAAATAATCTATCGCTTGCTTCTGTTGATCTTATAAATTTAATAGATTGTTGAATTAGGTTTTAAATTGCATTACGAGATTAATTAAGCTATATCAACCGATTCATTGCTACGCCGAATTTAAGCCTATTCAATTAACATTGCGATTCAATCTACGCCGATTCAATTAATATTGAAAACCAATTATTTTTCTCCTTTTTTTTGTTCAATGCGATTAAAACAATCTTCTGGCAGTTATGGTAACGAGCTTCGTGTTATTTTCTATTCGTAATTTGTGTGCTTGTGTATGTTTACGTTACGTCTATTACCGCGTCAGGAGCCTGGTAATAACAGCAACAGCTCTTCTCGTAACTACGTGAGCACGGTCATCCACATCGGCGGTTCCGGATCAACGGACCAGCTAAATGTGTCCGCTGATTCTTACCCGTCCGAAAGATCCTCACCATCGTCACAGCATCGGCAAGATTTAACGGGAGGCCGTGACCCCGCTAGACCGGTCTCACAGTCCTTAGATAATCCCCTCTATGCAAACCTTGATCATGTGAGTGATGAATCAATCCCTTGACTACGTTTTATAATTTCCCAGATCCTATGAAGTTTAGGTTCAAAATCCTCTCATGTTCCTATCGTGGGACCAGGAATGCAAGTGGATCCTTGTATCGAATCCGACTATCGGAATAGAAAAATGCCTGATTATAGCATATTTCACACAAAACACGCTATTGTAGATAAAATGTATTTCCTATCTGTCCGCTTTCTGTCTTGCTTGCAATGTTTACGTTGTTCTTTGTGTGCATCTATTGCGTGCAATTGTGGGCATTTATAGTTTTTTAATGGTATTTTGATTGAATATTTGGATGCGTTAAATAAATAACATTAAAATCTCAGCAACTACTTCGTTTCAAATTTGAATAAAATACCTTACAAGATTATAAATTTTCAAGTGGAAAGTGGGCATCAATTCAATTCTTCACGCAGTACCTAAAGAATTAGAGAAAGGGCTACTTTTCCCACGGCTGAAATATATGAATTCTATTTTTATTTTTTGCAAAAGCGTTAATTCCATATTGAATGCAAGAGATCGAACTGAATTCCATTCTTTGTGTGGTGCTTCTTTAATATATATCAAGCTTCCAATATATTTATAAAGTTTTCACAATAAACGGTTTTAACTACATGTTTCATTGATGGTGCTACTTTATGTTAGTGATTGTGCTAATTCAAGATCTTTGTTTTATGATGCGTCAGAATTCTAAATTAGCCCAAAACAGCTAAAACAATATATTGGTGTTCCACTCAATAAAATAAGTGCATAACATCGACATTGCATTTCAGGCGCCCCCCATGACCGAGAACGGGGGCGTCAACAAGCCCCCCGTCCCCCCTCGCCAGGGGGGGCTCCCCCCAAGTGCTGGACAAACCCACGAAGACGGCGGCCCCATCTACCAGAACAGGGTCTCCGTGGTGCCCAGTTACGGTACATTGAACTTAGATACGTAGAGTTCGTTACGTTATACCGTACTCAGTTACGGTACGTTATACTAGATACTTAGAGTTCGTTAGATTTCAGGGCCTATACTTTCAAAACTCGCTGAGTGAACGTAAGTACTTACGCTCTATTGTCTTGTCTATGATTGGTGGATTTTGCTTGAAAGGCCGTCAATGATTGGCTGATGAACTTACGATCTCTTAACTTTTGTTGAAAGTATAGGCCCTGAATACCCCCCGTCTTAAAAAAACACCATTCCACAAGTCACCATTGCACAAGTCATAATTCTACAAGTCATAATTCCACTAGTCAACATTCCACAAGTCACCATTCCACAAGTCATCATTCCACAAGTCACCATTCCACAAGTCACCATTCCACAAATCATCATTCCATAAGTGACCATTCCACAAGTCAACATTCCACAAGCCACCATTCCACAAATCATCATTCCAAAGTGACCATTCCACAAGTCACCGTTCCACAAGTCACAGTTCCACAAGTCACAGTTCCACAAGTCACCATTCCACAAATCATCATTCCAAAGTGACCGTTCCACAAGTCACCGTTCCACAAGTCACCGTTCCACAAGTCACCGTTCCACAAGTCACCGTTCCACAAGTCACCGTTCCACAAGTCACCATTCCACAAGTCAACATTCCACAAGTCCCCATTCCATAAGTCATCATTCCACAAGTCACCGTTCCACAAGTCCCCATTCCATAAGTCAACATTCCACAAGTCCCCATTCCATAAGTCATCATTCCAAAAGTGACCATTCCACAAGTCACCGTTCCACAAGTCACCATTCCACAAGTCAACATTCCACAAGTCACCATTCAATAAGTGACCATTCCACAAGTCACCATAACAGCACCGTGGAATGGTGATTTGTGTCACCATTCCACGCCATTAAAAATTTTTTTTTGATGATCGTAAATTTTCCTTTCGTGTTGGTTCTCCAAGAGTTCGGCAATATCGACCAGTCAAGGACTAAATTCTTGTCCACCGAAAAACGCACCTGCAGAACAATAAAATTTCAATGAATTCATCTCCCACGAATTTTTCATGCCGCGAATTCTTATTGAGACAATTCAGAAGTCCCGAGTGTGCTTATACAAATGTTGCTATAAAAAAGATTTTCTTATAAAAGACATATAAAAATATTCCTATAAAAGATTTTCAGTGCTCAGCAACGACCTCGTATTTTGAACTAATATCGTGATAGACAGAACTACCTGCTGTAATGTTATTTTATGTAGCATTGATTCTTTTATTTTAATTTATTATATAAAAGAAACTTATTATAATCAATATAAGGCTACAACAGTTGAGTTTCCCCTGCAGAAGTGTCCTCTCAAGCAGCGCAGCAGCAGCCAGGCGCTCCACGACACGCCCGGCACAGCTATCACTCTAACGGCGTCAGAAGAGGCAGTGCTGAAAACGTCTATAACGAAGGTAAGCTTTTCGTCTCGTATTCCTGCCCCGACGTAAGTTATCCCTGTTGTGTTTTTCTGTTTCGCTTCCCATCCCAAGTCCTACTTATTTGCTTATGAACCGTACTCCTCATCCTGATTCCATTTTAACTCCATTATACGATTTTCTTCACTCCTGGCTCCCTGCATTACCAGCACCCACGCTCACAGAAGTTAGCGAGACTGTCTAAAGGAGCGATGCACTTTTCGCACGTATGCGGGTCATTCTGACCCAGTTTGACTCGAAAAAGATCGTGTGAGTGCATCATGCAAAACGGAGGTCACTATTTGGACAACGTGACCCATTCATGTTTCTGAGCGTGGCACACTCCAATTTTTCGAATTTAATCAAATTTCGTTATTTAAAGGTAAAAAGTTTTTAATTGATGCATAGCGTTTCATTAAAAAAAAAAAGATTATGATTATCAATTTAATTATCACCCTAGAAAACGCTATTTGCTGAATGAAGTTTAGTTACTGTAAATGTTTAGTTAAGTCTAGCAAAGTTCACCAATTAACGCGCGATGATTGTTGTAGTTTACTTCATCTGTCATACGTGTCGCTCTCTTCTCTAAAAAACACTTCCTACGAATCCTTGTAGTTTGAGTGTAGCTTATTTTGTATTTCTTCTTGTTTGTTTTGTATGTGCTAGGCATGCTTTCATTGTGTTATGATTGTGTTGCATTGTGATGCATTTTCGTCTCGTCAAATCATCACTGTAGTAGCACCAAGTGTTTCAGGAATGATTCGTAGATGCATTCAATAATTACGAATTCAGCTTTGTTTATTTTACATTTTCCGAGTAAAATAAAGTCAATGCTTGCTGTTTCCACAACTTTTGCAATTTATCGTTCCATGAGCCATATAAATTATTAAATAGATGGATTTTTTTCAAGACGACTAAATAAGTCTCTTTCAGCCCCGTGTTCATGCTCAGTTTGCTTATAATTTTACGTGATGTGCTTTATTTTTGTGTTATTTCTTAGTAATTACTAACAAGTTTGATACGGTGTCAATTTTGCAACGATTAATGAAAATAATACAACTTCATAGCTAACTAAACCCTTCACAAATTTCCATCCAGTCAAGCAGCAGCCTCGTATCAAATGTGCAGAAGTCTAGTATAACTCGAGAACACCTTACAGTTACACCACATGTGCGGAGTAATCGGGATGATTTAAGGTCAAATTTACACGGCGTGAAATTTGCATACCCTGTTCTTCCGGCTCATGGTTATAAGTGGGGCTGCATAAAGTGGTTACGGGATTTTTCCTAATGAGGATCATGCCACGGTCATTGAACTCTGCTTAGTAATCGTTGATTTTTCATTCGTATCAGTTCGGTGATCATATCTTTCCAAAAATAAGGTTCCCCCTCGTAAATTCTATCCCCTTTCTCACCCATAATGATCTTTTGTGGGTTAACGCCGCCGTTTTGTTCAAGCTTTAATGTTCACGATTCTGTTTACGCAATCACGATTACATTCGATCTTCAGATTTAAACAAAAATAGTTTTGTAAAACAATAATAATTCTGTAGGTTCAGTAATTTGATTTCCAGCACAAAATCGTGTTTCGATCAAAAGTTCTACGTTTAAGTGCGACAGTTGGTCAAGTCGTATTCATTCTACACCGATGTTTGCGCGACCTCACAGACATTGAGTACCGTTCTGGTGGGAGCATCAAGTCTCGCGGCGCCCCTGTCGCTCAGCAAAGAACTCCGCCATATACCAGCAGCTCTTACCAGCACGGCTGGACTCCTCAACCACAACCATCTTCGTTTGCTCCACCACCTGTACAACCTCGCCTCAATCCAGGGCCTCCTCCACCTTTGTCATCCCCGCACTACGTAAATCACGAATATCACCAACAACACCACCACCACCAACAGCAGTCGTCTCAGATGTCCCCAAACAAAACGCTTCACTCGTATTACCAGCCGCCGGTACAACATTACCAGTCTCACCAATACCATCAGCCCTCGAGACATGACGGGGCTAAGTACCACCACCAGCAAGTACAACAACAATATTACCAATCATCTAGTCGCTCGGGTGACACAGATGTGGACTTCAATGAACACGTGGCGCAAGTAACGAGAGTGTCACAACATCACTACAAGGGTTAGTGCTCGTCTTCAAGTCTCTTCTACTCATCTGTAAAGACTTGCTAAATTGACTCTTCTCGTCAGTGAAGACTGTCTAATTTGAAAGTAACTCATTAGCAACGTCTTTCTAATTTGACAGTAACTCGTCAGTAACGACTTGATAAATTGACTTCAGCTCATCAGTAATGAGTTCACAAAGAGACATTGCATGTCAGTAAATCAGTCATGGCTTGCTAACGAGACATTAACTTGCTCTTGACGACGCGGACTATACAGATGACACTATTTCTATATATCTAGTTTTACCCTTCTAGTCTCCGTTCAATGACTAGGATAGCAACTATTTTTAATAGTCAACGAGGTCAGCTCGTAAGTTATGCATCGTGCTTTTTGACTTGAAATTACGAGCAATCGCATGTGTAAAGTAGCTGCGCTTCTCAGCTTTTGGAAATTCCTTCCCATAAAATACAAGTCTTACTATATACTTCACAAAGAATTCGACCAAGTACGATAAATCGTGCTAGAGTAATAAATATTTCAACCAATAACTAAGAATCCTTTAGATTTTAGTCTCGACAGTTCAAATTATCCTGCAAACGACCTATTTTTCTGGCCAAATATCTTCTATGAAGAACAAATGTTCTTCTGTAGGTGACTTGCTTTACAACAACTGTAGGTGACTTGCTTTACCTTCACTTCTGCTCTCAGAAGTGTTGTACGTATGTCAGTCATGACCTAGGAAAAGGTTTGATAAGAAATCTACGTGAGGTAGAGTTGCAATATTGTCCATTTGTCCGTAGCTACTTAACTGCTTTTGCTTCTGCTTTACTGCACGTGGCCTGTTGCTTCTGCCCTAGTAAATAATCATATCAGCCGCTGCCAAAATCTGATGTGTAATATAATGTGTCGTTCCTTGCGATTATTGTTTGTATATTTACTTAAATCTGACGTGAAGTCCGCTCAGAGACCAGTGACGTATGTGCACTACTTAGTGTTCAGATTGTATAAACTAAGCAATTTGTGAGCTCAAAAGAGCAATCAATATTAATTGTTCAAATAAATTGAAATCTATCAAAGAAAACTCATCATACATAAAGGTATTTTTCTTAAACTTTTGGATAACAATTACCACACTTATTATATTATTATTAAAACCTTTTGTACCATACTTATTATTCACATCAGATGTTGACAACGGCAGATGCACTTCTACGTTTGAACGTTGCTAAGAACACACGCGCAGCATTTGTACCGTTGTGAGCTGAGATAATCGTCATTATTGCTGCACATTTGCCTCTTCCCTCTTGTATATTATTAAGCTATAATTATATTTCAATGAACACGTATAAGGGTGGGAGCAATTGTAGAAAGATGATTATGATCAATTGGGTAATTATTAGTGAGAGATTCGGGTTGCTTTTGGAACATTTGTATTGTTAAACGATAACAATCTTGCATTAGATGCTTTGGTGGGATATCTAAAGTAATTGCTTTGAACAGTTGGTTTTACTGTACATAATGTTCAGATCTGGCAGATAACTAATTTTATATAAGCAGAGCGGCTGCAATGATGTGAAGACTACACTTTAGCATAATTATATCGTCAATACTCATTTACACACATGTTATATATACTCTACTTTGCATTGTGTCTGCTGAACTGAAGTAATAATTTTGTTATGAACGCTTCGTGCAGGTGTTTCGCTGGATGGAGTAGACGGTGTACCTGGCTCCCGGCAGGTGAGTGCTGACACTGCCATAACTAAAAGAAATGAAACGTAGAGTTTAACGCTTTTATTAGTTGTTGTATAGATCAATTCGTGTGAATTGTGCAGGATTATGAATGAATATATGGTATAACGTTCTTTACAGAGAAAATGAGTGTATTGTGCACTATTTCTCTCATCTAGATCATAGAAATCAAGAATCACGATAGTTAAAAATAAACTTGCTTCTACTTCAAATATCCATGCACATGATTATCAAGTTTCACAATCGAACAGGGGTTCCAACACATGACAAGAAAGTAAATAAATGATTTTAAAATATATCAGTAGTTATTACAGCTGCCTTACGTTATTTTATCCAAATCACAATATTTGTACCGTTGATTTTATTGCCTATTTGCAGCCCATCAACGTCCTGGAGAGACGGTCGCTGAACACGCTACCTGCTGGGGGTGCATCAGGGGCCAGCGCCCCCCAGCGCCACTCCGCGATGCCCGCATTCGAGCTGGACCAGGCAGCACGCGGCGGCACCCACGCCGGGCCCGCCGGTGAAGACGACAGCGACCAGAGCGGCGACGCGTCCAAAGATAAAGGACGCAGAATTTTCCGCCTTTTCAATCGTAGAAAAGGTGCTCAAGTCTAGAGCATAGGTCCTGAAGTAAAAAAAAAGATTTCTCATTATTGTCCGTCAAAGCAGCTATGAGGATGAGAGATAGTGTTGTAGGATATGTGTCACGTTGGGCGTCTGAAGTATGTCTTTTGTTATCTTGAGCGTATTTATAAAGGGTGAAGTTGAAGATTACACGCAGATTTGAATGGTTGAGATATAATGGTCTATAAATTTCATTATCGCTGACTGTCACAACTGAGAAACGAAATTGTGCTCGTTTATTATGGACCAGTTTTTCATAAAGCACTGCATTAAATAAATGCAGCAGTTACCACTTTTTTTTAAAGCTCGTAATGGAGCTAATAGGCGAAGTTAATGTAAATATCGACTGGGCGATATCTACTCTTTTATTCAGTTTAGCAGTGAATGTTGGTGTTATTTTTATCTTAATTATGAAGTAATTAGAAGACGCAAATGTATTCACAAAATTGCTGTGAATTTTAGTTTAATTATTTGATCGGGTGATGTAAAAACCGACGTTGCCGCAGCAATTAAAATTTTGTCATCGTGTAATTATATTAAGTTTAGATATAGGTAATGTTTGAAGGCTTTTATTGGGAGCTTTGTTATAACAGTTCGCATATTTGAGCTGTAATTGAACCTGTAATCATTGCTTGTCCTGTAATATGATTCTTATATATCTTTTATTTTCTATTAAAAGCACATCAATTTCACAGCTCAATGGGAAATCACCTATTTGACTGGCTGAATACTAGAATAACTAGAAGCAATCATACTTATTTCGGTGGCTTCATTCCGATGCATCATTCCATTACCTGAATTGTCTCTTGAATTATTTAGTTCTCAGGAGAGCACAGGGTAAAAGCTAGCTACCTTTTGATGGTGATTACAATAATAAATCTTAGTCTTGATGACGGTTCATCAAAGTGCCTTTCTACTTATTTACTATTTGTGCCTAAATATGAGTTGCCTTATTGTAGACAAGATACAATAGTGTAGGATTCGCAGACTAATGTTCATATTGTACGTAGCGTTTTCGATATTTATGTGAAACAGAAGCGGCTAATAACTAGGTATGCCTAATTCTTCCATAGAACGAAAAGCATCACTCAAATTTCCTTCCTACGAAATATTAACCAAAACGGAATCAAAATTTTTTATGGTTCATAATTCCGCGGAAAAGAGTCTTCACTGACGGGAAACTTATAAATGACATACTTCCCCGGAAAATTTTGGACTTGTGATTGCATTGCGATTTGCTTGGATGGTGTAAATCTTGAAAACTGAAATTAGTACATCGTAAAAAATATTCAAGCATGTTACAGTCCAAGTGCAAAGCATTACTTCATATTTACACAAGTCAACAGGAATCCATTCTCCTGTTAACATTCTCAATTGTTTAGCCAAAATTTTCTCTGAGAAAGCTGTTCCGTTCACTTTTGTTTGACGTTTTAAATCAAAATAAGTTAGTTAAGATTATTTTTCATGCATAGTCATTGTATTTCATTGGGAATTAGACTTGATTAACCTATGCCATATATTCATTTATACTAAGATATGGTACCTCTTTCACACAAATTTACCAAAGAATGGTAGGAGCATGCATTCATTGATTTTGCTTATTTCTTGTACCTCTGTCTTCGCATCATCTAGTTATACAGAGTAATGTCTTAATGATCAATATGTTCTTCGGTCAGCTTGAGTATATTTCAAGTCTTAGTGATTACAGTTGGTCCCAAGTAAAGCTACATTAACGTAAGTACTTTACATTACCTCATTGCATGAACTCTTGTATGATTTAAAAAATCGAGTGAATATAGTCTTCAGAACTTGGCAGGAAATGATGCATATTATAGAAATTGTTCAATTTATACTAAATACAGAATTCTTGGGTCTTTCATAAGTCACGTCGGTTTACGGGACTGCGCCTATGATTGTGGTTAGTAAATTACGAGTCTGAAACAGAAAAAGGATGCTGGCATAATTTTAGAGACAGCATGCGCTTAAAGATTTTCCTGTTGCTATTTTTATTTCACAACCGTCAAGTAATATTTTGTCCGAATGACGCTTGATATAATTTCCTTTTTGCCGGAATCATCATATCCTAAGATAGTGTCAGCTAAAAATGGATACTAGTTCCTCCTTAACTAAGATTGTTACTACAATCTTAGAGATTGTAACTACAATCTAAGATTGTTACTACAATCTTAGATAGAAAACTCTACAAGTATTTCTATAGCTGGAAAATTTCTTCCTTTAATTCGAATTTACTGTTAGTAAGCAAAGTTTAATGCCACCGACTATCGCGAGTCCCTGTTACATAACAACCGATGACGAGTGATGTGTATGGCGCGGCCTGAAGATGTTGCGACGAGAGGGTCCATTTCTTTCCTAATAATCCACAAGCTAACTAAGTACTGAAATGAATTGATAAATTTCCCTGTCAATAAATACACTTCGTGCCGCAATAGATCGTGATTGTGCAGAAATTGTGCCAATATATTCTTTGATGTGCTGCAAGTTTACACAGATTGATGTTCTGCTGTAGAATTACTCCTAATTTAAACGCGTGCTAGTAGTTTATGTAGTGAACTGTAAATACCTCCCATTATAAATATTGTTGCTAGCAAAAATTATTTTTGTTGAAAGCATTATCGTTTGGATGCGGTATTTGATAAGTCGCAGAATTGAATAAATCGGTACATTTCAATATCGTCTTTTACTGTCCTTAGTTAAGAAATGATCGGAAATAGCAGTGAATCAGTCTATACTTGAACCTTCCAGGCTCATAAAATTTCTCTAAATCAAGTAAAGATAAAATTTTAGTGCTTACCTCAATCCCATCTCCTGCTTCGGTAGCAGATACTCGAATTCTGCCGGAAAAAGTCGGAAGTGAGAAATACAAAACGATAATGTAAATATAGCTAACGAAAAATCGAGGGCCAATATAAATTAAAATAAAAATAAATTTCTCATCCTATTCACAGTTAAGTTTATCGTGAACTTCCGACCTGATCGAATCGGGGTATTGCAAAAGCGATTGAAAATGAGTTGAATAAGTAAATCATACTTACATAAAAATTTGAATTTACTTAAGTAGTCACGATCGCCTCTAATCTTCTGGCCATAATCAACTAGCAAATTTGAAGTTTATACAATTGTATGACTGGAATACAGATTTTGTTCCAAGTTTGTTTATAAACACACAAATGATGAGTGGCGGAGATGCTGAGCAATCAGATCGTGCTATTCTCCACGAGATTAGATTATTCCTTAGATAATTGTAACAACATATGTTGAACTGAGCTTTGTTAGCAAGACTCTCCTGCAGCCAAGGTCAGTGTGATGTTACTCGGTGCGTGGGATGTGTGTCGCTGTACAGTAAACGTACTTTTTTATTTTCTTCCACTTTATTTAATAACTATCAACTCATTACGGTCGTATACATTTTTTAAGGTATTTTAAATTAGTTTATAACAAAATGGTTACCGTTATTGTGATGATCTTTATTGATAAGACCAACTGCATCTCATGGCTTAACTATAAATTCATATGGAAGTGTTAGTCGTGTGGGAGCTTGCGCCTGTTTGAGATTTCGGCTTCGTTCGGAACAAAAAGTTCGTTTCAGAGTCCAAGTGTGTCAGTTTCACACATGGACTCGAGTCAACTACAGAAAACATGGTGATTGTAGAAGCACACGCATTGATGAAAAGGCAAGGCATCGTACCGGCAAATTTTCACTAGGTAACGATAAACACAATTTTTTTATAGTATCCACTATCCTGCATTTTATCGTAAAAAATTTAAGATACAATAAAAAAGAATGAAGGGAGACCACTACATATGGAGCCTACTATTTTGAAAACTTTAATATTGCAAATTTATTCATGAGAATAAATGTATTCTATACGCCAATTTAATCATTAAAAAATTAAAAGGGCTCAAGATAGGTAGGTATTTAAAATAAGAAAATCAAAGAATGTGCACCCTAGAAATGAGAATGTGCACCCTAGATTGTATACATGCAAAATGCACATATAAAACCACACACTATCAACCAACAACTTAACAACAAGCCAATATCTTAAAATAAGATATTGGCGATATGTTGATTTAGGATAAGGATAAATAAGCTACATAAGTTTCTCATAATTAATTTTTTAGCACAATATAAAAATGAGATTTTAGCGGAACGATTAACTAGAATATGTTTTAAAAAATAAATCAATTTTGCGGCATAAGCGACCATGGAATCGAAGCAAACGCTCCTGCTGAATGCGCCCGAGTCGTGCGTAGACGAAATGTTGTCCGGACTCTGCAGAATAAACAACGCTTTGTACAAGCTCACAGGGTCGGTAAGTTCATCTAAATTAGACGACAGTACAAGATTCATTCATATAACGAATGAATCGGCGTAGCATATTCTTTAATCATAAGTGTCTGCAATTAAACATCTTCATAACTATAACTGAATCTTTTTGAGGAAGGCCATATAACATAATTTTGGATCAACCTGAATAGACGTAATTGTTAATTTCAAACATATCTACAACATTTCACGAAAATGAAGCGTACCGTAGTTTACAAAATAATGAAGTTGCAAAAATTCATGATCATTATGACGAACATTTATTATATAACTGCACTGGTCCGTGAAATAGCATCAACATATGTTGTTAGAATTATCTACGAATACGATATCTCTCTCCGCTATAACATATAATTCTAAATCATATTCACCACTCGATCGCACTAGCAAACAAATGACCTGCAACGAGATAAGAACCTCATTTGGTAGGCAAGTCAGGAAACTATCTCAAGGTTTCTCAAGTAGAAACGAGAGGCATGGTCAAAAAATTTATATCATAATTGATTAAAATTTTCCAATTAAAATATTTTTTCCTCAGTCCGTATTGGTTGACGGGCGCAGGGCGAGTGCAGACGCAGGGAGCGTGGCCATCGTCTCAGGAGGAGGCTCAGGCCACGAGCCTTTCGCTGCTGGTGAGCCAAATCTGCGCTAGTGCAGAAAGCAAGTTCAAATGAGGCGTGATGACGTGTTAAACTGATAAATGTCATTCCAGAATTATGTTAAACATAATTGTGGAATTATGAGTGATGACGTGTTAAACTGACCAATTATAATTCCACAATTATGTTAAACATAATTATGGATTTATAATTGGTCAGTTAGACACGTATAAAATTTGTCAGACAACTGACCAAGATAATTCCACAATTATGTTAAAAGTTGTTTCGAAGATGAGCAGGAGCCGCTGATTTCATTGGTATTGGATAATATTTGCCATAACTCCGAGAAATACATGGAAAATATTATTTTTTAAGAGATGTTGGAACGATATGGCAAGTTTCACTAATAATTATTAGCAAGGCTTAGAAAAGGCCAAATGTCGTGATAAAAGAGGCTTGTCCTTGGAGCATTTTCTGAAAATGAAATAGGGAATGCAAAATGAAAAATGGAAGCTACGGCGCCGAATGTCTAAACTATTCATTTCGCTCAATACATTTTCGATCGTGCTGCAAAAGTTCAACAAGGTTGACGTTAACCTGCGTTACATTAAAACCACCTATATGTCAGTCCGGCGTTGCCCGTGTTCGATCATTCCTGTAATTATAGAATCCTTTCATGAGTATCCTGGATACGCTCTTGAACAACATTTTTAGCGCATTTTCTCATTTATGAAAAAAAAGGCGCTATTGTGCTCGCCATGTCCGTCCGTCCGTCTGTCTGTCCGTCGGTGACTTCACGTTTTCGTCGACAAGAAAATGCGCTCTCTGTCACTCACTACGGTGAGTACTGAGTTATATTTTTAAATGTTTACGGCGCCAAGCTTCAAATGAAAAAAAAACGTTGGCAAACAATTATAAGATTAAACTTTGTATTATAGCTTAATGTACCACACAAAGGCAATAATCACTGTAAATTCAGATATTTCGGCTGTAGCGACTAGCGAGGGATTCGAATGGAATCTGCTCAACCAGCATTTGGCGCGTTTACTGGAACCATGCATGCATATTTATATGCTAGCTGAATCTTCAGTGAAAAATAGAATCTTCGTCATAGGGCTCCCAAAATATTCAATATCATTATCTTACAGAAGTTACATTGTACAGTGACAAATGCATCCATTACACTAAGTATTCTATACGTCACTGAAGCCTTTAGACTTTCCTGTCATCTCGAGTCAGACATTATCCAATATAAATATCTAGCGAAGTATGAATTACTGATAATTTTAATGTAACCGCTTCCATGATTTACTGATGTTAGCGTTAGATAGGAAGCTCAGATATAATCGGCAGTAGGTGTGTGCGGAAAATAGATAAGCCTTTGTTAAAGAAGAAGAGAAAGTCATATTTTAATGATGTTGAGATGATATAAGGATATTGAAGGGAACCAAACTAATAAGCGTTGACTATATTGAACGCTGCGCAATAATTTATAACTCACTTTAATATTTTTTATAAAAAATTGGTACAGAAAAAAGAAGTTATTATCAAATATGGTTTAAATTCCCTGAAAGCAATCCTTATTCTTAAAAACACATAACCTATTTTAAAGTTCTTATCAATCTAAAAATTCACGTATCAAAATCGATGAATTTAATCGCGCGGTGCACCGCAGGCTACGTCGGCCGGGGCATGTTGGCTGCCGCGGTCGCTGGCTCTGTCTTCGCGTCGCCTCCTGCTGCTACCATCGAGCGGGCCATACGGGCCGTGAGTGGCGACAAGACGGGTGAGTCATACGGGCCGTGAGTGGCGTCAAGACGGGTGAGTCATACGGGCCGTGAGTGGCCGCAATACGGGTGAGCCATACGGGCCGTGAGTAGTCGCCATACGGGCCGTGAGTGGCGACAAGACGGGTGAGCCATACGGGTAGTGAGTAGCCGCCATACGGGTGAGCCATACGGGCCGTGAGTGGCGACAAGACGGGTGAGCCATACGGGCCTCGAGTGGCGACAAGACGGGTGAGTCATACAGGTCGTGAGTGGCGACAAGAAGGGTGAGTCATACGGGTCGTGAGTGGCGACAAGACGGGTGAGTCATACGGGCCGTGATTGGCCGCAATACGGGTGAGCAATACGGGCCGTGAGTGGCGACAAGACGAGTGAGTCATATGGGCCGTGAGTGGTCGCAATACGGTGGAGCCATACGGGCAGTGAGTAGCCGCAATACGGTGGAGCCATACGGGCCGTGAGTGGTCGCCATACGGGTGAGCCATACGGGCAGTGAGTAGCCGCCATTCGGGTGAGCCATACGGGCCGTGAGTGGTCGCAATACGGGCAGTGAGTAGCCGCAAAACGGTGGAGCCATACGGGCCGTAAGTGGTCGCAATACGGTGGAGCCATACGGGCCGTGAGTGATCGCCATACGAGTTAGCCATACGGGCAGTGAGTAGCCGCCATTCGGGTTAGCCATACGGGCTGTGAGTGGTCGCAATACGGTAGAGCAATACGGGCAGTGAGAAGCCGCAATACGGTGGAGCCACACGGGCCGTGAGTGGTCGCAATACGGTAGAGCCATACGGGCAGTGAGTAGTCGCAATACGGGTGAACGATCAATGCCGCGAGTAGCCGCCATACGGTGGAGCCATACGGGCAGTGAGTAGTCGCCATACGGGTGAGCCATACGGGCAGTGAGTAGCTGCCATATGGGTGAGCCATACGGGCCGTGAGTAGTCGCAATACGGTGGAGCCATACGGGCAGTGAGTAGTCGTAATACGGTGAAGCCATACGGGCAGTGAGTAGCCGCAATACGGGTGAGCCATCAAGGCCGTGAGTAGTTGCCATGCGGTGGAGCCATAAGGGCAGTGAGTAGTCGCAATACGGTGGAGCCATACGGGCAGTGAGTAGTCGTAATACGGTGAAGCCATACGGGCAGTGAGTAGCCGCAATACTGGTGAGCCATCAAGGCCGTGAATAGCCGCCATACGGTGGAGCCATACGGGCAGTGAGTAGTCACCATACGGGGAGTGAGTAGCCGTCATACGAGTGGGCGATCAGGTCTCTGAGTGGCGACAATTAATGCAGGTGAGTTCTCACACTCCAAATCTGGAAAAATGAAATGCTACATTGCTCTAAGTACCAATTCTCTAAACTAACGATTTTCATATACATTATTTACCTTTCTGTGAATAAGTAGTAACAAATAAATAGGAAAGACTCTTTAGGCAAATAACATTTTTACCATCCACCAGCCGTCGGATGGGAGAAAGTTTCTTCTAAATCAATGAATTATTCCCGAGCACCCAACAACAATTTGTTAAAAAAACGAGCCCTCTCTATTACACTGCGCCAGATGATGTCATAGGTTTTAATCTAACAATAATAAAGCAATACACTTAAGAAATACTCATAAATATACCTTGGAATATTAGGTGGAGTGCTGGTGCTCGTCTACAACTACACAGGCGACCGAATCAACTTTGGTCGAGCCGTCGAAAGATGCAGGGACCTTCCTAACAGGGTCAGAAATATTAGTCAATAATTACTCATTTCAGCTGATACTGATCAATTTATTCTTCTCAAGAACTAATAGATTACTACACATAATTTGACAATTCATGTCTCGTAACAAGAGTACATTTAGTAAAATTTAAGCATCACTGCGCATTATATTCAAGTTTTGATCAAATGAATATAGCTGCTTTCATCAGCAGTCATATCTATGTCATATCAGCAGTCATATCAACTATTTGAGGATCAGGTAGAATCATTTCATACGTCACTGCTTAACAAATCAGGTTACATTGCCTAAAGAGCCGAGGAAGACTTTTTCTGCATCCATTCACTGTCACGTTTAAAGTAAGATAGAAAGTAAAAAAATAAATTTCTCCACACGCATGGTAATTATTGAATTTATAAAAGTGGCTACAAGCATCTCTGCAATAGATTAATAAATTTCACTCGTTCTATATTGAGGTTTAAGTTAGAACGAGCGGGAGATAAAAAGAGTTAAAGGGTTAAAATAGAACTTAACCTCAGGCCAAGTAATACAATTGTTGAATGATATTATCATGCATCAGGATGCCGATAATTGATAAGGTTGATATTCTTTTCCCAGGTGGAGATATTCATCGTGCAGGATGACTCTGCCATGACGTCACTAGAAGACACGGCGGGACGCAGGGGTCTGTGTGGGGGCATGCTGCTCATCAAGGTGTGGAGGCCTCACGATCTTAATCACATTAGTACAACAATCAAAATTATTACAAATGTCAATATCTAAAGAAAATCGTTACTAAACCGGCAGAAATTTGTGACGATGGCCTTACGACCATTCTGGATCATTCACGAGCATGTATAAGAAAACATTCACGAGCATGTATTAGCCATCTTGAAAATTTGAAATTAATTAATTTTCATAAAGTTTCTTGTTAATTTTAGTCCTTGCTAAGCTTTCACCGGCAATCTCATCTGACGAACCTTTGGTTCCGATAATGAAGTTGGGTTCAACAGATTCAACTTGAAACAAATCCTCATCACCCCATTTAAATAAACGAACTATCGGAATAATTTAATTCGGCCAAAATTTCTGTATAAATCTAATAATAAGTATTTGTTTCATCATTAGTAAAATATTGACCAATGAGGACCAATATTTTGCTCCGTAATGTGAACAGATTGTGGGAGCATTAGCAGAGCGAGGTGCGTCCTTAGACGAACTCCTGCAAACGTGCGACGACATCACGAAGCGAATGGCGACCCTCGGGGTAGCGGCAGGAGGCTGTACCCTTCCAGGGGCATCTGCTCCGCTCTTCACTGTGCCCCCCGGCATGCTGGAGCTTGGTCTTGGGGTTCATGGAGAGGCTGGAGTCGGGTCCTTAACGGTAAACATCATTTACGTTCAACAATTTTCATGTATACGGTCTTATAATCACCTTTGATCTTATAATCACATTTGATCTTAAAATCACCTTTTATCATATAATCACCTTTGATCTTATAATCACATTTGATCTTAAAATCACCTTTTATCTTATAATCACCTTTGATCTTATAATCACCTTTGATGTTATAATCACCTTTTATCTTATAATCAATCACCTTTGATCTTATAATCACCTTTGATCTTATAATCACCAATCAAAATTTTTACGAACGTCAATATCTAAAGAAAACCGTTACTGAACCTGTAGAAATGTGTGACGATGGTCGAATGGATTATTTACATTTTAGCAGTTAATTCAGCCTTAGACCAGCGCTCTCAAAAATGTGGGTCTGTATCGCAGCGAGAGGGAATAGAAATATGCTGAATGGCGCATGGAAAATATTGAACGTAAATTTTTAATACTTTTGCAGACGCAACTTCGAATTGCCCTCACTTTCCAAAAGCGGTTTCAATTAAAAAAACGTTAACGAAGCACTGGTTTACGCAAAGTATGCTTCTCATAAATTCATGAATTCAATGTTTGGGACCAGAAATCGAGTGCAAAGGAGGTGGTGGCGACAGTGCTGGAGCATATGCTCAATCATGACTCGCACACTGGACTGCAACTCGCACCCGGGGACCAAGTCGTGGTGCTAATCAACAACCTGGGCTCCATGTCGCATTTGGAGATGCTCGTTATCACTAACGAGGTTGCGTCATTTCTGGGTACAGGAGGATATTCAGATATAGTACAGCGCTGAAATATAATGTTTATGCATAGTAACAGATGAAAATTGTAAATTTAAGCTTTATAAGTATCGAATAAAATGCCAATTAGATAGCAAGGATGAAGTTAAATAGATAAATTTGTTCGATTAAAATGCAAAAATTAGTTGCAGATAAACAGTTTCATTATTTCATTCATTTAAATGTACTGTAGCTTAAACTTGTTTTAAAATTCTTCTATGCAATATCGCACCTGAAATCGATTAATTTAGAACGATTTTACTAATTGTCCGTTTTCTCCACGCAGAGATGAAAGGCATCATTGTGGAGCGAATATACGCAGGTCACTTCATGACAAGTCTGGACATGCGAGGGTTCCATGTTACTCTACTGCACACTTCAGACCACCTCAATTGGCTGGACCTGTTAGACGCCCCGACAGACGCGCCTGTGTGGCAGCAACCGTGCAGGATCCCTAAGGGAGGATCCCTAAGTCTTGAAGATCTCACTGAAAAACTTGCATCCACCAGCATCAAGCAAGTGAGTTAGGATAATAGATAGCAAAGTGCGGACTAAGTATATAGAAAGAAGAAAATGTTCTAAATAACAGCAACAAAACCTCGTACACATATCCTCGATCACATAAGGTAATAAGGTAGGTTTTAAACAGTATTACCGACATTGTAGAAACACAATGATATTGAAGTTTGATTGAACGATAAAAGTGAAATCGACAAACTTTTAAGATAATTTTAGGTCTGCTCAGCAGCCGCGGTTCAACGTTAGAGATTTAACATCACATATTCCTCAGATTTAACGAAGGATTTAAAAAAAATTAAAAAGAAAAGATTAAGAGCAAAAGCAACAGTAAAGATTGAATAAACTAAAAAATATCAGCGTATCTTTACTGCACGTAACTTGAATGCAGCAGCAATTGACTGACTTCAGAAATTCATCGCATGGTTACTCCACTCAGAAAAATGGTCGAGTCATTTTCTCCAAATAATGACACACTTTATGCGTGTAACACTGATACGTATTTTTTTCTGGGTCATAATGTGCAAAAAGTGCATCGATATTGTACAAAGCTCCATTCAGTTCCCTGATTGTCCCACGTTACAGTTGTCGGCAGTGCATGTGAGCCCAGCAGCAACGCTCTTCATCAGGTCTGCTCTGCACGACTTCTGCACCGCAGCGCCCTCCTGGACCGCCCGCCTCAACGAGCTGGACAGTGGCTGTGGCGACGGAGATTGTGGCTCTACGCTTACCCTCGCCGCCACAAGTAAATAACTAATTTCAGAATTACTTTGGCTATGAATTCGTCGTTTGCTAAGACTCAGTGGACTGTGTTAATTATTGACTAAAAATAGCATAACGCGATGTTGCGCGAGAAAGATGATTTTTGAGATGTGAGAATTATGTGTAGTCCATTCCCGTCTAAAATTTCAAAAATAAAGCAATGTGAAGTAAATAATTAAGAGCCCGGAATATTTATATACACAGCACCAAGCTTCCAGAACGAGCAAAACGCATATCCACGATAGGAAATTATATCTCGTAATTGCGTACTGTACTTTATAAAATATATACTGTAATAAAATTGAGTTTTATAAACTTGTTCAAAAAATTATAATGATTATTCTGCAAAGGATTCATTAAGAATTATTCACTAACAAAATAGAGCAGACAACTTGAAGCGAAAGAAACCCAGAAGCCTTTAAATAAGTCTTCAGTCAATCAATCATTAAAAAATATAACTCAGTACTCACTGCAGAGAGTGACAGAGTGCGCATTTTCTCGTCGACGAAAACTTGAAGTCACGGACGGACAGACGGAATGGCGAGCACAATAGTGCATTTTTTCCATATATGAGAAAATGCGCTAAAAAGACAGTAAATATCTTGACCAGCGCACAAACTGTGAAAAATGACAATTAGATATTGACTGCAAACGATCATTCTAAGGTAAAAACAAAAATATATAGATAACACGTTAGTAAATTAATACTATTTTTGATCGGGTTCACCGGCAGCAATGGCACTCAGTCTGGATCAGCTGCCGTGTTCTGAACCCATCAAGCTGCTGGACACTCTTGCTCAGATGTTAGGAGAGTCCATGGGGGGAACATCAGGTAAGAACCGTGAAAAAGCTGCTGAATTATAATACAATCTCTACGTTCACTTCAAAACGAATACTTTCAGTGGACTACTTGTAATTGTGATCAATATTGATGATAATTATTATGATAATACTAATTACTTACTACAAATTTATCACCAATTTTAATTATTTATTATATTGTTGATGGTCTTCACTTTAATTGACTAAAATAACAATGTAATTTGCTTCAGGAGGACTCTATTCGATCATGTTCTCGGTGATGTCCACCAGTCTATCAAAAATAGCATCCCAAAATATGGGAGCAAAGTGCGTGGAGTTATCCGTTGACGCTTGGCTGTCTGCGCTCAGTGATGGAGTGGCCGCGGTTATGAAGTACGGCGGCGCCAAGCCGGGGGACCGAACCATGGTGGGTTTAAGAACTGATAAATAGAAAATAAAATTACATAAGATGTTTTGTAATTATCATCGAACCATGGTGGGTTTAAGAACTGATAAATAGAAAATAAAATTGTAGAAGATGTTTTGTAATTTTCATCGAACCATGGTGGGTTTAAAAACTGATAAATAGAAAATAATGTTATACAAGATGTTTTGTAATTCTCATCGAACCACGGTGGGTTTAAAAACTGATAAATATAAAATAAAATTAAACAAGATGTTTTGTAATTCTCATCGAACCACGGTGGGTTTAAAAACTGAGAAATAGAAAATAATATTATATAAGATATTTTGTAATTCTCATCGAAGCATGGTGGGTTTAAAAACTGAGAAATAGAAAATAAAATTATATAAGATGTTTGTAATTTTCAAAACGTAGTACATTTTTACTAATAACATTGCATACATATTTTGTTTAACTTTAGACGTAAATAATCCATAGTTAAATAAAGAGACATTTACAAACCATTAGATTTCGAACCACCAGATTCGGGAGCTGTTATCTCGCATCAATTGTTTACAAATATTCCTAATAACATTCGATAAGTAATTTTATAAGATAAAATCATTTAAAAATCAAAGGATTTCTGAGAAGAAACAATGAAAAACAATTTAAATTATCATCTATTATGATCATTCCATTTTACGAATGAATTTGATTAACATTTAATCATTTATTAATACAGTAACCTTAAATGGTGTAAATTTGTTCATTATATGGCAGCTGGACGCAATATGCCCAGCTTTAGCAGCCGCCAAAAATCAGACAAATAGTGAAGAAGTTGCAGCAGTTCTCAAGGCGCTCGCAGATGCTGCTGACGTCGGAGCTAAGGCAACCTCCACCATGAAGGCGAGGTGAGGCTAAGAACTAAATACATATTACTTTTACTATGTATTCTCTAGATGACCTAGATGTGAGTCAACTAGAAGACGAGTCAATTGAAAAACGATCGATTTCATCTTCAAATGCCTGAGCGTCCCTTATCTAAGCACATTAAAAAAACAATAAATGTTCCTGATAAATTTTATTACCAATAAATACGCTACCGGTATTAATAAAAATGACAACTATTTAATTTTGTCTTAAACTCGGTAAATAAAATGCTAATTATTTCATTTTGTGAATAATCGCGGTCAATAAAAACGCTAATTAGTTCATTTGTCAATAAACAAAGTCAATAAAAACGCTAATTGGTTCACTTTGTCAATAAACTGGGTCAATGGACACACTAATTATTTCACTTTGTCAATAAACGAGGTAAAAAAAACGCTGCTTATTTCATTTTGTTAATAAACGCGATATATAATATCATTAACTACTTCATCTCGTCAACAAAAGTATGAAGCATTTCATTTGGTACAGAGCTGGTCGCGCCAGCTACGTGCGAGGCGGCGACGCCCGTAAAGAAGACGCTGGGGCTCGAGCCGTGGCCCTCATACTGGGCAGCCTCGCGCAGACTGCGAAGCAGGATTCGCAGACAATAATTTAAACAGATTTATACGCATTTGAATTTATATATTATATGTTTGAAGGTGAATATAATATTCATTTCTCGTTATACACAAGAAGCTATTGGTTTTAGTAGATTGATGGACAACAATGTACAAAAATTGCATATGGTCGATTCAACCGTGAAAATTTCAGAAAATTCTATGTCACTGTGGAACTGACATAAAACGCTCCCGATTAATATGACGGTACTTTTGCAGGTTAAATGTTGTTCACTCGTCACAGGTTTCAGGTAAAACATCCATGTCTTTTTAATTTTAAAAATAAACTAGCAGACAAAAAATATGTTATTGGCACATGATTCTCGAGTATTTCGTTTACCTTTAACAAATATAATTTCTTCCGCGACAAATTCGCGGGAATTTTCATCCATCAGAAAATATACACGCTCGCATGAGTTTTAGCGCGCATGAATGTGTTACTTTTTCCGTCGAGCGGTGCGTTTTGCTGATAACCTCAAATAGAAATATTTTCAGTCAATCAGTATTCAATTCTAGCTGATATTTTGAGTTTTCAGTGATATATACTTTTCTCTCGATTCCCAAGTATTCAAACCGAAGCATTAAAATATTGAAACAAAATTAATCTTGGATGCTTATATATATACACAGAGTGAAAAAATATAGATTCATTCATTTCTACATCCACAGAATGCAACTAAAATTTCTTCGTGAATAAAAAAAAACGGACTAACTCTCAATACGAGCTTCAACTACGAATGCACTCACATAATAGGTGCAATATTTGTATCACTGTTCCTTTATAAGAAAAATAATTATTTCACATGAAAATGTTTAGACGGTTTCCCCATTAACGTCTGGAATTACGCTGAACCAATTCAGCGGAGGAGTCTAATGAGCTAAAACTACAGATTGTATTTACAACTTCCGACCGCCGTGATTCTAACAACTATATAAACATAGAGACGATAGATAATCGCACTGCAAATTCACGATCGATCGCAAATGTTTCCGTACTAATCGAGTATCGCCAAGAGAAGATCCTTCTGATGAAGTTAATATTGATTGATTAAATAAGATCAATCTCCTCATAAAGCTCGTCAGTGGATAAGAAGTGTTCCAAGCTTTTAATGCTGGAGTTGATCTGTGAATAGAAGTGTTTCAAGGTTTTACTGCTAGAGATCATCAGTTAAGGGAAATATTTCGAGGTTTTAACAGTAGGTTTTATGAAGGTTTTTTTCGACTCATTGCCCCGGCTGGAGCCGCACCTACTCGGCACGCTGCCATGTTCTTCTGGCAAGTTTTTTTGGCCGAAAACTGGCAAACAGCAAAAGTATAAAATGAACCCTTCCAAAACGTAAATATACCAGATGCAAAACTTCAATTTTTCTAATAATTTCACTGTTAAATTTTGGTAAAATTAACGACGGTTGCGATGAATTACGATAGGCTCCGAGTTACGCAGTTAATTTGACGCATTTGTCAATCTGAAAAAAAAAAATATAGAAAAAATTAAATCACTAAAAAATATTTTTTTAAAATGTCGAAAAAGTTCCACGAAGACATAAAAGATTATTCGAGTTCAGTCACAAATCGCACACATTTTCTAGATATATATGTACGCAATGCTCGATAATTTTTTAGTTTCCGTCCCAGCAAAAATATCTTTATTCCATCAGAATTTCCAAGCGTATCGAGTTAACCAAATGTATCTTGAATTACACGTGGAGTTTTCCCGGAAGCTATGGACACGTGGAAGCTATTTCTCACATTTAAGTTGCGATGATGCGCCTTATCCGAAAAAATTCGCTGTGCTAACCGTAAAAAATCAAAAGAACATTGAAAAGTAAATGTTAAAAATACGTAGTAAAATAACCCATAGAAAGATCGTTAAAGCAGCGTTGAAAATACCCAGTGGGTGAATTAAAAATATATATATTCTAAAATTTTCAAAAATTTGACCAGAGTTGAATTTTGTAACTTTCTGTATTCTTCTCTGAATGTCAAGGTAAGCAAGCACGTAGTAAGTACGCAGCTACCATTGAGCGTTCGAGTTCGCCGTAATTCGAAATTACTTCGTTATATTTATAACCCGTTATTTCGTTACGTGTAAATATGACTACAGCTTGTAGCACGAACATCAATACGTTTTACTTATTTTCAACTATAGCGATCTTTGGGAATGTAAAAAAGAGACATCTAACACAAGCACCAAGAGTTCCATCTTTTCATCGCCTGAACACAAAAGGTCTCCTGCCCCTCACTGTGTCCAGACTCAGTGTGCGTCTGGCGGTGATGCGGAGTACACGCGTCGTCCTGGATTGTTCTCTGATAATACAAGTTTAAATTAAGCAAGTTCCAAATATAAGAAACATATAAACGTTCTTCATTGTTAACACTAAGAATAATGAAATAATTATCAGTGATTTTTCACGGGAAAAACAAGCAGTGAGAGTAATTGATCTACTGGAGAAGCATTCCCGTCCTCGCTCCTGCTTCACAGTTGCCTCAATTTACGCGTAGAGGTGAGTTGTCCGTAGACTGCTTCTTTATCCTTATTTAATATACTAATAATATTTAAATTATATAACATCCAAGTTTTACAAAGTGCACGAGTTTTAGACCGTATTTTGGTAATGATGAAAAATTAAAACTTGCCTTAAGTGTTTTAGAAATCGATCAATGTGAGTAAATGTAAATAAAACTTAGAATTGTGACTAGGTAAGTCACAATTCTAAGTTTTATTTACATTTACTCACGCTGATCGATGTCTTCAACACTTTAGGTAAGTTTGAATATTTCATCATTACCAAAATTTGGTCTATGCTCGTGCACTTTGTAAAACTAAATTTACCTTCTCAAAAATAGTGCTACTCACAAAATATTTGTAAAAATAAGTCTGTCTGGAGGCATCGCATGGGAGAATTTATATATATCATAAAATATATATGCATTGCAGACTAACTCTACGGATATAACGACCAAAATTTAACTTACTTCAATTCGCCACAGTTAGATTTACGCAAAATTATGCTACATAAAAGCGATAACACAACATTATTATGAAAATGATATAATAATATTTATTTATATTATATTGTATATTTTTCTACCTATATAAAACATCTGGCTTTTTGAAATTTGCACACAAGCGCATGCCTTTTTTTCGTGGAAATGTCAATGTTGGGACAACGATACAATGAAAAATTGTCGAAAATTAAATGAAATAATTTCTCTGTAATACACAGAACACTCGAATTTCATTACTGAAATATTGATTGATGTATTTCCTAAGTAATTTAATGTTGATTGCCAAGTTTAACAACAATAAATGAATGCGGCCCAGGGAAATCTATGCACGGCAGATGCACTTCAGTTTACACGTGTAAAAACAAACGCCTCCTCAGAGTTTAGGTTCACTTTTAAAAAGTAAAAACAAACGCCTCTTCAGAGTTCAGTTTCAGATTTAAAAGTGAAAACAAACGTCTTCTCAGAGTTCAGTTCAGTTCACAAAAGTGAAAACAAACGCCACCTCTGAGTTCAGTTCAGTTCACAAAAGTGAAAACAAACGCCTCCTCAGAGCATAGTTTCAGTTTACAAAATTGAAAACTGAACGCCTCCTCAGAGTTTAGTTTGTTTTAAAAAGTGAAAAAAACGTCTCCTCAGAGCATAGTTTCAGTTTTAAAAAGTGAAAACAAACGCCTCCTCAGAGTTCAGTTCAGTTCAGTTCACAAAAGTGAAAACAAACGCCTCCTCAGAGTTCAGTTCAGTTCAGTTCACAAAAGTGAAAACAAACGCCTCCTCAGAGTTCAGTTCAGTTCACAAAAGTGAAAACAAACGCCTCCTCAGAGTTCAGTTCAGTTCACAAAAGTGAAAACAAGCAACAATTTCGAGTTTTAGCCAGCAAAATACCCTAAACAATGTACGCAAGTGTGGCTACACAGAGAGGAATGCGTGTTTTGCATCATTTGCCGTTATTTTTTCTGCTTATCTTATTATTCATCTTATCCATCTGTTATTTTCTGCTTGCAATGCACACGTCGCCAGCAAAATGTTATTCCTGAGCTTTTCGACTCGACTTGTAGCGTTGAAAAGGAGATTATGATGCAGTTTTAGCATAAAATCTTGTGTCGAAAGGAGAATCACTCATAAATTTTAATTCATACCATCGGGGGATTGAATTCTAGTGTGTTTATAGTGTGTTGAATTCTATTTGAAATGCTTTTACATTTTAACAGGAGCGTAAGTAGAGCAGACGCAAAATAGAGCAAAAAAAATCAAGTATATCAGCTCATGGCCTTACATTTATTTGCAGGAAAATTTCCACGTGGAAGCTAAGATAAGATTAAATTCATTGCAAAGACGCAAAATTCACAACCATAACCAGGCTTCCATCAGCGATCGCTTGATCACAAGGGTAAAATGTTAATTATAGTAAATGCTAATAAATAGGAATATCGGCTTGCTAATATAAATATGAAGACTGAAATTGGATGTAAACTATCCTAAATTGCCCGGAAGAATGGATTATAATTAAAGATCAAGTCACACGATGAACATGACCAATGAAAATGCAGATAAATGTAAGCTGATTGCTTATCTCACAGCAGAGAACTCCATCTGTTATTGATTAAGGCGACGCAGGGCTGTGCTGTGACGCGTTTTTATTTTGTAGCCATTATCAAACAGCTCACACATGTCATCCCATTTGTGACAACAAAGATGAGAATAACAATGAGTTCTATTGTGCCGGAGCGGCTTCTGGCGTAACAAACAAACATACGTTCAGTCAAAGGGACTTCGCGTATAGAGGAGTGGGTAGGCTACCAAAGGCCCATTATGTCTCAATAAAACAACAATAAATGTACTAGAGTCTTCTTAGAAAGGAAATCTAACAAAGCCTGAGCTAATTTCTTGATTCTTTCAAGGGAGAATATCGCTGTGCCAGTCCACAGAGATAACGAGTAAATTCATCTATCTTGATAACCGAACTGTTCGATAATACGCGAGTCTTCTGTCATAAGGCGAACAAACCATGGCCGGTGCGTGGCATACGGCTTGTCAGAGTAAAATATCATGCGTTTCATATCATAATTTATTTCCCCAAAATATATACTTGTGGTCTACCTATAAGATTCAAGCTTTCAATATTGTCCCTCCGAAGAAAAAGTTTGCAGTCCTTAAACTACTAATACATACTACTACGGTACTACTAGTTTATGATCGAACACAAAAGTTCAGTTATTATCGTTATCTAGCATCGAATTTCCCATTTCACCAGGTATTTTCAAAAATACTTGAGTTGTTCCCGCGCAAAATATGTATAAAATCTGACTCAAAATACGAAGAAAGTCTGTAAGATCTCGGCAAAACATCTCGGACAAGATGTTTGCAAGGTAAGCCTCGCACACCGCAAATCTCGGAAAGCCGTTCAAAACAACCCGCAAATAATTTCTGAATGGGATGTGTCAGCAGAATTAAATTCAGGTATATTTGTATCCATAATTCTAACCATTTTAGGAAAACCCAAATGATCGTTCTCAACAGCAAATAAATACCCGAGAGACAAATTCCAAATATTAAACTAGTACGATTTAATATATACATGATCAAAATTTCACGGTCATGAATGTTTGAGACGATAATTTCCCATTCAAATCAGTTAACCAATCGATACTTTGAGTCTTCACTCAAATCCCCCAGCATTTTGCGAAGAAGCAAAAAGACAACAAATGAAAGACGCGTCACGATAGACTAGAGTCTATCGATCTCTCTGGCGCAATATCTTTTACAAATCACAAAATATGCTGGAGCTAGCTAACAAAATTACTCATAATTATATTTTGATTAGCCCCCAATATGAATTGTCGCGATTTCATCATAATCATGAAGTCTCAAGAATGAAAATTGCATATTTTATTTTTATGCTCAAAAGTTTTTAATTCATGCATTATACTTCCCCGTCGTAAAGTCGTGAACGAATAATTAACTTCAGAAATTAATTTATTACACTCGATTACAACTTAAATACTTACATAGAACTTTTTCTTGTACGTAGCGATTAATATTAAAATGTTCATCCTCAACATGAACTAACGTGAAAATTGTTTGTCGGCAATTTAGCGTAGTTACTATCTATAATCAATTTATTATAGAAAATTAGCATGTCGGTGCGATCGATAAAATCCGGATGTTAGAAATGTACCGTAAAAGGGGGTTACTTTGATTATATTTTTTAAATGATGCCATTTTTTATTAGCTAAATTAAACTTAAATTGAAACATGCAAAATACAGGTCTATACTCTAGGTTCATTCACCATAAATTGCTGGCTCCTGCCTCTCATGTAATTTCAAAAAAAAGTGATGGTCTTTGTTACCCCCCACTTTGGGGTTTCTTTGACTGGGTGGTAAAATCAATTCTATTTTTTGGTAAAATAACTCCAAATAACTCCAGGTTTTGGAGCATTGTAGTAGAACTCTTTTAGTTACATATGCAAATGACAAATTTGAGGGAAGTGTCATAGTTTGCAAATGGGGGGCGCCGCCCCCCAATGGGTCAAATGTGACCACCTAATGGCAGCCGTGACCGGGTAATATTGACCGGCTTGGAAATTAAGTTAAAATTACCATATATAAGACTCTGTAGAGTCTGAAGCATAAAGAAAAGACATTAATAGGTGTATCAAACATAAAATATGTTATATATGTTATATATAACTATAAAATATGTTATATATAACTTCCAAGCCGGTCAATATTACCCCGTCAGGGCTGACATTAGGTGGTCAGAGTTCCCCCATAGGGGGGCGGCGCCCCCCATTTGCAAACTATGACACTTCCCTCAAATTTGTCATTTGCATATACTAGAAGAGAGACTAGAGATTTGTACTAGATTTATCTCTAGTAGATTTGTCTAGAAGAGTTATACTACAATACACCAAAACCTGGAGCTATTATACCAAAAAATAAAAACATTGGAGGGGGTTCTACGACAGGCTTTAAAATAATAGCTCTTTTTCGTGGGTCACATTTTTCATTTAATAACCTATTAGATATGCTAACTTTTTTAATCTCTCTTTTGTGTTACGTAGCCTCAGTATTAGGCCTTTAATGCCCATTGACAAAATTTTTCTGTCAAATAGTTTTTGAGTTTTGGGGTTTTTTGTTAAAAATACTAAAAGTGGTCAAACTTACCCCGGGAGTCAAAGTAACCCCCTTTTACGGTACAAGGTTTATTGGATGAAACTACTGCACAATACTTGTAACGTCCCAGGATACGATCTGGATTTTACTGATTAACTAATAATTGTGGTTTAAACATTAGACATTCATTAAAAAAACACTGGTAGGATTGAAACTGAAATTTAATTTACCCTTATTTGTGTTGAATTTAGAAACGGAGGTGCGAACAAGCGATTCCTTGACTAACTTGACTTCGGTTTAAAATGAAACAATTAAAAAAAACTTTTAAAAACCCCGTTTTCTTAACGGACAAAAAATAAAAACATTAACTCATACATAACA